ATCATGGTCCTATTGGCCGGAAAATGACGAATACGACCATGGTCGTATTGCCGGGAAATGACGAATACGACCATGGTCGTATCATGGTGGTATTGGCCGGAAAATTACCAATACGACTGGCCGGAAAATGACGAATACGACCATAGTCGTATCATGGTCGTATTGGCCAGAAAATGACGAATACGACCATGGTCATATTCGCCGGAAAATGGCAAATACGACCATGGTCATATTAGCCGGAAAATGGCAAACACGACCATGGTCGTATTGGCCAGAAAATGACGAATACGACCATGGACGTATCATGGTCGTATTAGCCGGAAAATGACGAATACGACCATGGCCGTATTGGCCGGAAAATTACGAATACGACAATGGTCGTATCATGGTCCTATTGGCCGGAAAATGACGAATACGACCATGGTCGTATTTGCCGGGAAATGACGAATACGACCATGGTCGTATCATGGTGGTATTGGCCGGAAAATTACCAATACGACTGGCCGGAAAATGACGAATACGACCATAGTCGTATCATGGTCGTATTGGCCAGAAAATGACGAATACGACCATGGTCGTATTGGCCGGAAAAAGACGAATACGACCATGGTCGTATCATGGTCGTATTAGCCGGAAAATGACGAATACGACCATGTTCGTATCATGGTCGTATTGGCCGGAAAATGACGAATACGACCATGGTCGTATTGGCCAAAAAATGACGAATACGACCATGGTTGTATCATGGCCGTGTTGGCCGGAAAATGACGGATACGACCATGGTCGTATTGGCCGGAAAATGACGAATACGACCATGGTCGTATCATGGTCGTATTGGCCAGAAAATGACGAATACGACCATGGTAGTATTGGCCGGAAAATGACGAATACGACCATGTTCGTATCATGGTCGTATTGGCCGGAAAATGACAAATACGACCATGGTCGTATCATGGTCGTATTGGCCGGAAAACGACGAATACGACCGTGGTCGTAATTACCGGAAAATGACGAATACGACCATGGTCGTATTGGCCGGAAAATGACGAATACGACCATGGTCGTATCATGGTCGTATTGGCCGGAAAATGGAAAATACGACCATGGTCGGATTTGCTGGAAAATTGCAAATACGACCATGGTCGAGTTCGCCGGAAAATAGCAAATACGACCATGGTCATATTCGCCGGAAGGTGGCAAATACGACCATGGTCATATTCGCCGGAAAATGGCAAATATACGACCATGGTCGAGTTCGGTGGAAATTGTCAAATATACGACCATGGTCGAGTTCGCCGGAAAATTGGAAATGCGAGTGAGTCTAGTGCAACAATTCGTTTAAAGTTTTTGTGGTATCACGTACAAGAATTTAGTAAAGGCTTATTTGCCTTTGACCAAATATATCCAGCGGACACTGCGCTATTTTTGTCAACAAAAAGGTAATTTATGCAAACGGAAATATTGCGACGTGTTCATGACAACATGGTTTTTCGTTAAACGGTATTCATTCCTGACTTGATTGATATGACATAGTAAACATTCATACATAGCTATCTCAATCGATTCAATGGATGATCGCAATGAATTCTGTTCGTATTTGATATACTGCCATTTCTATATTTTTGGGAATGTCAATTTAACGTTTGTTTGTTATAAATGTTTTTGAACCATGGCATAAGTATGTTAATACATAATCTGCTTGATTGAACATATTTTGATTGTTTTGAATTAGTTTTGAATCTTTCCTAAAGTATCCTTTGTTTCTTCAAGATTGACGCTTTCCTAATTTCCATCGCTTTCTCGCTAATTTTCGGTGCGATATTTATGAAAACGTGGAGAATTTACAAAATATTTACAAACGTAAAATTATCTAAACAGGTAAGAAGACATGTTTTTCATAAAAATGTTTTCTTCAACTCATGTGGTCAATAACAACAATGTGTGTATCATCCGTTTAGTTAAGATTTCTCACCAACAAACATTTGATAATCCTTGTTCTTTTGTTGGTGGCTTTCGACATCGCCTATCTTACGTTGTGGAGCGTGATTCATCCTTTGGAAGACAGCGTAAAAAAGGTTTTGACAGAGGTTTGTGATATGATATTCCGGCTACTTCCAGTACGAACAAATGTGAGGGAAATTATTGAAACGAAAATTTCAAAATTGAAAAACTACAAAAAGAAAAAAACAAATTAAAATTGATATTTCTAAATTCAAGCAGGCCTTGAACCAGGGTTTGCAGATAAAATTATCTGTGAAGCTGTAGAGGAAGCCGTAGAGGGCTTCTGTAGGTCGCAATTGTAGGTTACTTGTGAAGGTAAATTTCTACAAGTATGAGATTCAATGTCTTTTTATTCCCAGAAAAACCAGGCCGTAAACAAGGTATATTTTGCTCACAAGTGCACATCTGAGCATTATCAAGGATGGTTCGCCGGCTTAGCTTCCTGTAAGGCACTTCTGATGCTCTTTGGGATGTTTCTCACATGGGAAACACGAAATGTCTCATTTCCTGGTCTCAACGACTCGAAGTACATTGGCATTTGTGTGTACAACATCTTCATAATCACCACCGTTGTTATGCCAGTGGTCATGTTTGCATTGCCAATCGACGTGAATGCCAAATATTGCGTCATCGTCTTCAGTGTTCTTTTTTGTACAACGACCACGCTGGTACTCATGTTTTTTTCGAAGGTATATTCAGTTCAAAAGTTTTAAGTCTTGTTGTTGTTTAAACATTGCAATAGATAGGAGAAAGTACCGTGAGATTGGAGATAAATTAAGTAGACTTGTTCAGCGATTGGAAATGATTTTTTGTGACCCTTCATTGCAGATCAATCCTGGAAGGAAGTCTACTATTACTCCAACTAACCCCACGATGACTGTGGACCAGACGATGGACGTGGTCGAAGCGAGACCACAGAAAAATGCCATCGGACAATGCCCTACCTGTAAACATCCAAAGCCCTGAACTTTTTTGAGGTGTTTCACAAAACTGAATCTAGTTAATGGATCAGACAGTTTTATCCAAGTGCACACCGATCCTAAGTTCGCATTGCAATACACCAAGATTTTTAAGAATATAGTAAAAAAGGCATGTGGTTACTTTTAAACCTAAACACAAATTTTAATAAACGTTTTCTGTAAGTATAAATGACAGATTGATTACCCAGAACAGATGCAAAGACAGCGATACACAATCGACCATCATTTAGACTCGGTGCATGGTAAGTCAGATGACTTTGAATATCGAGCCATGTCGTTTATTTACCCGGATAAACTAAACTACACTAAAGTTAAACTGCACCAAGTCTTAACCCTGAATTAAAAGAGGCCTAAATATTCACTAAATGGAACAGAAAATAAGCTGCAAATTTAAACTAGAACATAAAAGAAAAGTTCAACCGGTAAAGAGTAAAAAAATGTAAATACAAATTAAATTAAAATGTTGAAACAACCATATACTATAATATATATCACAGGCAACTAAGGGCATTTGCAAAATCACACTTAAACTTTTTATCGATGTTCGTGCGCCATTATTGGCCAACATCGCGTTTTAACTTTACCTGAAGCATTAATTGCGTCAGTTGTCACTTTTTACAAGACAAGCCGCTCCAATTGGCTCTGTAAGAGTCTCATTAATTAAGGTAAGTATGTGAACGTTGCGTGGTCTGGGTGGAATTTTGTCCGCATTAACAGGGCGAGTTCTCCCAAATAAGGTACGTCTTATACAAGAACCGATGAGTTTGGCTTCCTAATGTCAATCGCTTTAATCTGTTTGTTGAGTAATGCCTTTGCCCTTGTATACTGATATGGATCACTGATGCGTTCTATAGTCATTCGCATGATTGTCAGCTATTTCTAAGAAATACAACAGCAAAGTGCGTATCTCTCAACGAACAACAAATAATTCAGACTCTGCTTACACTTTACCAGAATCGCGTGGTCGCGACATCAAAATTAATCACTGTCAAAGCGATTTTTATTCCCCAAAAGTATGAAAGCATGATTACTTTAAACGTGACCTGCTCAATTGAATAGTTCTTGGGGACAAAGATAGCGTAAAACAATTTAAACTGACTGTCGTTACTGTGTGAATCTTGTATTGTACAAACGGGGTCTCATCAATGGCGTTACCTTAATGTGGGAAAGCATTCTAAATTACTTTCGTGTGCTAGCAGGAAAAAAATTGTACATATTTGTACTGGGAAGTATAAGCAACGTAAATTCCTCGCTTTCAAAATCATTTGTCGTTCGTTCCTGTTTGTGTAATCTAGACAATAAGCTCTCGATATTATAAGGGCAATTATCCAAACCATTCGACCATGGACTGTTCTAATATCGTAATTTAGATGGCAGTAAGAATTTCAAAATATTTCAGCCGCGCGCAAAATGTCATAAAATTGCAGCGCACTGCGTCTCGTGGTTGGAAGAAAGGAGAATATGTCAGCTAAATGTTGTACAAGAGCAGACCGCAGTCAATATAATAATTGCAAAAGTCGGGATCGAAAAAGTCAGCCGTAAGTTTTCAAAGGGAAAAAATTTTCAAACTGTCAAAATTGTCATTCCTTTTTGGCATTTAAATATGATAAGATATTTTAAAGTGAATTCAAATAGTGCGTTTAAAAGTCCTAACTGCACGTGAAGACCTTATTACTGATGTATTTCCTAAAAACGCAGATGAAGTCAGTGACGAGTCAAACAAGACGGTTAGAATCCAGCGAGTTCAAAGCTTGATTTCTTTGTAGTTATCAGTATTGACTCTTAACCCATACAACATTATTTGCAGTATCCGCTAACGGTTCTATATCCTTTTCGCTGGCTGAAACGTCCAAAATAATCGGTTCTATTATATATCGGTAATATATTATCCATATTAAGGACTGATTGCCTATAGTTATGTACGTTTTATTACGTGGATATAATTTCCAGACGTTTCGCGTGGATTCCCGCTGTGAGATTTGCATACTAATATATTCACAGCATGCCGTGGAATATATAAAGAGCTATTTCTCGAATGGGTGTGTGGTGAATAATCTTACTGATACACGAGCAATCTTCGCTGTTCGAATCGGCCTGGAAGATGTCGGAGTACATGCTATACGCCACCGACATTTCGGCAACGAATTTGCCGAACGTCGAACGATTTGGAAAGAGCGATCCACTCTGTGTTATAGAGTTTCAAGGTGGGTAAATCGTCTTCTATTTTATGCAAGACGATATGGTTGAGAAAATTTTGCCGTTCGCTTGTTTTGATCATCAAGTCAACCAGATATCCCTGATTTAGCGTTGGTATACTTAAGATTCAGTGCTTGTCGCGTTTATTTCTGCTTTCTGTAGTGAATTTCATGAATATTCCCTTCCTAACTCCGCGATTTGCTGCTTAAACGGCCGACTGTGCATTTGATTTGTAAGCCATATAAAATTTCAATACAATATTCGGCAATCTCCATTAATAAAGCATGGTAATGGATGGATTAACGAACCTCATCGCGTCAAAGTGTACTGTACAAATACCTCGCGAAGCCTAAGCGTATTTTACGGGGCTTCAATTTTGTGAACGAAGGATTTCGGTGCTAGAATGTGAGGTGGCATAATTTTCTATTCGGTATGAAAATCTGCATACCAATTATACCATAAACGGTTTCGTAATAGAACCTTCAGTAAATTGCGAGAAACGCCTTATATTCGTGTGTGAAGAAACTAACATCAACTGAAGTACAGCTATATATGTGAAGCTAGCTATAGATACGCCTTGCAGTCGTTTCAGTCTAGCATGTGACCTTCAACTAATATTGAAAGGGAAGAATAAATGAGATGTTTACGTTGCCAAATCAAATATTTATTGTTATAAAAATTATACAATTTTGTCCGGACCCTAAATCAACCAGTTCTTCAACAACGTCGTAACTTTGTCGATGGTATTTCACCCAGACCACAGTTATAAATCCTAAAGTTGCAATTCGTCTTCAGAATGTTGCAAATTAACGCATCCCTTCGTTCGGCATGAAAGGAGAACACCTGTTTGCGGGCTGAGCCTGGTTTAAATGGGTGTGGAGTTTTCACGAAAAATAAGACTTGCTTAAATAGCATTTGGTCTAGACATTGAATCTATAATGTTGACACGTTTCGCCGTCAATTTGTTGTGCTTGAGAAATTCTTAATGTTCTATTTTGAAAGTCCTTTAATATATTGTATTCAAACTATATATATAAGTTACCATTCCTTAGGTATTTATGATATGCAAAGCGCTTAAAATTATTTTTAAATCACAATATTTGATGGTTGAAAACAACTTTGATAGCTGGAAACAAACAATAGATCTATCAAATCAGTCTTTGTCGTTGTAGTACCTCCACCCTTCCCCCTTCCAAAAAGACAAATGTAGAGCTAACGTTAAATTTTTAGGCACCAAGGGAAAAACTGAGGTGATTGACGACGAGCTGAATCCAGTATGGAAAGAGGTCAGTTATGATAAAAACAATGCCCCCCCCCCTGCCCTTCACACCTGTTTATTAATGACTTATATAAAATGTAGTCATTCCAGAAATCTAGAGTTAATGCTCGTCTCTAATCTAGAGTAATGCCTGTGTTACATCACGTGCTTTGACCTGGCCTAGACCAGGCATAGACCTAGATGTGAACGTTGTTTATCCGGCCTAGACCAAGTCTGGACCTGACCTGGGAACAGGCTTTACGCCTTTAGCTAGTCCTGACAAATTTTGAACTCAATAGTTTGATTTGTATATAGGATACATGTAGTATTGCCATCATCAACAAGGAAGACAGTCTGAACGTGGCACATATTACCCAGACTTGTCCTGACCTGGTTCAGGCCAGGTCTAGGCCTGAAGTGTAAACGCGGCTTTACAAACCTTTATATTCATGCAGCCCAACCGGGCTATCCTAAGTTCGTTAAACGCGATAATGATGCATATGATACTAAAGACATTGAGTTGACTATATCGTTGACCTCGAACGCTAAATTTCGATCAACTTTTCAGAAAATTGAGATAGATCTTCAAGGGAAGCCATTATCTTCATCAGACAGTCTGACAATCAAAGTGTTTGACCACGAGAAAATTGGATCAAATAAGTATGCATTGCTTTTGTTTGAAAGATTACTCGCTGTGTAAAAGTGTGTATAATTAACATTAACATTCGTCTCCTTTTAATTGACAGACTTCTTGGACAGTGTACAGTGAAGTTGAAAGACTGCGTGAAAACAAAGACTCAACAAGTCACTCAGAAATTGCAAGATGCCAAAGGGCAACCCTCCGAGGTAGATAATCTTTCTAAATGCTTCAATCTTTCATGATCTCCCTCAAAATTAGACAAAAAGGAATTAGATAGTTCAAGAGTAGCTTCAAACAATTCTCTTTCTCTAAACTCGATCGAAAAATAAACCCTGAGAGCTGACAACTTTGGCTAACGGATGATTTTCAACGCTAGGCGCAAATTAGCTGCAAGTTGAACTACAAATGCCCAGAGGAAAAGCCTGCGCCGTCCGCTGGCGGTGGGTCAGCGGAAGAAGGTGAAGAGGAAGGTGACGAAGGCGACGAAGGGGATGAGGGTGATGAAGGTGATGAAGGTGAAGGAGGCGAGCCTGGCGCTCCTGGGGCGAAAAGGAAACGGTGAGTGCAAATGGTAGACAGTTTCGTATTTTTTTATTTCCTATGAATGACATTTGTAATTTATATGCGACTAAAGTAAACAAACAAGAAGCTATAATAATAATAATGTTAAAATCTTTTTTATCGCTTTGTTAGAAGGAAAAAGAGAAAGAGAAAAGGCCACGATTTGCCGAACAAGCCAACGGACTTCCAGGTACGCTACTTGATAAGTTGGACTGTAATCCAAATCCCCTTTTACTCCCCTTTCGGTTGAAGATGTTTAAAAAGAAGTTGAAATCTTTGCAGCGCTAGAATGCAAGCATAAGATTTACTGTTTTATGCAAGAGCGTTTCATGCAGTAACATGCATTGCTTTCAAATATAATTCATTCTTGTGCATTCCAATATCTTCATTTCCGAAAGCATAAAAACAATATTCTCGCACATACGTCTGTGTTGCTCTGTTGATATTTTTTTGAGTGGGACTTACACTGACGACACTCGTATGATGTGGAAGGTAGACAGTTCTATTGAGTTAGCAAGGAGGATATTCCTGGTAAAAGCTATCTTGAAGATTGTAAATAACGCGTTATCTCTTGTATAGATTCGTATCAAGGTGGTTGAAGGTCGTCAGTTATCAGGCGGAAATATCAATCCGGTTGTAAGAGTGACTGTCGGTGATCAAGTAAAACAAACCAGAGTTAAAAAGTCGACGAACAGACCTTATTACAATCAGGTTTGTTCAGCAAATGCCGATGCAATATGTTATGAATTTCCATGTTAACTTTTGTCAACTATTCCGGGCCGAGTAAGAACTAACGAAGCGAAGTTTAGCAGACTATCTTTAAAATTTAAAACTTAAATTCAAAGACTATAGCTATTGCACAAACTTGTATCGGACCTGATATAAATTAGGCGATTAATTTGGCGACATTGTCTCAACACCGCGATAACGTTTTTTTTTATGTTTCCTTGCAGACATTCTACTACAACTTTGGGAACATTACACCGGACGAACTCTTTGATAAGATCGTGAAATTTGAGGTACTGAAGATCGTTTATTCACCTAATTTGGCTGAAAACAAATCTCAACGCTTTTTTATGACTTTCTATGACATTCTTTTAGGTTTTTAACTCTCGAACTCTCAGATCCGATGCTTTAATTGGATTCTTCAAGGTAATACGAAGATTTTGTGTTGCTTTGAATCGCTTTGCTGTATTTCTGTTAAGCAAATGCGGTTATCCTATTTACCAACTTATCGTATATTTTGTTTTTAGTGTGATGTTGGTCTGATTTACGAAGGCAAAGGTTTGTATATTCGACCTTTTCTTGTCAGAGTTTCTATCTATTTCACTTGCATCATTCAACACTGTTTTCTTTTAATATATTCGTAGATCATGCGTTGCTCAGAAAATGGATTCTTCTCACCCAACCAGAGCAACCAGAAGCCGATGCTCAAGTAATCATCAAATCCTTGTCTTCAAAGTACTTCCTTGAGCATACGTTTACGTCGTTGACTAAAAAAACTCATTGCAATGTTTTTTTCAGGCGCCTCCAGACGAAGAAGGCACAAAACAGGAAACCACATCACTCGGCGGATCTCCTGCTGTAAGTTTGAACAAAATATTTATACAGTTTATCAATTATCCGTCGAATTATCCACGTGAATATTAAACAGAAAGATCTAAACCGAATTTAATATTTAGGGATACGTCAAAACATCGATGGTTTGTATTGCGCCTGGACAAGATCCTCCGGTGAGCAACTATTGTCTTTGTTTTCTGTATCATTCGTTTAAAATACGGTTTGTCGCATTAAAAATACGATTTCTGCTGGTTAGAATCTTTTCCCAGAACTTGTTCCGCTTATTTTGCGAATTCTGCGTTGAGTTGAGCCGTGTTTTGGTGGGGAATATACAATTTGATTTCCATAATTGCATGACATAACTTTTCCCTTTCCTAGTCTCTTGATGAAAGCACAAAAGATGACACAGCCGAAGACATCGAGTCGTAAGTTATATTGCATATAACTCTTGAGTATCCGTGAGTTATCTTTTCTTATCAAATCTGAATGTGAATTCAATGAAATACATCAGTTTTAGTTGTGTTTCCTGCATCTCTTCCGGCAGCCCTCCTAAGACGTTTTCACACTCGTGTATGTTTACTGAACCTTTTTCAACCTTTTTAACTAGCAACCTACTGCAGCCTGCCGGAGTCCAACTGCGACCAGCCGTGTTCAGACTGAAAATTTTCCATGCTGAAGAATTACCACAAAGTATGTACCGTGGATTTGCATTAGACATAAAAGATTAGAACCTAAACTAACTTGTTGGAAACGTGTGAAAGCAACACAAATTTGATGGAAGACGTGAGGGGAAGATAAACGGAATGAGAAATGTAGTTTTTCCAAATGGTTTGTTGACATTCACAGCTATACTTGCAAGTCTAAACGTTCGTGTTTGTGTTTATTTAGTGGACACATCAATTGGAGAAAGTGTTAAGAAGTTCTTTGGCTTTGGAAAGGTACATAAGAGCAAAATGTCATTCTTGTTTTAAATGATCAAATTTGTCATGAAATGTCTTTAGTTTTGTTGGATATTTCAAAATAAATAGCGGCTGACATCAAATAAACGACAAATGCTTCGATTGTTCAATCTTAGGATGCAAAAATGATGGTGGATCCGTACGCTAAATTCTCATTTGCTGGAAAATCGGTATGCGTTTTTGCAATTTATATTGGAGACATTGCTTTGAAATAATTAAGTTCACTGTTTGTAATTTTTTCATCATGATATCCGTCTTTATTTTAAAGGCACAAACGGACATCGAGACGGAAACAGACAACCCAATATTTAACACCGTCTTGAGTGTCCCATTCCAGGTAAAGGCTGTATTAGACTTGTCTTTAGGACGGAAAAACAATAGAAAATGGTGTAATTAATTACAAAGTGTGCACGATTGTTGATTTCTAATTGACTACTGTTCTGTTCATCTTTCGTAGTTCCCGTCAATGTGTGAGAAATTGAAAGTACAATGTTATGATTGGTAAGTCGGTAAACAATGTAGCTATCCATCAATCTCGCGTTTGAAAATACTTACCTTGCTAAAATGAGAATGATAAATGTTGTTGAACTAGCTTTCTTTTAGTTCATAACTGTATATAACATGGATCTCGTTATTGAGTCGAGTCACATCCTTAAACCAACCAAGTATTACGTATTGTCTTTTAGGGATCGTATAACGGGAGACGACATCATTGCGACAGCCTTCATTCACATGTCTGAAATCTCTGGTCAAGGAGAGGAAGGTAGAAATCATCGGTTAACAACGCTTGTACCTTTGTGTCTAGCAATTATGCATGATCGGGATTTCACGGTGAATATACTTTGTTCCAGGGTTCCTTCCTGTTTACGGCCCATGTTTTCTCAACATGTATGGCTCTCTTCGTGAATTCAGCGAACTTGGCGATGAATACGAAGACTTGAACAAAGGAATCGTAAGTTGATTGCACTGAAGAATGAAAACTACTACGAGTATATCTTCTCTTGTTTGTCAACCTTTGGAAAGTAGTAGAAGACAATCTTTTGTGCTAAAATGGAGGCCGTTTTTTCTTCAGGGTGAAGGTGTTTGTTATCGTGGACGTGTTTTGGTACAGCTTGAAACCCAGTTGGACGCTGAAATCGAAGATGAGGTGGCAGAGATCCCTCAAGAAGATGTCGCACTTGTTCAACCTTTCTTACGACGACGCAAATACAAGCTTTATGCTTGCTTTATGGAAGCCACAATGATCGCCATTGATGACTCGCCTGTCGAGTTTGAAGTCAGCGTTGGTAAGTTAAACATAAGAATTGGATGGGAATATCTGTTGCAAACATGTAATATCATGTATTATCATGACAAAGATTAGACCTCAATATTGACAGAGAATAGATGATGTATTGTATTATATCACTTCAGGAAACTACGGTAACAAGCTCGATCGTTCTGTGGAGCCATCTTGTTCCACAACTCCACCAACCAATCCTGTTTTCGATGGCGAGTTCTATTATTATTTGCCGTGGGGAAACGCGAAACCATGTGTCAACGTTGAATCCCATTGGGAGGACATCGCGTTCCGTTTAAATCCTTTGAACGCGCTGAAGAAAGTTGTGGCTAGATTGGTAAGTCGAATTCTTTCATCAAGAAAATTCGTTAGAACTTTCGATGGAAACAGCCTTCTAAAACTAAATACTTCTTTCCTTGTACTTTTTAGGAAGCCAATGTGGAGAAGGTTAATATTAGTGTCCAGTCGAAAGCACCAACAGCCGAAACTGCCACAATTCTTATCGCTTTGCTTGACCAACTCATCAAAGATTGCAAGTACGTACATTCTCCGATTTCCCATTCTGTGGGGATAATCTGGAGACTAACTAAAGACTCTCTTCCATTTCAGCACTCCATTACCTCAGTTTGATCTGAGCATGATGGGTGTCACTCGATTGGACATGAAGAACCAAGAAATCCGTATTGATGAAATGGTAAGTTTCTTCTAAGAACATCACACGAGTTGAAATAAAACCTGTTCTATTCTAACAATGTGCTGTATGTAATTTTATCCTGTGTTTGCAAACAAGTAATTCAGAACAAGAGATGGTCTATTTGTAAATAAGTTAGGCATTCAACGAGTAACCTGTCCTTTCGTCTCCATCTTTTGTGTAGGCTGCCATCGCTGAAGAAGCAACAAAACTCCGAGAATGTGCCACGGACGTACAAGAGGCTTTGAGTGAAATACAATCTTACCTTACACGTTTGAAGGACGTCGCTGTGGAGGTAATAGAAAATGGTTTTCATCTAGCCTTCGTTTATAAGAAACATCCTTACAATAATTCAGAGGTCAGTGGAGAAGATTCGTGCCTTAATTCATTTCAATTCGTGATTTTTTGCCAGCCTCAAAACAGCATGCCTGATATCGTTATTTGGATGATAAGTGGAAGCGATCGTGTCGCCTATTACAGAATTCCTGCCTACGATTTGCTGTTTAACAACAATCCAGAGTATTCTGGACAGTTCTGTAAAAAAGTTCTTGATCTTGAGCTGAAGGTAAGCGCTTTTTCCGTCTTTCCAGACCTAATGATGAATTCATCACCATTGACTTAACCATTAAGTTATTTTCAACTAAATGTCTTTCGACTTAACAAGTTTTCATATCGTTTCAACGATAAATTTTCATATGTTCCGGTCCGTCAAGTTTATAATGTGTATGAATCATCTTCTTCAGTATCCTGGCAAGAAAGGACGTAATACAAAGGATCATCCCGAGTTACCTGCATTGGTTCGTTGTATCTTGTGGTTTGGCTTGGACTCTGACTCTCAGGATTGGACGGGTGTTCACGATGAAGGATCATTCACCGTTTTTGCCGAGACGGTAGGCGACGCGTTGAACTCAGCTTAGCTATTCCGTATATTTCTTTTAAATACACTGAAAGAAATGCAGGAATCTCTAACGCTTTATGCCAGGCTAATACGGAATCTCCGTGGTCAAAATCTCTGATTTTTTTTCAGTATGAAAATCAACAAAATGTTCTCAGCAAATGGACCAGCAAGGCTCTGATGCGACCCAAGTTTTCTGACTCAAAAGGCGATGTAAGTGTTTGAACTAGGGGTAGCTTGATGTCTTTTGTTTACATGTCTGAAAAGAATAATTCGCGCGAGGACAAACGAAATTCAGCTTACTTTTATCGACCTAGTTCAAACTACCAAAAGACAAATTCATTCCTCCGGATGGATGGGGCTGGGACGGAGACTGGTTCTTGAATCCAGAACTCAGGTAAGGCGGATTATCGCCACAGCTTGAACTTGGAATATCTTCTTCAGAAAGAGGTGGGATACGAATACAACATCAACTATTCTTAATCTTTCAGCACAAACGTTAGCAAAGATGCTGGTCGCAAGGTCTTCCTCGAAGACACGTTTGAATGTGAGGATAGAAATATTCCTGGCGGAGCATGGGCACCAGCCAAAGTTCCTTGGCAAGAAATAGTATGTTTTCGATAACTTTTTCAGTTTGATCTCCTGTAAATCCATCATTGCACGTTCTTGTCATGGTAGTAACCACATGCTAGTAAGACCAGAAGGCAATTCTCTTTCACTTCGAATAAAATCCTCTTGACCATGTGTAGGTCACATTAAAAATCCTCCTATATCCTGCCTTTAGTCTTCTTCTTCGACTCTAGTAAATGCTTTAATCGGGTTCTTTTAGAATGGAGATGCTTGTATCGACTTACAAGGTGAAGCGATCAAATCGCGTGAACAACTCGGTGCTCCGAACGGCTGGGAATGGACCCAAGATTGGGTGGTTGACAGCAACAGAGCAGTGGACGAAAACGGTAATTGTTTGCCTTTTGTAAACCTTTGTTCTTCCCTCGACCACCAATCAATTGAGTCAAACTCCTATGCTCTCCAAATATCGTAAATATCTTCAATAAGGCATCGTTATGGAACTTTATCAGCGCGAGGCTTACAATATCCCTTTGAAAATATCCAGCGTATTGGCACTAAAATCCTTCCCGAAGTTGTAGGAAGGATTATGTCCAAAATTGATTCAAACCATTATCAAATTTTTGTGCTTTTTAGGTTGGGAATACACCATTGATTCTTCGTGGACTGGTTTTGGTCCAGTGGAGAAAACGTATCATCTTTGTAGGAGAAGACGCTGGGTTCGTGAGAGAAAGTTGGTAACAGATCTGCGAAAAGTTGAAGCAGAGAAGGTAATAAAGTTGAAAACATTGCGTAGGTGGTTTTATCATGACTAATCTCTCTTTCAACGAGGATTACAATCATCCATTTACACAATACTCAACGTCCATTCACACAACGTCCATTCATTCCTCTTTGATTATTTTCTAGGCTCGTGCAGCTCAACTTGCTGCCGAGGGCTGGGAATATGCCAAAGTATTCACTGCAAAATTCCACGTCAAAGAACGAACTATGGACTTGGTGCGAAGACGCCGTTGGCACAGAAAATTGGTTCAGAAAAGCGACGTTGCTGCTGCTCCTGTTTTCAAGATGGACGTTGGCGATGTGAGTTTCTCCCTTCATTCAGTTTAAAACGACAATTAAAAACATTAATATTGCAATCATGAGAAAAATAACATTCTCATATTTAAAATCTGTGCATTTAGAAAGAAGATGAATCCGAAAACACGATGAATTCTCCGCGAATGTTCCTGACTTACGATAGTAAGATTTTAATTGTATTATGTTTGGATTAAAGGCATATGTGCTTGAAAATGGTTTTTTTGAGTTTCCCAATTTTGCTTTTTAAATTAAATTCTGTTTTTTTTCTCATTCAAGAACCTCATCAGTATCAGCTCCGCGTGTACATCTATCAAGCACGTGATCTTGTTCCTTCGGACCAAGATGGATATTCAGGTACATTTATGAAAAGTTAGTGCCATGATGGAGACCTGGGGGCCTTTAACAAACCTCAGCCTGGTTCATACTGAGCTGTATCTTTTGTAATTCATCTTAGCTGAAATTAGCGAGAACATTTAGCACATTTCCTTCACGTTGCTTTAAATATCTACTACAATTTCATAGATCCATATGTCAGAGTCGTCTTTGGCAACGTTTGTCAAACCACGGAGCCGTTGGAAAAGACTTTATGCCCCACTTGGGACCAAACTCTGATATTCGAAAATGTTGGCATCCATGGATCTGTCCAGAGCGTTCTTGACAATCCTCCGAATATTTTGATGGAGATCTTCGACGAGGATAAAGTGGTGGGTATCCCCTTCCATGCGCCCTCAATACAATATTCGTGCACACGTCATGATAGGCAGAATATCAGTGATTTATCATCTGAACTTGTTCATATTAGGGTAAGGACGAGTTCCTTGGCCGCGCACGTGCTGAGCCCGTGGTTCGTGTGAACGGAAGTGAAGGCGGCGCAGCTCGTTTGGCCTGGTACACAGTTGAGAAGGATGGCGGCTATGCTGGAGATATTTTGGCTGCGTTTGAATTATTTTTGGTAAGTTTTTGCAGAATACCACCCACGGTCTCTTGGTTTAGATTTCCTTCTGTACTAAAGCTATATCAATAAGATATGATTCCTATGGAACATCTATCTGGATCAACTGATCAAGAACAACTGATCAGGTTATCTAGTAAAAATATAGTTCTAAAAACAAGAAGAGGTTCAGGACTGATAAGAGGTTGAGAAGAGGTTCAGGACTGATAAAGCCTACCAATATTCAGTAAAAACTTTGTTTCGTTTCTAGGACGAAGGCGCCGAACTGCCTTTCGCTCCACCAATGCGTGGAGACTTTTACCTTGTTCCGAATGGAGTCAGACCTGTGTTACAAAGAACCGCTCTAGAGGTGAGTAGCATTACGATATTTTAATCTTGTTTTAACCTCTCACATTTTATGACGTCCTTCCTCTTTCCCCAGGTCATGTGTTGGGGGCTAAGAAACATGAAGAAATATCAGCTGACAAGCGTGTCATCCCCAAGCATCGACTTCGAAATTGGCGACCAGAAAATCACCTCCACTGTCATCAAGAATTTGAAAAGAAATCCAAACTTTGACCAGCCATTGTTCTTCTTCGATGTGGTTAGTAGTTTTTCGACATATTTTTGAGATCTTGATTTAGATTCATTTAAACAAGAGCAAGGTTGTTTTCCTAAGTTTTTTGAAGGAAAACTTGGTTTTTAACTGTCCTTCGTGCATTTTCAGTATCTTCCAAAAGAAGAGATTTATTCCCCTCCTTTGCGTATCAAAGTTCGCGACCATCGAACATTTGGTCGAGCACCAGTTGTTGGAACTCATTTGGTGAAGTCTTTGGCGCCGTTCCGTCGTGAAGTACCACAAGAGGACAACAACTCCGACATCGTTCCTTCAGGTATGGGCACCTTTGTTGAAGATTTGAATTATTTCCAGATAACAATCCCACATCCGAAAAGGGGATCTTAATGTTAGCCAATGTTGACAAGTTATGTCCTTACAGGTGACCAGGTCGATGCCGCGCCAGCCACAGCTGTGGTTGAAATGAAAGAAGAAGCAAAGGTAACAATATCTTCCCGCCTTTCTAAACCACGTTCCTTGTCCAGAAAAGTTATCTGTCCACATACGAGCAGAGCTGGAAAGAAAATAGCGCCTGTGGCTGTGGATGAGGAAATTTGATTTGTGTTGTGTTCACATTGTTATTTAACAAATTGCCTACATATCCCAGGTTCCACAATCTTGACAATTCCTCTATTATGTTTAGGATCCAAAGGAAGATGAACAAATCGATTGGTGGTCTAAATTCTACGCCTCAATTGGCGACGAGGAGAGAGCAGGAGAATACAACGACAAGGGATACGACAAACTCACGGTAGGAGGAGTTGATGTGAATCATTTCAGACGTTTGTGGGCAATGGTCGTGTCTATAGGGAGGGGTGATCTTGTGTCTTGATCTTGTATCTTTACTTTCCCCAAGGTGTACCCAGGACCTCTTGAGAGAGTTGAAGAATTTGGAGGTCTCTGCGATTTCCTTGACACCTTCTCATTGGTCCGTGGAAAGAAGAAGAAACGGCCTGACGATGATGATGAAGAAGTGGGAGAATTTAAGGTTTGTTGTAAACGAATGCATCAATAGAATCATCCGTTATTTTTCTGAAATCTCAATGTTTTCGACTAGATTTACCGTGGTATAATTTTGTTTAGGGAACGTTCCGCGTGTATCCATTACCTGCAGATCCAAATGAACCTTTGCCACCAAAAGCCATTAGAAACTTACCTCCGTCTGAGCCTATTGAATGTATTGTGAGAGCTTACATTATTCGAGTAAGTTTGATTTACGTTTGAATACAATTTCCCATCTTTGACAGTTAGACTGTCCACTGAAAGTTACGTTTTAAACTCAATTTTCGTACTTCTTTACTTTAGGCCATTGATTTACCACCTCAAGACAACAGTGGTCTGGTGAGTGGAAATCCGGATTTTCGCTGAATTGCTTTGAGCAAACTGGTATTCTATTAATTGGTTATAACGGCTGTGGATTTCTTTCTCTGACAGGCTGATCCATACATAATCATTTCTCTTGGAAAACAGAAGTTTTCAAGCCGTGATAACTATGTTCCAAATAGCTTGAACCCAGTCTTCGGCAGGTGCGTTTAAAACTATAGCAACCCAGAACTTCAACAAATCCTTAAGTTATTCTGAATTGTTGTCGCCTACGTTAAGACCTCCAAGACTCAGATGGAAAGTTCTCCGCCATAATTTCTCAACCCTTTTTAATTTCTTCACACACAGCATGTTCGAATTTACTGCCAAGATCCCAGTGGATAAAGATCTCTCGATTTCTGTGATGGATTACGATCTGATCAGCTCGGATGATCTTATTGGTCAAACGACAATTGATTTGGAAAACCGTTTCCTAACCAAACATCGTGCCATCTGTGGATTACCTGAATCTTACTGCGAGTAAGTGTCCATTTCATTTAGTTCAACAATACAGCATTTCTGGATAATCCCAGATCATTTTAACTGAACACGTTAGCGAAAGCATTCCAGCAAACTTAATAACAAGCTTGTATATTTTTCAAGTCATTGTACAAATCATTACGTAAAGCTGATAAAACGTGAGTGACGGCTACATAGCGTAACAGAATCCCCACTCGAAAGAAGTTATTGGACCAAATTGTTATTACACCAAGTTATTAGACCAAAGTCTATCAGGTTTTAACTGAAAAATCCCTATAGCAAGTTTTCTGTACCTTTAAAGTTTAAAGTTAAGAGCATATTAACATGTTCTAAGGTTTTTCAAACGTCTAACATCTTGTGTCATTTCCAGAACTGGTCCTAACAAATGGCGTGACATGCAGCTTCCCACGGAGATCTTGGATTCTTATTGTGAAAAACGAAGTTTGGGGAAACCACGATACAATGGCGACACGATAGTCAGAGTCGATCACAAGGATTACACCTTGGAAGAGTTTGGTAAGTTCTAAAATCCTGCTCATTTTTAGACAGGAGAAGACAAGATAGAAAAGAAGAGAATACATTCAAACTTTTTCTAAATTATATTCAAATGAGGTTAAATGATAGTCGTACGATTCAACATTGCACTGACAAGGTGATTCACAGCCATTACTTCTTTCTTCCTTCCGTTTGTTAACCTTTTCAACTGCCATTTGCTTTGCAGAGGATGGGATTATTCTGCATCAACATCTGGGAGCGACACGTGAACGCTTGGCTCTGCATGTCCTCAACTCGTTTGGTGAAATCGTGCCAGAGCACGTCGAGACAAGACCACTTCACACAGCCATACAACCCGACATGGAACAGGTGAGTTCAGGAAAAGTTGAAAAATTTACTTGATCAAAACGACAATTCAAATCTGCAGTGTTTACAGCCTTTGTTAACAAGTTGTTAACCAATAATAGCCACATCCCACCAGCTGGGGTTGAATTGTTTCCAAGACATCCTAGTAACAATTTCAGTTAAGATAATATTCCTGGAACTCAGAATACATTCCTTGTTTTGTAGGGTAAACTACAATTGTTTGTTGATGTTTTCCCCAAACACATTGGTGCGCCAAATGAACCCGTTGATATTGGACCTCGAGTTGCCTCTAAGTAAGTGGAGAACTGTTGTTTTTTCCAAACATCACTCTGTCCAAACGTAGTTTTAACTCGATATTAAACGTAAACAATTTTGTTTCAATTCCTAGGTATGAACTTCGTGTCATCGTCTGGAACACATCTGATGTTTATTTGGAAGAAAGTAATCTTGTTGGTGAACAAATGAGTGACATTTATGTAAAATGGTACGAGATATGATTATCTGTTGAAGCGAAAGAACTTATAGGCTATGAAAACAAAGACGTGATAGAATTGCTGGGGTTTTTTGTCATCATGAATTATATTCTGTACGTTTAAAAATTGGGTCTTTTATCTTTAGTTGGATAGCTGGAATTGAAGATAAATTGAAGACGGATACCCATTATCGGTAAGGGAACTCGTTTCCATTGCAACTGAGAGTTTTTTGGCGATCTTAACACAATTATTTTGGTCGTGTCAAAGCTACGTGCCGAAGTAACGTCTTCATCTTTTTGCTCAATATAGATCTTTGAACGGTGAAGGTAACTTCAACTGGCGTATGTTGTTCCCATTTGATTATCTCGAAGCTGAGAAGATAATGGTGGTAAAGAAGAAGGTAAAATAAACTGTCAAAAACCGTTCAGTGCAAAATATCAATTTGAAGTTGCGTCTAGATATTACAATAATCAGTTTCAATAGACTTGATTATATCGAAAAAAACATAAACGAAAGTAAACAAGACATGCATATCATTTGTGTAGCCTACGTTTGTCTCAATTTTTATTTCTTACTTTTAAAGCTTCATTTCTGGAGTTTGGATACGACTGAAGAGAGGCTCCCACCTCGTTTGGTTATTCAGATTTGGGACAACGACACATTCAATCCTGATGATTTCATAGGTAACTCGTTTATACGTTATATATTTACACCGTGAACAATGGTACGCTTTGAATCCAAATCAATGATAAGAAATAGCAACGGATTGTGAACGTAGATATCCTGATTCATCATTTCCAATTACTTTTCAGGTTCGGTTGAGCTCCCCTTGGATCAATTGCCGACGCCATTTTCAAAACCAAAGAAGATCAAGGACATTAACTGTCTCGAAGGCAGAAAGACAACGTCTTTGTTTGATGTGAAGCAAACGTTTGGTTGGTGGCCCGTATTTGGCGAAATTGAGACGAAAGGAAAGAAAGAGCCCGCTTTGATGGTACGAAAACCTCAAACTAACTAACTTACATCTTAAACGTAGAGTTACAGTGTTGTAGTTGTTTATTTAGAGAAGAAAATGTCGACGTTTTAAGCTGGTTGAGATTCATTGCTTAAAACGTGGCCCTTGTTGTGTGTCGAAACACAACATTATTATGATTTACAGATTACGTACAGAAACAGCATTTGAGTAATTCTGGTGTGGTTTACTTTAAACCTTAATTTTAATATAATTTGTTGACAATGTTTAGGGGAAGATTGAGCTGACGATGGAGTTACTGAATGAACAAGAGACCCTGGAGAAGCCAACTGCGAATGCCAGAGACGAACCAAACGCACATCCCACATTGTCTGAACCAAAGTAAGAAGTGAATTGCAAGAGTTTTACTCCTCAAAACCATTCCTAATTAGGAGTCTCTCTGAATCGTAATTTCCTGGGGTTTAAAGACGAGCTTTGGGGAACATTGCAAGCTCAGGGCCTGTTAACACGAGCCAATCTGTCGGATCCAATTCACCTCTGATGGATGTTTTACATTCTGTCGACTGGCAAAGTATAGGGGCAGCAAATCAACTAAAGCCAATGCATTGCTACTTTATACCAATAACAAACTACACTCATACGTCAGAACTGAATTGGATCCAACAAATTTGGATCATGTGAACCGGCCTTAATTCTTCGAGATAATCGAAGAATAATGAACCGTACAATGTGTAACTTTTTTGTTTATTCTATCCATAGTCGTCCAGCCACATCCTTCTTCTTCCTTACATCACCCTGGAAATCGTTCAAGTTCATCATTTGGAAGAACTTCAAATGGTATATCATTGGCTTTATTCTTCTACTCCTATTGATTGGTATCATCGTTCTCTTCCTCTATGCAATGCCTGTGAGTATAGTTTTTATAATGAACAATTTCTGTGGTACCAATTTACTCTCTTCCGACAAAAACAATAACATTCGTTGAATTCTTGTTCCAGGGTTACACCGTTAAGAAGATATTCAAGGTCTAAACACAGTGGCGAAGAAGCCAGAACTAAATAATAAAGTTCGTAGTTAGTGAGTACCCTAGAATTGAACAATTTTATGCTTTCATTTTAACAATTGTCTACCTCAGAATGCATGTTCGTCTATATATTTAAAGGGAGTACGCTTGTCTTCAAAGATGGAGCGGTGCATTCCATATAGTGTTTGATTTTTTTCTTTGATATAGAATTAATAAACATTAACGTATTGTGATTTAGCAAGTTAAACTTTCTGGTTATGCAAAATTGAATTAAATTAATAATTGATACTCTTATAATTGAAGTATATTTTTCTATATCAAACCGTTCATTTGTGACATCGATGTACAGGGTGTCCCAAAAAATGTCCCCTCTATTGAAATCAAGCTTTTGTTAGATCTGATTGCCTTAATAATTTTATGAAAAACCCAATTGAAGGCAAGACGCTTTATTTGAATGCCTCAACCTAATAACTACGCTATTTACACACTACTGCGTTGATCATGCATTCAAATTCCAACAAAAGCTTCATTTCAATAGAGGAGGGACTTTTTTTGGACATCGATATAGTTGATGCAGGAGTTCCATCATACTAGGCTTTGAGCCAACAATCTGCAATCCTTATCGGTTTGTCTAAAATGCAATCGTCTTTCGAAAAATAACATAATTAAACTAACAGGCCTGGCAAATTCGCTTCCCAACTATCGCTGACAATGAGTTTTGCAGACAATCAGCATCGTGCGAAAAACGTTTCAAGCCTGAAATTATACTTTTAAAAAAATTATTCACCTCCTCAAACTTTCCTTAATATTGCAACTATACCGAGCTATTTACTGAGATGAGACGAAACAGCAGGAAAACGTCGTTGAATTGGACAAAATTACCATTTTTGAAAAACTTAAATATATTCACGCTGATATTCTGAAGTACTCACTCAAGCATAGCAATATTTTCATTAGCTTATCCACAGGATTGCCGATTCGCTTCGCGAGTCAGAGTGTGCTTTTTTAAAACGAAGCTTGTTTAAATAAGCGTCGAAAGCAATTTCATAAACTTTGTCGCGATTTCCTTGTAAAATTGGACTCGAATTTGTTCTCAAAATGCCAAGGAAACATCCAGCGAGCGATACTCTGAATTGGTAAATTGGGAAACGTGGAGAATGGAGCGAGAGAAACGAATTATATCGGAATACATACTGAGAGGTCTGAATTTCAAAGCAACGAATTTAGTTGGTTTGCAGAAGAAGACGAAAGGAAGCGCTCCATTCGTTGTGCTTGAATTCAAAGGTTAGATCGATTTGTTTTGTCAATATGATAGTTTAATATTGCTTTTATCATCGTGGCTCCAGTATAGGATTAGTTTTAATACGATATATTGTATGTTACGGAGTATAGCTGGGGTAACCATTAGGCATTACGCCATTAGTGTAAGTTCTCACAGAGAGAGAGAGTGTAGCTCTTGTATTTATTCGGAAACAACTAGGATAAAAGATGTTCCCTGGGTGGAATTGCGTTCTCCCCAAACCTTTATACGTAACGTTTTTTTGGCAGACATCTCTTCTTATAGAAACGTTAGTAGCTACAATTCGTCCCTTGTGAATAGAGTATTGGGAATTTCAGTCAATATATGTATTGTTGTCGGACTTTTTATGATATATTTCCCTGCCAAACTTGACCGGTAATTTGATCTAACAAAAAGGTAAACATGCTGTGGTAGGAACTTTGTTGAAATTGATGGTTTACAGTGTCGAAAAGCACGTTTTGTATTCTGTCTTGATTATAGTTGGAAATTTCTAGGGCAGTCTAGCAGCGAATTTCACAACGTCTAAATGAAATGTAACGTTAGAATATTTGACTCTGCGCGTTGTTTTTAATATATTGTGCTATTCGGCATGAATTGAAACCTAAAAACCCGCACAAATTTTAATTTTTTTGGTTTGGGTAAACGGCGTAAAAACCGGGTCTAAAAGTTAGAAAAAAGCACAGATTTTTGTGTGGGTTTAACACCTTCTTTATCAGACGCTAAAAAGTCGAGAGTTCATTCAAATTCGTTATGTTTTTATTAATTTCTGACTTTTCCATTTTCACTATGGAGATTTCTATTATTTTGTCACCATAAGTGGCCGATGCGCGTGATTAAGCTTTTTCAATTCGCCCGCGATGATATCTGCATAGTAATGCCCACTGGAGTATGCTGACGAATATCCGAGATATAGGACTTGCTTTTCGCAAGTAAACAGCTATAAATTCATGATTTGATTTCAATGACATTCTATCGCATGATTTGATTTCAATGACATTCAATTACGTGATTTGATTTCAAATGCATTGTATCACAATTGTACGACATCTTTAACCGTATGTTTGAGCGTAAGTGACTAAGGATGTCTGATAACGTCATCGATAACAAAGAGACATGGTTATTTGAAAGCTATTAAAAGTAAATTTAGGCAAGTCCGACAAGCTACGAACTTCTTCCTAGTTTTGTCAGTTTCCGTCGTACATGAAATGTAGTCGAGGAGCCCACGGATCATTCCGCTGATTGCTTTTTGTCTGAAAGGCAACCTGCAAACGAGAGCTCGCAAAATAAACAGCGATCTCGCTAGTTGGTTTCTATTAGTCGGGCTTTTTCGAACTGAATTAACTGCCCCTTGAGATCGAGAATTTTCGTGACTGCAAGGCTTTTATTCTTTTATTAAATAACGCTATTTCGATCAGATAATGAGTCTTGAAACTTCTACAAATAAGTCAGTAACATTTCCACAAAAAATTTCCATTCTCAAGAGTGCCATATTGTGTGAAGGATCGTGAGGAACATACTTGACATGACCTACTTTCATATTTACCAATATTCATAAGTTTTTTAAGAAGATAGCTTCTTCACTTGAGATTTCGTTAATAAATTGAAGTGCAACTTGTCCTTGTCTCCTCTGCCTCGAAAATATTCAATTCCTCGACACAAATGTTCCCATGTGAAAGTAAGTGATCCACTTCAAGCCAATACGGACGAACCTTGGCGCTATTTTTGGCACATTTGAAATACACTTCGCCGTCCATATTTGCATTCACTACTTGACCATCGCTACAAAACAGCTACTTTGCATGATCAAGACAAGGATCGGCTTTCTTCTTTATTATTCTTCGTTGTAATTTTTTTTTGCAGCTTATAATGGTTGCCCAGAAGAGCAAAATAGTGAAATACATTTTGCAACAGTCTATCACCTCAACTACCACACGGAGACTGCACAGAATCCATCATCTTTTGGAAGAAAGTTTTAAAATCTTCTGTTTTGTTCTTTTCTTCAGGTGTTAAAAGGAAAACTGAGCCTGGAGCTACGGAAGAATTAGAAGCAATTTGGAAGGAGGTTTGTCTCAATTCAAATACGACCCAAATATGATATTTTTCTACGAGTCTTTTTTTCCTCTTTGAATATCTTTCAGGCACTGGAATGGGACTTACACGCACGAGACCTGGAACCGACTGATTATGTTAAAGTGAAAATCTTTGAACAGGAGAAATACTGGAAAAACAGGTAATCAGAAGAATCTCCTGGTTGTGTCTTGACATGTAAATAAAATAAGTCTAATTTCATCAATTAGCAGCCAGTCGCCCTCGTGAAGGCCCGAAAGCTTTGCAGCAATAAATCTGCATGGTGCACCTAGACAAATTAATAGTTATGTGGTTTTACATAAATATATTTAAATGGCTTTCAGACTTCTAGGAAAAGCGAAGGTATTTTTGGAGTCACTTGCTGAAAGAAAGGAAGACAAAACGCATGTTGATGTCAACCTCACCGATGGCTATGGCAACCCTACTGAAGTATGTTTTGCTTTTATTCGTATCCATGAAGGCGAACGTCATTCATCTCTAAGATAGAGGGTTGTTTAGATTTCTGCTAAGGACTCTTGGCACTTCATATGAGTGCAATTTCCTCTTTCGCGATTCTGTTTCAATGTGCTTGTGCATCGATGTTCATTCAGGCCGGAAGTCCTCTCGTCTCTTGTCGTAACTTTCTCGATTTGTTTTTGCAATATTTCTAAATTTCTCGTTTAGTATAAATTCTCCTGCGACCTGGAGTACATCTGTCCGACATCAAACGGAGCTGAGGCTGAAAAAGACAAAGAAAATGCTCAAGACGACTCTGACGACGACACGGACGAAAAACGAGATTCCAAACGGTACGGGGAAAATACTTTTAAGATGTCTTCCCTTCAATGAGGACAAGTTCATTCAATCCACCACTTTTTTGTCTTTACAGATCAGAGGAAACCAGAAAGCAACGACTCTCTCTGCCAGACAAACCTCTTGATTTCCAGGTGTGTGAATTTTCGAGATTTGTTCTCCTTTTAAAATTCCAAAAACAGAACATCTCCTAAACATGGCTGCTTTTTCCAAAAGAACATAGCTTCCCTCTCAATGCAACTTGACAATGGTCTTCTTTAAGAACTTATCCGAAGAGGAAACCGGTTCATTCCAGCGCCTTGTCCTCTGTTAACCCAGATAGCACTCTTTTATTTTGAAATAAAGTTTTCTGGGGGGTTTTAATTTAGATTCGTATTAAAGTAATCGAGGCACGTCAGCTTGAGGGCAACGACATCAATCCTGTGACCAGAGTCACTATTGGAAACAAGAAAAGACAGACGCAGGTCCGTCAGTCAACAAACAGACCTTACTACAATCAGGTATGGCGAGGTGAATATGTCAGGATAGACAGGAATATGGTATACTCAACCTTGGTAATAAAAATATTAGTGAAGGTCGAATACACCGGAATATGGTCATGTTTCTATTTAAGGAAGCTTCACGTTTCTTTCTCCCAAAATATATTCCTTTATTCTTTTCTTTCCAGACGCTCTTCTTTAACTTCTCGGCAATAACTCCGAATGATCTTTTTGGCCAAGAAATAAAATTCGAGGTGATAAGTCTGACTAATAAAATATAAGACCATGTATTTTTTATTCTTTATATACTTTTAGTTAAATTCTTAAATGCCATAAATTAATACTTCTTCTTCAAACTCTTAAGGTTTTCAATTCCCGTTTGTTACGTTCAGACTCCTTGCTCGGAGTGTTCAAGGTGAGCTTTTGTAGTTTATATGTCAACTTGAAAATGAACCGTTTTCGTTGCCAATCCATTACTATCTTTCTCGTTTAGTGTGATGTGGGATTTGTTTACGATTCTAAAGGTACGGTAGATCTTTAATATACGCTTTCGGCGACAACAAGAAACGTATTTTCCCTGGAAAAACTGCATTATTAAGCCAACTGTTTGGTTTTCTTCCATGGCATGTCCTATCGATGCATGTTTACTTCCCTCAAACCTTTACAAAACGCCTGACAATCTATTTTATTTTCAAGATCACTGCCTACTTCGCAAATGGTTACTACTTACTGAACCGGAGGATCAGGAAACTGTAGTCAAGGTAAATTCCTTCTCGTATTAGTACAAGGTAATATATTGCGAACACACTACAATCAGATTGATTGTCAAAACAGTGAATACAAATTCCGACCATAAGGAATATCCAAGAGCGTTGATTGAACGTCCTTGTGAAACGTGTGATATGCAGGTGTGAGATATGAAAAGCTCTTACATCGAGCCTCAATTTACTAATTAGTTTAAGCTAGTTTAATCTCAAACTAGTTCAAGCCTTGTTCCTTTAACAGTAGCCTTGGCTTCATTCGAACACACAAAGTGTATATTCATTTACTTCTAGGGTTTGGAACAGTCTACAGTTGGTCAAGATGAATCTCAGGACTCAGGAAAGACTCTTGCTGTATGTTGAAACATATTACGGTTTGTCATCGGTTAGGCAACGATATATAACTAAATTTCTTCGCCGTGTTTTGCAGGGTTATTTGAAGACCAGTATGGTTGTATTACAGCCTGGTGCAACTTCTCCGGTGAGTATGAATTACAAGTGCATGGCCTACACAGAAAATTGGATTTTTTCCCAGCCATATATAGCTATAGGAATGCAACGAGAATACGCCATCCTTTAGTATTCTGCTTATATACAGTCGAATGTCAAACAATTGTATTATGGATGAAAAAGTACTACAATTTCATTGCTTTGCAATTTGTCGACCTTAAAATATGGAAAATTGCAAGTTATTAGGGATAAAGCAATTGACAATAGTTCTTGCAAGGTTAGCGTTCATGGCTAACTGTTGGTTTTTGAAATACACGTTTTCGTCTTCTTTCAGCCGTTAGAAAATATTGGTAGTGATCCAGATGAGGACGATATCGAAGCGTAAGAAACAAAATATTTTTATAGTTGATTCAATAATGTCCATAATATTTCTAACAGAGAATGGCGGATTTGTTGATATTTGCAGTGATAGAGTTTGTTTTTTTTAAAGCACCAACTAAATATAACATTTTTTCTTTGAAGAAATTTGCTTCGTTCGCCTGGCGTTGCTTTGACATCTGCAGTGTTTTTTATAAAGATCTACAAAGCGGAGGATCTTCCTCAAAGTAAGCTGCTAGCATGAATGTTTTTCTTGCCTGAGTCTGACTGTTGAGAGTAACCACGTCTTTGAGCCAACAAGCCCATGAATACATTGAAAGAATCATAGGCGTACATTTGAATAATCATTTGCATCTTCAAAGTTTGCTTTTTACGTTGTAGTGGATTCCGATTTTGTCCAAAACGTAAAGAAGACTTTAAGAATTCGCAAGGTAAGATACGTTATCCCAAACCCTTGCAATGTTCTCCGTGTGTAGCTTAATGCCACACCATCAAATTGGATCCTTTATCATGTTTTCTCTCCGGCTATTTTAAGGTTTAAATTCTTTGACTTCAAATATTATGTATTGTTTCTAATTTTACAGCAGGCAAAAGATTTGGTTGATCCGTACTGCATTGTCACATTTGCTGGAACCAAGGTTTGTTACAACAAAATTTGTCCAACCAGACATCATCGTTCTTTTCTGAGCAAATAACAAAACTTCAATGATCTTCAGTGTCGCATTCTGCCATTTTCCGTCTGTCTTTAACTCTATGATTCATATTTCAGGCAACCAGCGAAACCATTTATTCTTCCAACAATCCGGCATTCAACGAAATTCTTCATTTGCCATTCCAAGTAAGACGAATATAATCTTTGGAGTCTTTGCAACAGTATAACGAATTGCGTTCTGTTTATACTGCGAACATATAGTTCTGAAAACCTAGAGTTAGGTAATCTTTCAAACTAAACATTGTGGTGTAGTTTTACGGTTTTACCACAAATCCAATTGTACGTATATTTGAGAAAGCTTTTCAGTTTCATTAGATCTAAACTGATTCTCGCAGAATTGCAATGAAGGAAATGAAGCAGTCGTTAGTTTATGAAAACCGCTCTTTTTAACTATCGCTTTTAGTTCCCGTCCATGTGTGATAGATTAAAGATTCAGTTGGTCGACTGGTATGTGAAATATGTCAAAATATAGTATCGCTTTTATATCAAACTATATATATATAAACTTTTTACTGATACACAACTATTTTAGCGCAGAAATAATTCGATGTTTTTCGTAGGGACCGGCTCACGGCAGACGATGTCATCGGTACAAAATTTTTTCCACTGTCAGAGATTTCAGGAAATGGCGGTTCAGGTGTGGAATGCTATCATACAATAAGAATTATTTTTTATTGCTTTTGAGGCAGCGTGCGTTGACGATTTGCTTGAAAAAACTTGGTGTAACTCCATAAACTAACTTGTATTAATCCATTCAGGGTATCTCCCATGTTTTGGACCCTGTTTTGTAAACCTGTATGGATCGACCAGAGAGTTTTCGGATTTGCCAGACGAATATGAAGAATTGAACCAAGGAAATGTGAGTTGTTGTAAACAAAGTTCATTCATCACTGCTCCAAGCAACAAGAGTTTTGTGTGTTGAACTTTCATGAACAACCGACTCAGCGTCATTGTTTTTGAGTGATGAAAACTGCCTCAATCCTTTCTGAAATTCAACGAGGAGTCAAGGACTTAGGAATATACAATACTATAAAGCTGACGTTTTCTTTTGCTCACATTTAGGGAGAAGGCGTCGCTTATCGTGGTCGAGTGTTGCTTGAACTGGAAGCAAAACTCAACACGAGCATCACGGCGGAAAAAGACACGATAAGTCAATCAGACGTTCTCAAAGTTCAGGTAAGAAACATCTAGAAACTCCCAGGAAGTTTGCATGTCCAGTTTGTTATGTAAACTTTAGAAACAAGTTCACGTCTAAAGTTCAGGGCCCGGTTGTATCAAGCCCGTTTAGCCTAAACGGTGGATAAGTTCAAAATGGAAAGCAGGTCTATCGTTTTATTCAACAAGCGAACTAAATGCTTTTGACCTTAATACAAAGATACTGTTTGCAACTACATATTCAGTGCATAATATTCAAGTTGACATATTCAAGAGAGATGTAAGAGTGTTATTTAATTTTGACTTATCCACCGTTTAAGCTAAACGGGCTTGATACAACCGGCCCCTGATGTTTAATAAGTCTTATATGGTTAATAAACTAAAGGTTTGCGAATCCTAATTATCGTTTTGGTCAGGAGATATTTCAGAATTGTGTTTTAATTGTTTCCCATTGTCTTCTTCAGCCGTTCATGCGACGCTCAAAGTTCCGTCTTCTTGCAAGTTTCCTTGAAGCAACCATGTTGTCAGTGCACGACTCGCCAATTGAATTTGAAGTCAGCATAGGTGAGAAAAATTTGATTCAGTCAAGTGCTAGGAGTCTTGAGCCAGAACTGATCTCTATCAATTCATAATATGATAGGTAACTATGGTAATAAACTGGACAACTCATTTAAACCATCGTCATCCACAACTCCTCCCACAAATCCCGTGTTTGACGGCGAGAAGTACTACTATCTGCCGTGGTCTGGTACCAAACCCTGTGTTCGCGTGGATTCACATTGGGAAGATATTACATTCCGTCTAGGAGTGTTGAACAAACTAGTAAAAGCTTGTCACAGACTGGTAAGAAGGCTAATATATTTGTTTTCTGACAAAACCGGCAACACTCATCTTATAATGGGCAATAGCAATTCCTATTCTTAAAGGATGCATTTTGAATGACAGCTCAATTGGAAAACTCTTCGTTCCTTACATTTTGCTTTAGTTATAAGCGACACTAGAACCTCTTTCATGTGAGATCAACTCATTTCTTTCTCAGGAAAAGAACATCGAATTGGTAAAAGTTATTCTATCGAAAGGCGAAGAGACAGAATGCTTGGAGGTTCTTTGTCAAATCTTGGACCAGCTTCTTGACGACTGCAGGTATTCAGTTCTTCGTATAATCGTATTCTCATTGCAAATTTAGAAACGTTGACGTCGAAAATCATATATCGACAAGACAATATTGAAATAAATTGTTTTGGGATTAGTTGACTGTTTCTAATGGCGAGTTTCGACGATCGTATTACGATTTACGATATGTAAACAAAGGGAATCTTTGGCCTCATGCATAAGGCCGATTAATATCAAAATTTCCTTCAAAACAGTAGGCAAACGTTCAGGCATTTATTGTTTCAGTATGCGCACAAGGAATGTATCATAAATGCATAAAAGTTTCCTGCTGTGAACCAAATATAGTCACAATGGTCATGAACCGTAACGATTAGATTGCACTAGAATTGGTATTTCCTGATGAAAGACTAGGTATTCGGTTACGCTGTTTGCCGATCCAATTGTTTTACTTTGGACTTGTCTACGAAGAATCGTATCTGAAATTCTCCCTATATAGCTAGATGAAGAGTTATTTGTGCATGGTTGTGTTACAAGATGTGATTTGATTGTGTCAACAAAGAATATGGCCGAGGGTTTCGACACAAATCGCTTTCAATTAACTGTTGATCAAAGCTTCATTTGCTCTATCTGCCTTGGTGTTTTAAAAGATCCGATGCAATGTGAAAACAACGAACATTATTTCTGTTCATGTTGCATCAAGAAGCATCTGGAGAAGACCTCGCTCAGTTGTCCTGTCTGTCAACAGAAACTGACCGTAGAGACGCTGCGTAAAGCACCGAGAATTATTTCAGATTTCGTTTCACGTTTGAAGATCAATTGTGACCACGCTGAGAGAGGCTGCGATGTGGTTCTCGAACTCGAAGCACTACCAAGACACGTTCAAGACTGCGAGTACACGCCAGTTCATTGCTCCAATGAAGGCTGCGATGATGTCGTCAATAGACGAGATGTTAAACAACACGAGACCGAACGATGTCGCTTCAGGATGATGTCCTGTGACGACTGTCGAGAGAAGATGCCTTACAGTAAATATGACACACACGGCTGTGTCTTACGACGTGATGTTGACGAAATGAAGAAAGATCTCGCAGGAATGAAATCGACGCAAAATGAAATTATAAACGAGATGAAAGAGAGCAGAAAGGAAATGGTGAGAATGGTTGAAAATCTGGCGATGTCGTGTCGAAATGTAAACAAATTGGTCGATTCCATGAGTTGTGATATTGTCGTCATCGGAGGAGTGGATCCGAATAGAGATCAGGTCATCTCGTCTGTCGAGAAACTCAACTTGTTCAATCAAACGTGGACAAGACTAGCTGATTTAAAAACAGCACGATTTGGTTCAGCAGCTGTTGTGTTTCAAAATCAGATTTTGCTTTGTGGTGGTTCTTGCAGCTGGAAGGTTTTGAACGATTCTACGGACAGTATCGAGGTGCTAAATATGAACAGCAATTACTCAGAATGGAAGCCGTTTTCTGTCAATCTCCCTATCAAGGTATATGGTCATCAGTGCGCCATCTACGGTGATTGTCTGCTTATTATTGGTGGCACTCGCGATGATGTTAGATATTTTGATACGATATACGAGTTGCTTCTTGTTCCACCTTTTTCATCCAAGTTGCTCTGTCGCATGAAGAAGAAACGAGCGTTTCATGGAGTCGAGTTGTTTGATGATAAAGTTTTGATCGCTGGTGGAAGTGAAGCAGGAACGGGTGTGGAATTATTTGACATAACAAGAAATGAATGCATCGAAATGCCGCCGTTACCATCACCCATTGCGGGTATGGCGACAGTACGTCGAGATGACACCATGCTGTTGATCGGAGGGATGGATGACAAGGACAACGTCAGCGATAAGATCATCCAATATGATCACAAAACTGGCCAAAGTGAAGTCCTGTTGGTTATGAATAGAAATCTTGTTAGCTGCGCTGCTTTGTATCAAGAGAACGCGCTTGCGGTGATCGGTGGAGCGCAAGAGATACCGTTAAAAAACGCTGTCGACGAACTAACTTGTTATAACTTTTCATCGCGTACTTGGACAAAACTGCCTTCAATGGGCGAACAGAGGTGTCTATCTTCCACAGTTATTGTCAAAAGGAAAATATTCGAATTTTGACATTTCTATACAGACGAATATTGATATACTAAGGCATATTTCAAACATTATACACTTCATGTTTGAAATAAAGTTGCTTTTTAGCTGCTGTTATAACATTTTAGGAGCGGAAGATGATAACTTTAAGTATATTTATCGAATGAACGGCATTACATATAGATTACGGCATTACAATGAACGTATTTCGGAGAACCCCAAAACATGAGTTTGTTCTTTACAACAGGCCGATACTTTCTGTTTCGTTTTATGTTGTTTCGTCCATTTTTATTTCTCTTTAATCCATGCGTTATCTTTCGCCTAAAATATACAAAGCACTGTAATTTTCGGATGATAAAAGAAAACATTATCATTGCATGCACCATGGTTTTGATGCATTTTAATACAAGCACCATCTCATGAGGTCTGGACCTTCGAAATTTAATTACTTGTTTTCATAATAGTTATATCTCGTTGACTTTGTTTTCTATCCCATGATTAGCACTAAGAACTGTTGTATAAGTACTAAAAAATATATGATGAAATTCTTTAGGTTTGAGAAATAATATTGAGACAATTTCAAGGGGTGAAAACTAGTTTTTTAACTGGTAGTGCATGATTCCTGTTGTATACCAAATATGGTTCCTAAGGTTATGACCTCTTATCACAAGACTGTCGTGAATTTGCATTCCCCTAGAAGACCAGTTCAAAGTAATAAATGGGCGGATTATCCACTGAATACAAATCTAATCGTTTTGCTTTTAACTTTGTCTTTAAAGACACAGAGTCGTTTCTAAAATGCGCTTTAGATTTATAAAGAGGTGTTTCTGGTCGTGTTAAAGATGTGATTTCATATCGCATCGGCATTGAATATGGCTGAGGGTTTCGACACAAATCGCTTTCAGTCAACTGTTGATCAAAGCTTCATTTGCTCGATCTGCCTTGATGTTTTAAGAGATCCGATGCAATGTGAAAACAACGAACATTACTTTTGTTCATGTTGCATCAAGAAGCATCTGGAGAAGACTTCGCTCAGTTGTCCTGTCTGTCAACAGAAACTGACCGTAGAGACGTTGCGTAAAGCACCGAGAATTATTTCAGATTTCGTTTCACGTTTGAAGATCAATTGTGACCACGCTGAGAGAGGCTGCGATGTGGTTCTCGAACTCGAAGCACTACCAAGACACGTTCAAGACTGCGAGTACACGCCAGTTCATTGCTCCAATGAAGGCTGCGATGATGTCGTCAATAGACGAGATGTTAAACAACACGAAACCGAACGATGTCGCTTCAAAACAATATCCTGTGACGATTGTCGAGAGAAGATGCCTTACAATAAATATGAAACACACGGCTGTGTCTTACGACGTGATTTTGACGAAATGAAGAAAGATCTCGCAGCAATGAAGTCAACACAACATGAAATTTTAAAAGAAATGAAAGAAGGAAGAGAGCAAATGGCGAAAATGACGGTCGCGATCGAAAATCTGACGAGGTCCTGTCGAAATGTTAACAACTTAGTCAATTCCATCGGTTGTGAAATTTTTGTCATCGGTGGATTGGATATCGAAGCAAAAAAAATCGTTTCGTCCGTCGAGAAATTTAGTTTGTTTAACCAAACGTGGGCGCCACTACCCGAGTTGATAACACCACGTTGTCATTTTGCAGCTGTTGTGTTTCAGAATCAGATTCTGGTTTGTGGCGGTTCTTCGTCCAGACTTTTGAGAAATGGTTTAGATAGTATTGAAGTATTCGATCTAAACAATCATACTCCAGAATGGAAACACTTTTCTGTCAATCTCCCTGTCAAAGTGGCTGGTCATAAGTGCGTCGTCTATGGCAATCGTCTGCTAATTATTGGTGGTTGGGCAAAACTTTCTGAGTATTTGGAACATTTGGATACGATATACGAGTTGCTTCTTGTTCCACCTTATTCATCCAAGTTGCTCTGTCGCATGAAGAAGAAACGAGCGTTTCATGGAGTCGAGTTGTTTGATGATAAAGTTTTGATAGCTGGTGGAAATGATGGACGTGGAGCGCAAAGTGATGTGGAGCTATTTGACATCACAAGAAATGAATGTGTCGAAATGCCGCCATTACCATCACCTGTTAAAACTATGGCGACAATTCGTCGAGATGACACCATGCTGTTGATCGGAGGGATGGATGACAAAATAAATGTCAGCAATAACGTTATCCAATATGATCATAAAACTGGCAAAAGCAAGGTTCTGTTTGTCATGAAGACAAGGCTAGTTGGTTGTGCTGCTGTACTTCAGGGAAACACGCTTGTGGTAATTGGTGGTAGGAAAGATGCCCCGGTTGAGAACAGTGTAAATGAAGTAAATGGTTATAACTTTTCATCGCGTTCCTGGAAAAAACTGCCTTCGATGTACGAACAAAGATATTCATTTTCTGCTGTTATCGTCAAAAGGGACATATTTCAATCTTGACATTTCACGTACTAACCAATGCTGCACGAAGACATTTTCCAGCCTTACTAGCGTTTGGCTTGACATGAAACATGTGTGGCAAGTTCAATTATAACATCACACATACAAATAAATGATACAACATGAACGGCAATAGATAAAATATAAATACACCTAAAGCATGCCGAACATTTGTTCAAAATAAAAAAACAATGGCCATATTGGAGTTCAAAGATTAACCATTTGTCATTAAAATATACAAAGCACTGTAACTTTCGGATGATAAAAGAAAACATTATCATTGCATGCATGATGGTTTTGAAGCATTTTAGTACAAACACCATCTCATGAGGTCTGGACCTTCAACATTTAGTTACTTGTTTTCATAATAGTTATAACTTGTTGACTTTGTTTTCTATCCCATGCATGATTAGCACTAAGAACTGTTGTATAAGTACTAAAAAATATATGATGAAATTCTTTAGGTTTGAGAAATATTTTTGAGACAATTTCAGGGGGTGAACACTAGTTTTCTAACTGGTAGTGCATGATTCCTGTTGTACACCAAATATAGTTCCTAAGGTTATGACCTCCTATCACAAGACTGCCGTGAATTAGCATTTTCCTGGAAGACCAGTTCCAAGTAATAAATAGGCGGATTATCCACTGAATACAAATCTAATCGTTTTGCTTTTAACTTTGTCTTTAAAGACAGAGAGTCGTTTCTAAAATGCACTCTAGATTTATAAAGAGGTGTTTCTGGTCGTGTTAAAGATGTGATTTCATATCGCATCGGCAAAGAATACGGCTGAGGGTTTCGACACAAATCGCTTTCAGTCAACGGTTGACGAAGGCTTAGTTTGCTCGATCTGCCTTGGTGTTTTAAAAGATCCGATGCAATGTGAAAACAACGAGCATTACTTCTGTTCATGTTGCATCAAGAAGCATCTGGAGAAGACCTCGCTCAGTTGTCCTGTCTGTCAACAGAAACTGACCGTAGATACGCTTCGTAAAGCACCGAGAATTATCTCTGATTTCGTTTCACGTTTGAAGATCAATTGTGACCACGCTGAGAGAGGCTGCGATGTGGTTCTCGAACTCGAAGCACTACCAAGACACGTTCAGGACTGCGAGTACACGCCAGTTCATTGCTCCAATGAAGGCTGCGATGATGTCGTCAATAGACGAGATGTTAAACAACACGAGACCGAACTATGTCGCTTCAAAACAATATCTTGTGACGACTGTCGAGAGAAGATGTCTTACAATAAATATGAAACACACGGCTGTGTCTTACGACGTGATGTTGACGAAATGAAGAAAGATCTCGCAGGAATTAAATCAACGCAACATGAAATTTTGAAAGAAATGAAAGAGGGCAGAGAGCAAATGGCGAGAATGACGGTCGCGATCGAAAATCTGACGAGTTCCTGTCGAAATGTTAACAACTTAGTCGATTCCATGAGTTGTGAAATTTTTGTCATCGGGGGAGTGGATATCGAAGCAGAAAAATTCGCTTCGTTCGTCGAGAAATTTAGTTTGTTTAACCAAACGTGGGCGCCACTACCCGAGGCGAAAACACCACGTTGTCATTTTGCAGCTGTTGTGTTTCAGAATCAGATTCTGGTTTGTGGCGGTTCGTCGTCCAGAGTTATAACAAAGTGTTTAGATAGTATTGAAGTATTCGATCTCAATAATCATACTCCACAATGGAAACACTTTTCTGTCAATCTCCCTGTCAAAGTGGCTGGTCATAAGTGCGTGGTCTATGGCAATCGTCTGCTCATTATTGGTGGCTGTTCCGCGTCATTTCGCGAGTATTTTGATACGATATACGAGTTGCTTCTTGTTCCACCTTATTCATCCAAGTTGCTCTGTCGCATGAAGAAGAAACGAGCGTATCATGGAGTCGAGTTGTTTGATGATAAAGTTTTGATAGCTGGTGGAAATGGTTGTATTGGAGCGCAAAGTGATGTGGAGCTATTTGACATTACAAGAAATGAATGTGTCGAAATGCCGCCATTACCATCACCTGTTAAAACTTTGGCAACAGTTCGTCGAGATGACACCATGCTGTTGATCGGAGGCCTGGATGACAAAAAAAATGTCAGCAATAAAGTTATCCAGTATGATCATAAAACTGGCAAGAGCGAGGTTCTGTTGGTCATGGAGACACAGCTAATTGGCTGTGCTGCTGTATTTCAGGAAAACATGCTGGTGGTAATTGGTGGTGGGAATAAGGTCCCGATTAAGAAAGGTATAAATGAAGTAAATGGTTATAACTTTTCATCACGTTCCTGGAAAAAACTGCCTTCGATGAACGAACAAAGATATTTATCTTCAGCTATTGTCGTCAAAAGGGACATATTTCAATTATGACAATTTCATTGACCATCATGTTGCAAATGAACTGTTATGAACAAATTGAACAGCAATAGATAAAATATTTACTATACCTAAAGATAAAATATTTAATATACCTAAATGTCGAATAGTCAAACAATAAATCACATTTAATTTTGGCCATAGTGGCGTTCAAAGATTAACTTTTTGCTGTTAACTACTCCAAATAGCTTGTTTAGGTAAAATTTGTATGATTAATAAAATTTAAATAATTGATTGAAATAATAAAATATTTTTTTCCACAATAATTGTTCACGATTGGAAAAATACGGAGCTCTCAGTATTAGCCATCGCTGAATAACATCAAATGGGAAGGAATGAGTCTTTTTAACTCAATACACAGCTGCTATGAGACGTTTTTCTTGTTTTCAGGAAGAGTACAGTATTGTCGATATCTCCCATTTGGATTTCTGATAGTGCCTAATCTCTTTCCACTGAGCTATATGATATCAGTCACTTTTTCTCTAACACGTAATGTATAATTATCGTTTCCAGGCCTCTCCCTAACCTGCACGCCAGAATGCACGGAGTTACCAATCTGGACTTGTTGTTGAACGACAGACGAAACTCTACCTTGGTAAGTGATCAATTTTTTATGAACTACCTGCTTGCCGTTATCTGTTAGAGAAACACAGCATCTGACGATCCACTGTGTTGTACTACGCTTAAATGCTCTTCGCGCAACCCAAGTAAAATTAAATCAAGCCTCAAAGAACCACCATAACTTTCTTCTCTTCTGAAGAGTGACATCGCCAATGATGCGTTCAAACTTCGCAACAACATCGTCGACCTGAGTGATGCTGTTTTGACAACGGAAGGATTTCTCAAAAAGTTACAAAATATTGCAATCGAGGTCAGTGTAATGAGTCGATATACAGTCTGAAGCTATCAGGAGTATCTGTATTTTGAGATTAAGAATCTCTTCTTTTTAGCCTCAGAACAGCATGCCAGACGTGATCATTTGGATGTTAAAAGGAGGGACACAACGAATTGCATACTGTCGTATCCCTGCACACGAGCTTTTGTATACTCCTGAAGAAGAACAGAGAGGAATGCGTTGTGGAAAAGTCATTGATATTAACTTGAAGGTTTGTTTTTAACTGTGACTGAATGAAATTATATGATGTTGGTTTTGGAAAGGTTTTTGAAGAATCATGGAATATCGCCTGTGTTTTGCTATGTTTATAACCGTGAATCTTTATTATTTTCTACAGTATCCAGGAAAAAGAAACAGAGATAAGGAACTGCCTGAAATACCGGCTTTGCTTCGAGTGATGCTGTGGTTGGGTCTGGAGAAATATCAAGGCGAATGGGAGGAATTGAGGAAGAGTGGAGGAGATCTTTCGCTCTTTGCTGAAACTGTAAGTCTGGATTTTCTCTTGCAGAGAAATGGTTCACTTGCGAATCATTTGCATTCTCGCTTGGCTTGCATGGATGTTCTCAATCATTTCAAAAAAATATGCAAAGATTTCGCTAGTGAACCACTTTTTTCGTGGCCAACCAAATCAGATAACGTAAAATCCGGTGGAAAATTGTTTTCATTCATCATAACGTGTATCACTTCTCTTCAAAATCTACGATACCTCAAAGGTAATACCGTAATAATAGTTTTTACGATACAACTTCTGTAGTATGAAAACCAGATGTGGTTGGGTCAATGGACTTCAAGAGGACTGACAAGACCATCCTTTTCTAACGCTAAAGGAACGGTACGTTTGCGAACTTATACAACCACGTCAAACTTTTGTAATATACAGACACATACTTAGCTCTCAGTTGACTGAAAACTATTATTTCATCCTATTTTTATTATACTCTACCTACGGACAGTAGCTTTCAGATCAGTTTTGCAAATTTGAAATTCTAACAAACCTTTTGTTTTTTGTAGCTCAAGCTTCCGAAGGATAAATTTGTCGAGCCAGTTGGTTGGAAATTCGATGGTTCGTGGTTTATCAATCCTGAGCTAAGGTAAGCTATGATGATGCCATCCAGCCAAGCCAACACTATTGTCTTTGATCGCCTGGTAAATTCCTCGGGAAAAGAGCTGAGATATTTTGAGCAAACATGTACATATTTTATTGATAAAAACCATTATTCTCAAAATTAAAAAATACTCTACATCTAGTACTCATTTCCGCAAGGATACTGGTCATAAATGGTTCCTTGAGGACGCATTTCAAAACGAATATCGAATGTTTCCGGGTGGAAAGTGGTTGCCAACGACAGATTCACCTTGGACTGACATTGTAAGCATAGAATTTTCATTACAAGCGATTAAATTGCGCCGTTTAAAGTACATTTTGATTGCTCTCATCAGAACGGCGAGACGTTATCAGACGAACAAGGAAATGCAATCCAATCTGTCGACGCCATTAAACCACCAAAGGGTTGGGACTGGTCTAGTAAAGACGGATGGAAAATAGACTTGAATCGGGCCGTGGATTTTGATGGTAAAAGACTTGTCGATTCCTTTCCTTGTTGTTACCCGGGGATTGATTTTGTGTTTTTCCTTACCAGGTTGGGAATACGCCGTTGAGACGACATTTGGATCGACAAACTTCGAAGCTGTTGAAAAGAAATATCATTTTTGTCGTCGAAGAAGACTTGTGAGAGAGAGACAGAGCGTTGAGGTTCAGAAGCGTGATCCAGCGATAAAGGTATGAACAGTCATGAGTAGGTTTGCCAGTTGAGCAGTACTGTTTGCCTTGCTGGCTGGGTGTTGTTAAAACAAGCTGGTCTAGAGCACTCAATGCTTCGTTTTATTCAGTGTTTTACTTTCAACCTTCCTCAATGTCAGTTGAACATTGTAGTACTGCTAGTCTGACTGAGTGCTGACTGTTGCTACTAATACTAGCCAGACTAGTCTAGTACTTACTGCTTTGCAATGTTTTATTCAGTGTTTCACTTTCAACCTTCCTCAATGTCAGTTGATCATTGTAGTACTGCTAGTCTGACTGAGTGCTGACTGTTGCTACTAATACTAGCCAGACTAGTCTAGTACTTACTGCTTTGCAATGTTTTATTCAGTGTTTCACTTTCAACCTTCCTCAATGTCAGTTGATCATTGTAGTACTGCTAGTCTGACTGAGTGCTGACTGTTGCTACTAATACTAGCCTGACTAGTCTAGTACTTACTGTTTTATTCAGTGTTTCACTTTCAACCTTCCTGATTCCATCATTTTTCTTCGTAATGAAACAGCTCAAGCAATATCCAATGTATGCGAGTTTGTTTTTCAGGCGCCGGAAGACAGCAAGTCGAAGGATGGCTGGGAGTTTGCTAAGGCCTTCACGACAAGATTCCACAGCAAAAGGAAAGGATTCGACATGGTGCGACGTCGAAGATGGCACCGAAAATTAGTGCGCGATGACCCGAATGCTCCAGAACCTGTGTTCAGTCTGACGGTTGGAAAGGTAAAGATATTTTAGGTAGATTTTCTTAAAGAAAGATTTTTATCAACCGTGATGTAAATATTTTGTACTGAATTTATTTTAGGGCAAGGATGAAGAAGAACCTGTTTTAAATGCCCCACGAATTTTTCTTTATTTTAAAAGTGAGTAAGACCAAATGACTCGAGTTTTCAACAAATCTTTCCTCGAATGAAGGACATTGTTATTTATCATTGACACTTTTTTGAGGGTAGAATTCTTTTTTTGTGCGAGTCATATCTGATCAGTGTATCAAACTGTTTATTGTTTTCAATATTGTTTTCCTAAATTCTTTGTACAGAACCGCTAATGTGCCAGTTTCGAGCGCACATTTATCAAGCCAGAAATCTTTTGCCATCAGATCCAAATGGTCTAGCAGGTATTACAGAGAACTCATCATCACAAGAGAGAAACTAGCAGCGCTTTCTTTCAATCGGTCAAAATGGTGAAACCGGTCATATTTTGAATTGAAATAGCCGGTGTATTTTGTTAAGAATATAGCTATGAGACTGTCTTTTCCGTGCTAGGCAGATGTGAATAACTTGAATGCAGAGTTTTCGAAACTCTCTAAAATACCAGTAATCTGTCTGTACTGAAATACAACAGGATCTGTCTGGCCATTTTTACCGTATAAAGGAAGCACCTTAGTGCATCGTATTTGAACATATTACAGTATTTCAACTGAAGTTGGCCATTTCATTACACTAAAAAGCTCATCATTGTTGATTTTCTAGATCCATATGTCCAACTATCGTTTGGTCCTCGAAGCGCAACGTCCAAGATTATCTTCAAGAAATTGAATCCGACCTGGGACCAAATGCTGGTGCTTGAAAACGTCCCCATTTACGGCCATTTCGATCAGTTGACGGAAAATCCTCCGGACGTTTTACTGGAAATATTTGACTACGATCCGGTGGTGAGTGCATTTCAGTGCTAGATCATTTGATTATTTCATTCTAGATTTCGCTTTTTGTTTGTTCATCATTGGTGAATCAGATGGCATTATTGATCTTAGCGCTTGTAATAAACTAAGTCGTGTTTTGTTTGGTAATATATATTTAGGGTAAACACGATTTTCTTGGCCGTATTCAAACAGAACCTTTAGTCTTTCTACCGGAACAGGATTCGGCGCCGACGACGCGATTATCTTGGCACAAAGTTTGGAACGGAGCTGATCATTGTGGAGATATTCTGGCTGCTTTTGAACTCTTTGTGGTAAGATAGAAATGTTAAACGATAGTCTTGTAAGAACTGATAACGAACGACAGAGAATGTGTATGACATTATTGCAATCTTTTCATTCAGGATGAAGAACATTGTGCACCATCTCTCCCGTCTTCCGTCAACGGTTTCTATGCGATTCCGCCTGAAATCCGACCCGTTGTGCAAAGAACAGCTGTAGAAGTAAGTTGTCTGTTGTCGTACGAATTGAATAGGACGAAGAGCGTTGCTTGTAGTGAATAACTATCAGTAGCGTATCAAGCCTGACAATATGTCCCGCTATGCTATAATATTTCGGTGTTCATTGACTGCGAAAACAATGAATTTCCAAAGATATGAATAATTATAACAACTCGAAATTTACATAGCGGGACAAAATCGTCAGGCTGACTACGCCACTGATAACTATTGAATAGAACCTGTGGAAAACTACCACAAGTTCATTTAATCGTAAGATTATTAGAGTAATAGTCCTAGCTAGCATCAGTTAATCCAATGGTACTCCTTTCTTTTGCCTTGAAGGTGTTATGCTGGGGTGTTCGTAATCTTAAACGGTTTCATGGCATGAACATAAAATCGCCGATAGTCGAGATCGAAATTGGAGGGGAAATCAAGAAAACTGGCAGTCTGAAAAATATCAAAAAGAATCCAAATTTTCAAGAGAATCGAATACTCAACTTTGACGTTGTAAGTTGCCATGCTATCAAGTTGCACGTTCATGCCTGTTCAACCCAGTAAACATTTGAAGTTTTGGTGAATGAGCTCTGACAGTAGGAATCATTAAATGTGACATATTTGGTTTTTATTAGGATCTCCCAAAGGAAGATCTCTACACTCCGCCAATCACAATCCGAGTTCGAGACAGTCGTTCGTTTGGTCGTAATCCTACCGTGGGGGTATGCGTCATCGAGAGTGCCAGGATATTTCGGGGGAAAGAACCACTGACTCCGATGGTCGAGGGCGTTGATCAAGGTGAGTTGATCTTGACTAATATAGAAAAACTATTGATAAAGAAGAGAAATGATTAGGCAATCGCTTTATTTTCTTTCTTAAACATGTTCGAGTTCATTTTACAGTAAACACCCATTTCTTCTGGGAAGAAGTTTCATTGTGGACTTAAATTACTTTTGCCGCGTAAAAATTTAGGAGGAAACAGTTGTCAATGTAAAGAACAAATAGCTGTAATTTTAATAAAGTATAATATATAATTTTCTTGCATATAGCTTCCTTTGACTACTCCAAGATCGATGTCGAGCAAGAAAGTACCAGTGAGGTTTGCATAAACATCATTTTGTTATTTTAGACAAATTGATTCAAGGAAATATTTCTGAATATCTGGATCATGATTCACAGGTTTTTATTGACGACGAGAAAGATAGCATAGATTGGTGGTCGAAATATTACGCCTCGCGTCCTGACACTCAGGAAAAGTCCATGGACTACCCAGAAAACTTCGACAAGATAAAAGTAAATAATTTTTATAAATTTTCACGTTATATTAACGGTTTTCTCGATAAAGATGTGTGTGTGTGTGACATGACCTCAATTTCCATCACTGTATGTGATCATTTCATCGATACTTAATGGATACTTAATCGATACTTAATGGATACTCAATTGATACTTAATCGATACTTAATCGATACGTTATCTCAGTATTGATTGGGAAGCGATTTGAAGCAATGTGATTACTTCTATGACCTGAAGTATTTCTTCCAAACTTAATTACCGTGTTTTTAGATCTATTTCAACGAGTTGGAAAAGCAATTCGATCGGTTTCAAGATTTCATTAAAACGTTTCCATTGCGACGCGGAAAATTCAAATCTGTTGAAGACGATGAAGATGACGGCACGGTTGGAGAATTCAAGGTACGATGAGGGATTTGGAATGATAATAGGTGACCAAGCAAGGCGTATGGTCAAACACATGCACAGGGTCTCTGGGTTTTGGAAAACTGATGTGAGGGTATAAATTTATCTTTTAGGGAACTCTTTCCATCTATTCTTTACCTGAAGATCGCAGCGTTCCCTTACCTCCACGAATATTCAGAGACGATAGACTGCCAATAGCGAAACCAGTCAAATGTACGATAAGAGTTTACATCGTCAGGGTGAGTTGAAGTCTGAAGACTTTATTTCAAACTTTGTTTTAAACCTTTTGGTTGACGGTTCTCTCACAAGACCACCTTCGTATGGAAGTAGTCAAAGTTTTGTACAGTTACAATTGTTCTTGTTCTATCCAGGCGTACGATTTGACTCCACAAGACCTGAATGGTTTGGCAGATCCTTATCTTGTTGTCTCTCTTGGAAAGCAATGCTTTGATGACAGAGAAAATCGTGCATACAACGCGCTGGAGGTGGACTTTGGAAAGTACGAAGCCATATCTTGTCATTTCTATTGCCGAGTTCTTTGCAATTTCCAAGAGTATTTTTATGCTTTTCTAGAGTGTTCGAATTTCAAGCTAGAATTCCAGTGGTGAAGGATCTTAAGGTTAAAGTCATGGATTATGATATGGTGTCCTCAGATGATCTTATCGGAGAGACTGTGATTGATCTTGAAAATAGATTATTATCTTTGAGTCATGCCATCGCTGGGCTACCAATGAGCTATTCCATGTAAGATTTGATCTAACAATCTATAGTTTGATGATATTTTGGTATTTGTAATATGTGATGACGATAAATGATTTGTGATGACGTTAAATGATCGATGATGATCGATGATGATGATGATGATTGTGATGATTATGATCAAGACGATGATGATAATGATAATGATAACAATGATCGATGATAATGATGATCGATGATTATGACTATCGATGAAGTCTATGACTCTGATGATGACCAATAACGATGATTCTTTCTGCTTTAACTCCAGATCTGGTCCAAACAAATGGCGGCTTGGCAGCGGATACACTCCGACTGTTATCTTAGAGAATTACTGTAAATACAATAATATGCCTCCACCTCGATACAACGGTTCGAATCTCATTCTCCTGAACGGAAATGCCTACTCTTTGGATGAATTCGGTTAGTTACGAAAGTATATTTGCCTAGAGACATTAGACATGCAGTAAAAACCAGGTTAGCAACGGAGCTAGTGCGATGGACCTTGTAAGTATTTACTCAGTCTTACAAATGCATTTTCAGAACCGGAGCCAGTTGAAGACCCAAATCTTGGCCCGGAACGCGAGCGTCTTGCTCTTCATGTTTTAAATTCATTGCAATCCCTCGTTTCTGAACACGTCGAGACGAGAGATCTCATGAGCAGTTTGCATCCAGGATTTTCACAGGTAAGACGAACGTTTCTTCAGTTGAAAACGATGTTTTTGCCAATCTTACTTGACGAAGAATATTATGGTATCATAAGACACCACAGTCAAAAGCTGTATTCAAATAAACATCACAGTTACGCTACGAATACACGAGACTAAGAGTGCACATTCAAACTTCCGTGTTTATAATCATTTCGACAGGGTAAACTTGAAATGTTTGTCGACATTTTCCCTGAATACAACGGACAACCTGGGCCACCAATTGACATCTCACCTCGGAAACCAAAGAAGTAAGTTGTGATCCAGTTCAGTTCAGATCCTGAATCCATTGGTTTAGTTACTTTTTTACTCAATTCACATCAATTGAAAATTGACTAGATACGAACTTCGGGTGATTGTTTGGAACACGAAGGATGTGTACTTGCAAGAAAGCAATCTAGCCGGGGAGAAAATGAGCGATATTTATGTGAAATGGTAGGTTTTTTTCTAATTCTTATTGAAAACACTCATGCAGAAACAGTTCATCGCTTCATATATAAAAGGATTTTATAAATTGATGTTGTCTGCCAGTGAGTCGCTCAAAGGTTTGTAATATTTACGTTTTGTTTTTAGTTGGATGGCTGGAATAAATAAAAAGCAATCTACTGATACTCACTACAGGTCAGTTGAATAAAGCTTTTAAATTGCCCCTCGTTATCTGGGAAGATTAGCTTGATTCACATGCGTTGTATTTACTGATTGGCAAACTTTACTTCTTTCCAGGTCTTTGAATGGGGAGGGAATGTTCAACTGGCGAATGATTTTCCCATTTGAATACATGGATGCAGAAAAGGTGCTGTTGGTGAAGAAGAAGGTACGGAAAGAGTAATTTTTTCTTTCAAACTAGAAAGGTGATCCCTATCCTTCTATAAAAAAACAAGATTGATTCAAGTAATTTCAAGCATATCTCTTCATGAATTGAAGACGATTTCTAAACGTCTGTCATCTTTGTTTGCGAAACAAGCCCAATTCATTCTAGTTTTTATCGACATTCTCCACAATGGACATTTTTTTCATTCGCATTATGCCGTCTTGTATAGGAACATTTCTGGTCTTTAAATGAACGAACTGAAAAGGTCCGTCCTCAACTTGGCATTCAAATTTGGGACAACGACTTGATATCAAGGGATGACTTTATAGGTAAGTTTCGGCTTTGTACCAAATAGAAGATTTGTATTGTCCACTAATTTTTACCTTTGCAATACATCCTTGAACATCCTTATTCAATCATCCGTGTTTTTCCCAAAATGATTACATGGTTTTAACTCGTTTCATACATTAACATCAACCAGGTTCTGTTGTTTTGGACTTGGAAGGTGTCCCCATGCCTTTCAGTGATCCTGGCAAAATAAAAGATCATTTGGCGTTGGTAAACCGCGCAGGAGGATCACTGTTTGAACAACGTCGTTTCTACGGCTGGTGGCCTGTGATTGGTCAGGTCAAGGTCAAGCAGAAGGGCCGCTCGAAGAAGAAGAAACACAAAGTCACTAAACTAACGGTCAGTGGAAAAAAAACACATTTTCATATCAGCTAATTCTCTACGTCAAATTTGTTTGGATTTGTATAAGATTAGCATTTCATAAGGATTGACGCGTTTTTCATTTTGTGATGAATTGAATCTTTTTTTTACCTCAGGGCAAAGTCGAGCTGACGATAGAGTTACTGGAGAGCGATGAAGCCGAGGCAAAGCCTGCTGGAAAGGGACAGGACGAACCAAACCAGCACCCGACTTTGAAGAAACCTAAGTAAGAGCATTATAGATGATGAGTTTAATAATTTGATGGCAATTGGCGAGGGAGTCTGGTTTGTCACAGCAGAGAACTCTCATCAAATGTCGTCAAGGAAAGGCGAGTTGAAAAGGGGTTGTAAAAGGATGAGACAAGTTGATGAGAGGGAATGAGAGTTGATGTGAATTGATGTTAGTGGATTGTAGTTGATCTTAGTCAATAGAAGTTGCAGGATAAAAAGTGAGAGGTGATGAGCATTGACAGAGGGTAGCTATACAGACCATTCCCTCACGGGTGGGCCTAAATATTGTAGAGGGAACTAGAAAGAACAGATTCTTCTTAACCAACCACTTCGAATTCTATAATGGGCTGCATCTGACTATTTTAGACGACCGGAGACATCATTCTTGTGGCTTTCAAATCCTTGGAAATCATTTCGTTTCGTCATTTGGCGAAATTACAAATGGTACATCATTGGTTTCATTGTGTTGGCGCTTATACTATTATTGATTGGCGTGTTTATATATGCTGCCCCAGTAAGTATTATCGCCTCATTTTAGGACTGGCCTTTTTGTGTGACGTAGGAATAATCATCTGCAAACAATCCCATATTTACTTTGCCTTTTTTTCGCAGGGATATTCTGTAAAGAAATTGATGAAGGCATGAAATTCACCGTTTTCTCTCAGCTCACAAATAGTGTAAATTTTATAACTCGATTACAAATCCCCCGAAGATAAATTTTAATTTTTTATACGCTGTTATATTTTCATACTATGATAATATGGATTCAGGAAGAGATTAGAAACACGATAGTTTATAGTCATATTTATATAAGATAGCAACATATTTGTATTTATATAATCAAAAATACTATTTAAAATTTAACTATTTTTATATATATTTTTGATTCGTGAATGGACATGAATTGTTTAATAGTACGATGTTATAGGTAACGGTCAGGGTATAAGATCTAATGAAGCAATATTGGCGAGCTAATAGTAACAGCAGGATGAATAAATTGTCCATTGGTTTCACCACATGATCTGGTCTTCCAACTGGCTAGTGATAGATAATGGTTATGCTTTTCGTTTTTCGGTTATCAAATCCAATTAGTGGTTGTTGTGTATCGGTGTATGTATGTTTATTGTGGTTGATTATCAGGTTTGAGACGAGGTTAGTTTCGGTGGGGGTAAGGTTAAGGTATGGCTTGAGGTTGCGTTTGGGGTTGGGGTCTATGTGAGTGGATGTTGTGCTTGGGGTGTAGGTTGCAGTTGGATTTGAGGTTGTGACGGGGGTTGAGTTTAGAGATGGCTTTGAGTGTGAAGTCCGAATCAAACGAAGACGCAAGTCCGTCGCAAGTTTTTTTCTTGTGCTTGCTTGTATCTCGTTGGCTGTCTACTTGCGATGACTTGCGAAGACTTGTCTATCGTCTGACACAAGTCACAGCAAGTAAACATGCGATGGACTTCAGGACTTGCGTTCTCGTTTAATTCGGCCTTGAGGCTGGGGGTTCGTTTGCGGTTGTCGAATGTCTACCACCTGAAGATTCCCATACGGATGAAAGTCATGAAACAGACTGTAGTGGACGATTTTTGGTAAGCAAACTTTGTAACTCTTTATTATAAACATGGACTTCTAACCAAAAAGCCACTCCCCACATACATAGATCAGTGTGCGATCCCACAATTCTATGCAAATCAAGTGTTGATTCATCGTTTTTCTCGAGGAAAGGCACATGGAGGTCGACTGAAGAAAAATACGAAACACTTCATCAACAAAGATACAGCATGCCGGCGTATTTTCAGAAGCCGGAGAACGCTTTGAAAAGGGCAAACGGTAGGATGAATCCTCGATTGCTATTTAAGCACGATTCTGAGTTTGCGATGTGTGTGTAAAGTTGTTTTATGTTTGTCGGAAAGATGTACAGACAGTACAGTTCATAATAGTGTGTGTGAAGTTTACTCGTATATCGCATGTAAAATTGTGTATAAAAGCGATCGTCGTTTTGTTTGAACGAAATTTACTGCACATGTATACGAATTGAAGAAACGTGAGGTCATACAGTGCTTTTGTTGATCTGATCGTCTTTAAGCTGTCTATCATTTACCTCTTATGAAATGATCAGCCGCATTATAATACGTGTATTCGATCATTATAACATCGTTTTATTATTAAATCTGTATAGGATTAATCATAATAATAATCTTTAGTTTAGTAATAAATACTAAAGTGCATTGTAGATTGTAGATCAATAATATAAACACTCGCCTGATTGCCCTGTGATAAATTTTTTTCTGGATTCCTGCAGTAAAATATTCTTTCACATGGGCAGAAAGTTGCTCTTTTTAAAAGGGTCTTATTGTAAAAATGTACTTTCATATGAGTTGAGGACTCCAATAGGATGCACTGCCATGATTACTTCTTGCTTGAAAGAGTGACATCCTTAAGAATACTTGACTAAGGAGTATGTATCTTCTGGGCATACCTATTTATTCTTTAATAGCCTTACCCCTTAACTTAAAATTACCCCTATTATAGATGCTGAACTGACCATATCATAGGGTTGAACAGATCCTATAATAACAAAGTACAGTTCAGCATCTTCAATTCAAGTACTAGTGTAGTGCTAGACTAGTTTGTCATGAGTCTAGCTTTCAACTTTAAGATAATATGGAAAGTCTATTCCAGAGCAGTGGTAGACATTTGTAATTCACTTGATCAACTGTTTTATTGTATGATCATTTCTTTGTTTAATTAAAGAGTTTATTGAAGTTGGCAAGAAGGAAGAAGCTCTTGCTGCATTGCGTGATGTCATTAAAAGCAAGAAACATCGCACTTTGCAAAAGATCCATGAACCGATCCTTCGCAAGTACCTAGAGCTGTGCGTCGACCTGCGTCAGAGCCATGAAGCCAAGGAGGGGATGTACCAATACAAGCTCATCTCCCAACAAGTCAATGTTGCTTCTCTGGAAGATGTCGTCCGATATTTTCTCACCCTGAGCGAGAAAAAGGCGGAGGCAGCGCAGGAGGAATCTCGGGAGAAGGTGGATGTTGAGGATCTTGAAGAAATACAGACACCTGAGAGTATATTGTTGAGCTTTGTTAGCGGGGAAGTGAGTCAAGATCGTGTTGACAGATTGATGGTTACTCCGTGGGTGAAATTTCTATGGGAAGCCTATCGCAACGTGCTGGAGTTGTTGAGGAACAACGCTCGTGTTGAGAAGTTGTATCATGAGGTAGCACAACAAGGTATGGAAGAGAAAATTTTTTTGACAAAATAAAGAAAACAATGATGTAAAAAGGAGTGAAGAGGTTAGAGTGGATAGAGTAGAACAAGATGGAACAAGATTAGGATATATATTTTTTGCAAATGATGATCATTTTTCTTCTGAAAATTGATGAGTAATTTCATCACCCATAGACTGATGCAAAACTGAAGAATACTCTTTTTTGTCTAGATTTTAGACTTCTTTTGTTGAATTTTTATTGTTTTACTCCTTTAGCATTTAAATTCTGTCTAAAGTATACGAGGAGAACTGAGTTTCGTAAACTGTGCGATAATGTAAGTACTACATAATTGTGTGGGTATGAATGCTAGTTATGAATGGTACTCCATCAACCATTGAAATGCAAGGTAGAAAAGTCTTTCCAAGGACTTTAGTTCATTATTTTTATTATGTTTAGCTACGAAATCATCTCCAGTTGATCATCAGACATCAAGGGCAAACTAATGCTGTGAACCTGAGCAATGCGGACAGCATTCAAATGCATTTGGAGACAAGGCTTGCCCAACTAGACAGTGCTATTGCTATGGAATTATGGCAGGTTTGTGTCTTAGCAAAATGACTTTATTCTAGCTTATATTAGTTAACCAATTAGACTGAAACGTGCCTAGATATGCAGCGGTTTATTTTTTTCCTCAGGAAGCATTCAAAGCAGTTGAAGATATCTACAATTTGATGCAACTTGCAAAGAAGACACCAAAGCCACAACTGCTTGCAAACTACTATCAAAAGACAGCATTGGTTTTCTGGAAATCTCGAAACTATCTCTATCATGCTGCTGCTTTGCAACGGTTGTTTGTGCTGTGCAGGGAACAGAAGAAGACAATAACACCTGAAGAACAACAAAAGTAAGACAAGCTACAGCTGCTTGTGATTGGTGAATCTGATAGATTCACTGCCTTTGATTGGTTCATGATCCTCCAATGGTAGTGGAAGTCAAATCTGAACCTTGTTAATATTCATTCCTCTTCCTGTTTGTACGGAAACCATTTCAACTACATGTTCGTGTTTAATCTTTCTTATTCAGAATGGCATCTCGTCTTCTCGTTGCTGTTCTTTCAATTCCATTGCCCTTGCCTCAAACGGAATCCGACAAATACTTGATGTTTGACGAAGTTGCTCGTGAGAAATCTCGCCGTCTGGCCACACTTTTGAGCTTGCCAACTGTGCCTACTCGAAAGAAACTTGTTGGAGATTTGGTTAGTACAATCAAGTTCATATCCAAATAGAAATAAAATGATAAAAACACTATCTGCAAAAATCTGTATGCCTAATAAACAGTATCTGTCAATTTAATGAAAGTTGAGTTGCTAGATAACAGTTAAATGATATCAAACTTCTAAAAATGCATTTCACCTTACCAACTAAAGAATCAGACAATAAGCTTGTTTGCAATTCTTTTGCAGATAAAGTTGAATGTTCTTGACTACGCTATGCCAGAAATCAAGAATTTGTACCAATGGCTTGAAGTTGATTTTAATCCATTGGAACTGTGCAAAGATGTCGAAGGCGTTACAAATATTTTGAGCGAAAATGAAGAGCTTAGCACTTATGTTAAACCACTTCAGGATATCACCATTGTTAAACTTCTCAACCAGGTAATGGCAAATAAGCAAAATACCACATATGTGTGTCTTTTGCCTGGATAAATGTTGTGATTTAGTAGTTGACAAATTAAACGTAATCCTGTTTCAAAATTGTTTACAGGTTTCGCAAGTGTATCAGACTATCTCGATTCCAAAGTTGCTGGAGTTAGCCTCATTTACGGATGTTTTCAACTTGGAGAAAGTTGTTGTTGAGGCTGCAAAACGAAACAATTTACAGGTTTGTTGAAGTGTAACGAAACGAGATATGAAAGAGTTGGAGAGATTATGGCAGGAAATGGTGAAAATAACTGGGTGGGATAGAGCAAATTAGATTAGCTTAGAGTGAAGTGGTTTGAACAGAACAAAGTGAGATTTATTAGGATATATTTTCTGCAAATGATGATCAATTTTCTTTTCTGAAATTTGATGAGTAACTTCATCACCCATAGACTGATGCAGAACTTTGGATTTTAACTTTTACGTAATGTTTCAGTGGCAATTCACCAGGAGAAGTTATCTTAGTCTTTCTATGTCGTCCATTGCTCTAGGTTCTTATCGATCATCGCTCGAATTCGATCAGTTTCCGTTCAGATCTCAGCGTTGACCAAAAGGAAGAGGTCATGGACGGGCCATATTTTCAGGTAAAACACTTTAAAATCGCTGAGAAAATGACATCAAGTTTTGACTGATTTCTGCCCCAAAAAGTCACCATCTTTTTCATAAAGGAAAGATGGTTTTGCAGATGATGTTGAAATGTATTTCTAGTATGAAAATTGTTATGAATAAAATCTCTTTCACTGATGCTAAACCAAACGAAAATATACAATACATGTACATACATATTGTACATATCTCGGTAGCCACTTGCACTGTGTTAAAATTAAGAAAACTCGTTTTATTAAGGACGACAATGTTTGTTTATATATTGCTGTGTACATTTGATCCATGTTGATATAAAAATATCGTTGTTTTTTTAACTGTAGTCGCTGTCTTCAGAAAAAATACGAAGTCAGTTGATTGTAATGTCTCAGGCCCTTCACAAAGCTATTCAAATCTTGCAACCGCCAGAAATAGTGGTAAGTGTAAAAGTTTCTGTTTAGAACGCTGGTGAATGTTTTGAAGGCAGAATTTTAGGATTTTGAGTGGGAAGAATTGATGTAGCTCCTGGTTAAATATTGATTTGAACTCATGTTTAGATGGAGCGTGCAAAGACCTTGGAAGATGCTATGGCCGCGTACGAACAGACAGCGAAACGAGAGCACCAAGATATGTTGAAACGAAAGCAAATGATTGAAAAACGAAAGGAGCATTTGGAAAACTTAAACATCAAGAAGGTAAGGTGCCTCGTTTGGTTTGCTGTCGAATGAATGCCAACTGTGACTCTTAACCTCGTTTATAGCTTCTTGTTGGGGTTTTAAATTTTCATAAGTTTGAATCTGTTGTGTTTTTTCTTGAAGGAAAAAGAGGAACAAGCTGAACGCGACAAGCAACGGGACAAGGCGCAGGCTGCCGAACGCCAACGACTCGAAGCCGAAGCGACTATGAGGGAGGAAAAGCGAAAACAACGAGAGCTTCAGGAAATTGAAAAGAAACAAGCAATGGAGAAGATTATGGCTTTGAAGAAAACTACTGTTGGTGCCCGAGCTTTGAAGAATTTGACAGAACAGGTATGCTAGTAGGGTAATAGTTGATAACATGTGATAGGTGGATCTTGATAATAGGGGACAATGAGTGATGATATGCGATAGTAATTGATAGTAAGGAATGATGATTGAGAATGGTGATGGTTGAGAGAGGTAATATAGTTGATAATGAGTGATGTTCGTGGATCATAGGTGATGGTGGTTCAGTGTTAAAGGAGGACAATAGATGATAATTATTGAAAATTATCTGGTGACAGATATCAAGAATGTGTCTTGTTATATTTTCAGGAAATAGAAGAAATGGATGCCGACGATATCATGGCTCGCCAGGTTGAGCAACTGGACAGGGAGAAGAAGGAAACTCAGCATAAATTGCGACTTCAAGAGAAGAGAGTTGATCATTTCGAGAGAGCGAAAAGGCTGGAGGAAATACCTTTGTTGGTGAAGCAATACGAAGAGTTTGTTGTGGCGGATAAGGAGTTCTGGGATGAAGAACAAGAGAACACGGTAATACAATGATCTGCGAGCAACAGCAAGCCAGACTAATTCCTTTTAAAACCCAGAAATCATAATAATTTGGCTATAATTTACCGTGGGTAACAAATTATATAACAATGGCATGTCATATTTCAGATAAAAAATGCGATTCGTGAGCGGGAAAAAGCGATGGAAATGAAGAATCGTTTGTTGAGAATCCTGGACGACCGAGATGCATTCCTTGAAAAGTTGGCTGAAAGCCGAAAGAAAGCTCACGAGGTAAACTAAATTTCGTATCTACTCTTGTAACCGTGAAGTGTTCACAAAATACTAAAGCAAACCTCTCGACGACTTGTAAAAACATGGCGCTCGCTATTTGTTTAAAAGTTTTCGAATAGCAAAGTACCAACATATGAACACAATTTTGTCGAAACTGAACGATGAAACGCCTAATTTTTGAAATGTTTTCTGGTCTTTAGGCTAAGAACGAGAAATTCGAGGAAGAGTTGAACAATATTCGCAAAGAACGCCTGAACAATCGTAGGTTGGATCGAATCCGTGAGAGGAAAGTCAAATATCAACGAGAGAAAGAGGAGGCGAAGCGAAAGGCCGAAGAGGAACGATTACGCAAAGGTTTAGTTTTTGTTTATCGTTTGCTAAGCGTGTTTGGCTGTTTTGTGGCAGTAAAAACACATAGGAGCATTTTAATTACAGTTGTTTTGAGGGGATTTCAGTTTCCCGTGCTTAAGTGCGGATGAAGGCGAGTTTTTAATTCAATTTTTCAACACTTTAAGATTTGAATTCGTCCTTGTTTTGTTTTCAGAGCGAGAAGAGAAGGAGCGGATTGCTCGCGAGGAGAATGAACGAAAAGAGGCCGAGGAGAGAGAAAGGAAAGCGAAACTGGATGAAATTGAACGAAAGAAACGAGAGAAAGAGATGGAAATTGAACGAAGAGAAGAAGAGGCCAGGAAGGAAAAAGAGCGGGAAATGAAAGTTGGGCGAGATGGTGAGTGTTTTACACCGTATGATATTTCCCACCCTTCTTTTATTCCTCATCACCCCTAATAATCCCTCATCAACCCTATTAATACCGTATCAATTTTCCCTCAACAGCTCTCATTATCCATCATGTACCCTTAGTATCTCGCACAAACCCTCATCATCCCTCATTACCTCTCATCGACATCTCTCATTGTCTCCTACAATCCCCCATTACGTCTCATTATCTCCACCTCTTATCGACAACCTGTCAATGCCGTAACCCACTTGTTCATTCTTCATACAGAATCGGAGGGTGGTTCGTGGCGTCCCCCCGGTCAAGATGGTGGTGATCGCGCGTGGCGCCGTGGAGATCGCGAGATGGATCGAGATCGCCCGGGCTGGGGTCGTGATGATCGCGAGGGTGGTCGTGCGTGGGGCCGTGATGACCGTGGCGACCGCGGTGGTGCTTGGGGTTCACGTGACCAGGATCGTGATCGAGACCGCTTTGCACGTGATCGGGACATGGATAGGGACCGCGATGGAGGTGGGTATTTCATGTGCCCACTTCACACTTGAAACTTCACACTTTTCGTTGATAGACAAGTTCACATGTTGTTTTTAGGTCGTCCAGCGTGGGGAAGGGACCGTGACCAAGGGCGTCCTTGGGGTCGTGATCAAGATCGTGACCGTGGGGGATGGGGTCGTGACCGGGATCAAGACCGTGGAGGATGGGGTCGTGACCAAGACCGGGGTGGACCACGTGGCGGCGGGTACGACCGGGGGGATGATCGTGACCGCCCGGCATGGGGTCGGGATCGTGATCGCGACGGAGGTGACCGTGGCTCAGGACCTCGTGATGGACCACCACCCAGAGGTAAGCACAGGTGACAAATGGGTGAAGGGGGGAGGTATATGGGTGAGGGTTAAGATGGAATGTACTAATAAAATTACTAATGGTAATTCCAGGCGGTGGGTTTAGAGATGACGGTGACAGTTCCTGGCGTGGCAGCAGAGGTCCCCCTAGAGATGATCGTGGCCCACCTCCCCGTGCAGGTGGTGACCGTTACTCAGATGACCGAGGACCCCCACGGCGTCCAGACGATAGAGAGGGTGGAGGAAGATGGAGGAACAGAGATGATGAAAGAGATCCTGGACCATGGCGGCGTGATGGACCTTCTGCTGGACGCTCTGAAGGTAGCTACTTCATGTTATTCTTTCAATCGTAGTTAAAGCAAATTTCATGTTCAAAAAATCAATGCTGCGTTGCCTTTTCTAACTGCTATTTTCGTTTTTGTAGGTCGTTCATGGTCGGCGGCTCGTAAAGGGGGCAGCGGTGTCACTAGTAGCGGCGAACGTGACCGGAAGCCTGAGGGGGATGGTAGCGATGGCTGGACCACAGTCGGGGGTCGTTAGGGACATATAGGTACATACGAATCTTTTTGCTCAAATTTGCTGTTCGTCAAAACTGAATCTTAGAAAATACTATGTTACGGGGAGAACTAATAAAGAGCATGAATCCATATTCTTAAGTATCATTCTTTGATAAAAGACTTTGATTCAAAAGTCTTTTTAAAATATTTGAAATGAAAGATTATCAAATTGAAAATTTAACTTCTAATAAAAGGAATCACTCAACCAGCTGGTATTATGGTTTTTGTCCCCGAGCGGGCGCAGAGCGCCTGCGAGGGTACTAATTCCGCTCGGAGATTAGGAATTACACCCCGGAACCCGGGAGAGCATAGCTGCATCCAAAGCAATGATCCAAAGTTGTCCAAATCATAGAGATTATAAATAATACGACGTTATTTACAATAACACAGTGTTATTTATAATATCTATGGTCCAAATTCTATGTCATGGACGATCGACGTTGGGTGGTTTTGTAAGTTATGCGCATGCGCGTGTAACGACTGGTAATCAACAAACTTTCCAATTGGCTAAGACAGAAAGTTTGTATTTCAATGAGAACGTACGTCAGGAATTTAACTGTCGTTTCGTAAACCTTTTTGTAAAAGCGTTTCATAAACTTTGTGCAAAATAAAACGAGAGAAACAAGATATATGAAGCATGACAGATAGCAAAGATGAACATGGATACAGTCAAGACAAAGCGGTGTAAGAGGAATAATTCATAATCTGCAAGCTTATAAATGTTTTCAAAAGGTACGTTGTTTAACTCGTCATTTATTTCGCGTCTTCCGAAGGACATGTTTTCAAAGCAAAATATCGCCAAAACAAGCAATAAAACAAACACTTTCTCGCAACTTGTGAATCATATTTACATCACATCGTTCTGTGGCCGAAATGAGGTAGAAAATCCCAGCAAACGTTTTCTTCTGTTGCATGACTTAAACTGACAAAGACAAGAACGGAGAGTTCAGGAATTTTCAACACAAGTACAGTATGGAAAGTTACAGCAAGGTTGAAGAGACGAACGCCAAACATTGTGCGGATATGAGAGTTGAGACGGAACCGGTTTAACTCCCAGTTTATGAAGTCTTATGGCCTCTTTCATTTTTAATATCACATCTTTATAGTCCCCTGTCTCAAGGGGGTTGCTCTCATATGGATCATTGGTGATATCGTAGAGCAACGGTGGATCATGTTGGACAACGTGGTCACCGAAGCACCCACACACAATATCCTCTCTTTCACATTCCTGCTTGCCAGGCGACCAAATCGGTGTTACAAAATGTGCTTTCCAGGTGATATTACCATCCCGCGGTCTGTATCTGACCGCGTGTATCGAAGAGCCACAGTAATGGAACATGAACTCGTGCGGAGAGACGGGTTCCTCTTGCTTTAACAGCGGAAGGATGTCCTTGCCGTCGATAAGTCTGTCTTCAGGCACACTGGAGCCCGCAAGTTTGGTCATTGTTGTAAAAATATCCATCGTATTTGTAGGTTCGTTGATGGTGATGCCTTCAGGAAGTTTGTCTTTCCACATGACGGCTGTTGGCACACGGATACCTCCTTCCCAACTTTGACCTTTTCCTGCAAAAACGACGCAATTGAGATTTGAGAAACTGTTTTTATAATAGTAACAGAAATTCCCAACTCTAAGGTTGGAAAAATTGACTGGTGATCATCATCGTAAGGTTGAAAATCTATCATGAGATGGTTTTAAGATGTGAGAAAGTTTGTTTCAAAACGAACTTCGTAATCTTTTTTCAACTTTGCTATTTCAAGTACGAAGTCTTTACCTATGGCTGATACAATGAATTGTTGAAAAAGTATAAATAATTTTGAAGGCCTCTGTGGCCTCTGAAGTCCGATTTTCACGGCATACAATTCCCGCTGTTCCTTTTTTGCCTAGCGAATAGCACTTCTCAAACTTTTCATTGGCCGAAACAAAGAATAGGTGCATATCTCTACCCTGGCCGAACGCATTAAAAACAATGGATAATAGCTGAAATACCTCATTTATTTATTTTTTTATCGATTGCTTTTACGTCTAACATACACTTCATAAATAGACTTTTAAACACTTTGTTTATAGTTTCTTTTTTAACTCCACCCCTTACATTTTAAGATTGTGGCTGAAATCTATGACACACTTTGGAGGCCTAAGACAGGTAATTAAAAAACGTTTGGCTGCATTGCTACTAAACACAACTTCAAATCTATCAAAATATAATATGAACTTGCTTGCAAAACGAGTTTAACAGAAGTGAATATCACAAAGTCATAATGCATAAATTTGTTTTACATGAAACACTGCAGTGTCACTAATTAACATGTAATAACCATATCTTTCGTTTTCATTACAGCAGCCATTTGTCAGGAAGTAGAATATAAAATTGTCACTTTTGTCTGCAAATATTGCTTTGAGTTCATTGTAGATGTCCAGTGACAAAGGATGGGCGTCATCACCGTATTCTTCCTCAGGTGGCTCTTCCTCCTCTTCGTCATTGATTTTCTTAGGATTGGTTTTTACCACATTCCCTTCTTCATCAATCAGGTATGGTTTCGAACATCCCATTGCATCATCTCCATAGCAACCAAAATACTTTTCCGGATGTAAAAAATCGAGGATTCTATCGAGTGCTGCCTGGCGAGATACATAGTTAGCTTGTTCTAAGATATCTTCGTATGAGTCAAATATCCCTTGACCTTGACCTTGACCTGATGATGAAGAACATTCTGAATCCTCTTCCACTTGACCTGACCAAAATTCTTCCCTCCAGAATTGTTTGCACGCGCTGACAATATCACTGTCATTTGAATCTTTGCCTCTCGTGGTGAAGGCACAGTACGGGTTTAGTCGTACGAGGAGAGTTATACGAGTAAGTTCCGACGAGTTGAAGCCAGAAAACTCGCAATCATTCACCTCGGCGTTTTCAATATTCACAGTGACGTACTCTCGAAGCCTGGCTATCGGGTGAGGTAACCACTTCTCTTTTCCGATCGTGAAGCAAGACTTCAATACATCATCTGTGATTTTATTCTCATCGCCAAAAATATTAATCTTCGATGTAGTTTCCCAACGTTTCAGCCATTTTCTCCACGCGGATCGGGCCAAATTATTCCACTGTTTACAAACTATCGACGCATTTCTTAAGTCGGGAAGAGAGAGGTGATAAAAGATTGATAACACTATTGTGTCAGGAAAATGAAAATGACCGGTGTTGTCCATGGAATCAAAGAGATATTAGGACGAGGTTAAATAGGTAAACTTTCACATTTGCCGCCATATTGAATTCCAACCTGTGGAAGCCTGGACACTAGTGATATACCATCCTCGTTCTCAGGTTTTTCGCGTACTGGGTTTTTCGCGACCGTGACCGGCCAGTTCACTGGACGGGCCTAAAAGACAAAGCGTGCTTCGCTCGCGCGCACGGACGTAATGACATTTATTTAAGGCGGTATAGTTGCGCGTGAACTGTTTTTAATATATCGGTGCTCGAAAACTTGAAATAAATTCACATTAGTCTTATTTTAAGACAAATGGGAATGTGAAACTGCTCTTTCGTAACGATTTGCACCGTAACAGCAAAGATTATGCTTCGTTTCTCAAAGAGCACGCACCCCAAATTTCACCGCAAAATCGTCTTCCAAAATGTGTTACCAACCGACTAATTTCTAAACGGATATCCCAGAAAACTGGATTTGTGTTCGAAAAGAACAGGTTATGACCACGACGAACTTTACTCCTCACAATCAACTCACCTCCTGTGTAATTCCCCCTCCATCCCCCGCAGTACTCCCCCGTATCCATAGTCTCCTCCAAATGTGGCCCGTGGTCTGAGGTGAAATACACCATCGTGTTCGTCAAAAGGTTCTCATCTCTGAGACTCGAAATTATTTCCCCGACACTCCAATCCATTTCTTCGACGTTGTCACCGTAATTTCCATGAACGCTGTGGCCTAAAGAATGCCCAAGTTGACTCAATGCAGCTAGCTAACGTCCGAATACTGTTTTTCCACGGCTTCTTAATTATAGTACAGGGGCCGGTTGTTCGAAAGGCGTTTAGCTTAAACGGTGGATAAGCCAAAGTTTAAAAATACTCTCATATATCTTGTGAATGACTGAATCTTATGCATTATATACGTACTTCTATTTACATCGAATAGACCTTATTTCTGTATTCAAATTACACATTTTTGTCTGCACAGACATACTATTCTATCTCACCAGCCATGTAATTTTATTATAAATATGTATGTGTTGATCTGACAACGTGTATAGGACAACGAAAAACTTGCTGTATTTACCTTTGAACTTCGGTGAGGTGAAGAGAGATGTGTGAACCTTTATATAGCACATAAAAAGAAGAAAAGGATGTTCTTTATTTCGCCTGACAAAGCTCTTTGCTTCTTCGGTAAATCTCACAGTCAAATTTTCAATGACAACGGGTTGTTCCACAATATTAAAATCCCGCATCAAAGGACACTCCATTCTCGATATGACCATCTTCAAAATAAACGGGGGTAACGAGAAAATGATTGAAAATACCAGTGCAAATATCAGTGCAGACTTTGCCGATACGATTCCCAGAGAATAGAGTCCAATAGCGAGGAGCAAGGTTGCCACAATACGGTTCCTGGCTTTTTTCTGGGATGCCTTTACCGCCCTCACCCCATCCTCCGGTCGCGTACATATCCCACCGACATTGGTAAAAGGCAGACCGTAATATTCCTGAAACCCAGCGTTGATTGGATTGTGGCAGGAATCGTTATTGTTCTCGCAGTTCAATCCCAGATGCCATTTTCCAATCAGTCCTACGTAGGGGAATAGAAATGCGTTGTTGCTCAGTGGCTTGCTTGTGCGCTCAGGTTTAAAATTTACCAAGTTAACACAACTCGTATATTCTGATATAATATTCATAACTTGTACAGTGTAAGTGCATGTCACATCTATTTGCACGCATGAAAAACGGCGATAAGAGTTTTGGGAAGGTCGAAGGACCTGGTTATCGCCAAGAAACCCATCTTTAAATAATTTTTTTGCTGGTTGCTGTACGCCTGTTGTGACCCAGAGCTCGGCACAGAGTAGCTTTCCAATTTATTTACTCGCCAGCAGAAAGGTACATACTAACATGCAGACATACACGTGTTAATTGTTCTAACCACTTCAACAACAATAGCTCAATATCGTATTACATTTGATAGTGAATCATGTAAAACAAGTGAGAACATTTTATATATATCAGGTAATATTATTGTCGATTCTTTTACTTTACAAATTTCTCTGCCAACAATGCACTAATATATAAAAATACAAACCCGTTCTATAGCCATCGTCCCTCAAAATTTCTGCAAGCGTGATCTCGTTAGCTGGCAAACCACCAGACATAGCAAGTTCTGATATAACTCTCACATCGCCTGGGCCAGCAGCGAAGCCAGACCTCACGGCATACCTTCCTGTGAGAGTGGCAGCCCTGCTTGGGGTACACATGGAATAAGGAGCTAAATTGTGGTTTAATTTCACTCCTTGCGATGCGATGCTATCAATATTTGGCGTCTTAATCGTGTCGTTACCAAAGCACCCAATGTCACCGATGCCCAGGTCATCTACAATAAATACAACAAAATTTGGTCTTCCCGCTTCGACATTGCATAGAACACTAGCGAATAGGAACGAGCAGAATAATTTGCTCGTCGAAGAATCGAAGAATCTCCGAAAATCGAAGACTCCTTGCGACTTTCCGAGAATATACATTTTATTGTCGATTTTGGTATTATATTACGACTGATTACGACCTAATCTCAAGCGCCAGGGACCTGGATACGAGGCAGCTGAACCTCGTGGCACAGCTCGTGGTCTTCATGCAAACATGATTGGAATTGGAACCATCGACCATGACGATCGACCTACCACTTGCAAGACTCGCGTACTCTCGTTTAAAAAAAAACAACTCTCGTTTACCTCTTTGGTAATACTCGCATTAGTCAAAATTTTACAAACACAAAAAATTTTGCGACCATGGTCGTGTCCGCCATTTTTCGGCACATTCGACCATGGTCGAGTCAGCCATTGTATTTTACATAGTTACAGCGGATTTTTTACAGTTCACAAAGGGTGTTGTATGCATATTGGCGTATAGTGAACATGGAATTATTACCCTTCCCATAATTAATATACCCGATCGGGTATGTGTACGGTCGTGACGCTGGTCCCCGGGTTTTTGTCCCTATAGTACACAATGCGCGTTTGAAATTGAAGTATTCACTCTCTAAACAAAGATGGCGGCCTATGGACGCTGTAAAGAGAAGAATGTTTATTAAAACAGCGATGTTTTCCAAGATCTGAGTTCAAAACAATGATATTGACCATCTGATATTTATACACGGGTACGTATTCTTCTATCTCACAGCGATCGAGGGCTTATAGGCAGGAGCAAAAGGCCAAATTTTTTGGTACCGTTGTATGACTTTTACACCTCGTAGACACAACTCGGCGAGTTCAACAAATATGACAGATCAACATGCCGTGCCTTTTGCTTTGAAATGATCAACACACGCGAAACTAACGGCACGGGATTTATAATTCTACAAGTGTCCGAGGCTTGTAATGCCGTAGATTATTGCATTTCAAGGCTAATGTTAATATTTTTGACCTCTTTTGTCTTGTAGGAACAGGCCGTTCAAGACGCGAGCGCCCGAATTTAAAATTTCTCGAGGGAATTTTCAACGCCCGTTTGTCAAAATTGAGCCTCAGAGGATGCCAAGTGTGCCCTTACCGAGTCCTAGCTTCTCACAAGGGTGAGTTTTCCGTCCTTCTCTTCGTAAGGTCAGATTAAAACACGGTTTGTAAATGGCACAGCTCGCGACGAACTCCTATCGGCTATGGGCTGCCTTCGCACAATTTGCCGCATGAGATCGTTGTATAAACAACGATTATTGTACAATAGGACCATTTTCAACTAGCTGTACTTTAGATTATATCATCCAAAGATAAGCACAAGTGCTTAGGTTTAATGATTATATCTTTTAAACGGTTAAAGTAGTATTTTTCTGGCTTAGCGCAAAGGTCTTTGTTAAATATCACTGGGCAAGTCAAAGCTTTTCCAAATTACCAATATCAGAGGCGACGTTTTTATGCGAAATATATTTCATATGTGGTCACCTTTAGAACTTATAAAATTCTTACAAACGCTGGGTAAACGCTTCAGGCAAATATATGTTGTGTACTTTTTTGAAAATTTTTCTCTGTGGGCAAAAAAAAGTTCCTTACATATAATTTATTAATTTGCTTATGTTGAAGTTAGTGCTTTTCACAATGTTTGCACACATTTTGTCTCATTGAAAGGAATGCTTGAATGAAGAAAGGTCTAATAAAAAACCTCGATTGTCCATGTAGCAATTAGTAAAAGCCATTGTTTGCTTTCTGAAATAATTTGCTTTCACAACCCATCCCAACTTTTGTGGGAACTAGTAATAACACTGATATACTATTTCTCAGTATATAAATATGGATGCAAAAATCCATTTCTTGCTTCAGGGGTTGTTGCATTTAACGTGATGAAAAATGGACTAAATCTTCTGCAATTTTGGCGGATATATAATCATTTCAATGATGTATAAAGTGCACAAGTATTACTCTCATTTGACCTCTCCCCACTAGGAGCTCAGCATAATTTCCCTTTCTCATTATATTTGGAATTTGAGGCATTTTAAACAGTTGCCATAAAGTCAAATTTATTAGCTTTCTCCACAGAAATTTAGTCTTGTCTCGGTCATTGCAAGCACATACACAAATGGGCTCAAAATTCCATCATATACAAACCCTTTTGCAATGAGCTACATACCTTAACACATGTCCATTCTATATACTTTGAACTTTGCCTTCCTTGGCCCTCAAATATGTCTGTGAATTTCGTATGTACCTGGAGTTAGAATTTCTAAAGTGAAGGTCAATATGTCTGCTGTTTTCAATGAACTTCATTATATCTGGGTACAAAGTCCTAATGGGTCAATGAACTCCATAATTTTATATACATGAAGTGGGAACTCTCTCATCAAATATGTCTGCTCTTGCCAGTGCACTCCATACGCATACCTGGAGTAAGAACTTCTAAATGTGCCAGTGAGCTCCTTGTTTACCTGGAGTAAGATGTTCTAATTTGTTGGTGAGCTCCATATATGATATCTGGAGTAAGGACCTAACCTGGCTAATTTTTCTGGTGTTGTCAGTGAGCTCCATGTATATCTGGAATACTAATAGCAAATTTGGTCAAAAGAGCAGCTGTTGCCATTGAGCTCCATGTATATCTGGAGTAAGGATTTTAATATGTGTGAACTCCATATGTATCTGGAGTATGTCTCGGCTTCATTCTTTAGACTTAAGTTGATACTAAAACAGTCAGAAATGTGCTAATAATGGATTCTGGTAAAATTTCAGGTGTCACACTCACTATGCCAATCCTGACTACAGAATTTACGAACTAAACAAACGTCTGCAGGAAAAAAACGAGGTAAAATTTTTTCAGTATTGAAAGTGTTGTAATCAGCTTAACTAGTGAACATGTTTTAAAATTGAGACATGAACTTTTTTACCTGTTTCTTGCAAGGTAAAAGAGATTATTTTTACCAAATGTTAGTCTTGTTTTAAAGACTGTAATAATCTTCTAGACCTATTGGGACCACACCCTTAAAATATTGTTTTTGGGTTGAAAATTTTGGTATCTCTTATTCCAAAAAAATTGAAACTGAGTAAAAAGTGAAAGATTTAAGTTTTAAGATTTTTTTTCCAAAAAATTCCACCTCACCAGGCTGACATTCTCTGGTGGAATGCATTCACATCTGAATTCTTCGAAGATGATGCAACCATGACGCTCAATTTTTGTCTAGACGACGGCCCTAAAACTTTCAGTAAGTTGGTGGTATTATGCACCTTCCTTGTAGAGATAACAATAAGTTAATGATTTTGTCTGCATGTGACTACAACGTAGGGTGAATTATTATGGTGATGGAGCTACTTTCAGTCACCAACCAGATTAGCTCAATAATAACTTGATTGATAGTTGCACCATCAAAATAAGACAATGTTAGCTGGGAATGTAAGAAACATGGGAACTTTAGTAAGCCCTTGGTGATCTGTGATTCACGTCAGACTAACCAAATACATCTCTTGCAATAATCTTCCTCCAGCGATTGGCAGAAATCTCATTCCGCGATATTTTCGAAGTATTTTTGACGGTGGAGCGACAGATCTTTCCTATTCTTTGGTACAGCCAAAGGAAAGCTATCAAAATAATGTCATTGTTCTGGACTGTGATAAGGCGACAATGACGACGACTTACATAAAACGTCTTCACACAAAGGTAGAGTAATATGTACTTCTGCTCTGTAGCCATAACAACCACGTTAAACATTTAACATCATGAAATAGAAAGCATGTCTAATCTTTGCAAATAAAGTCAATGGCACTCGTGTTTGAGAAAACGTCGCTTAGATATCAGTTGTTTTAAGAGGGGGTTTTAAGAATCTCGTTGAGTTTTTAATTGTAAAAAAAAGATAAGTATTGTTTAGATGAGAGTTTGTTTTGTTTTTCTAGGTTCTGACCGAAGGACGACTGATATTAGAGTTCACTTTTGATGATTTGATGAGGATACGAACTTGGAGTTTCTTTGTCCACCATCACGAGGAGTTTGTTTCACGCAGTGTTCTTCAAACGGATCCTAATTTCATGGACGAACAAGCAAAAAATATCACCATTAAAGGAATGACCAGCAACACGCTTACATTACTTAACGTAAGACTCTTGAAATTCACTTCAGTCAAGCGCCTGCCTTACAAATAAACATGAAAACTATTCTGAATTCCAAAAAGATGCTAAAAATACCCTTTTGGAAGTTTGTTTTGAAGATTTTTAAGGCTAACTACTAGTCGCGTTTTGTATATCCAGCATACAGTATATGTAACTGTTGTGATTTGTAGCCAGAACAGCAATACTGAACCCGAAAACTGATATTCTTATTATTCATTTTGCAGATTTGTTTCATTCTTGAACCGATGCAAGAGCTAATGTCTCGACATAAAACGTACAACATGAATCCAAGAGGTAAGTGGAATATATACGCTTGAAATATTGATTCACAAGCGAGTGTATAAAATAGCTCGTAACTTTCGTTGTTGTTGTTTTAGACTGCCTCAAATCGACGCTTTTTCAAAGATGGAGAATGTTTACTTCGTCAGGTACTTACTCTCTTATACCTATAGGAAGTATTGTGATTTCAGCGTTTCGAAACCATAGAGGTGTTGGTTCAATTCCTACCTGAGCGCCAGCTCATTTAATTTATATAACTAGGGACATAACCTTTAATCATATTTTTAACCAAGAAATACTGTTTTCAGGTGCTCCTGGAATGGAGGGCAACCATCAACCTGAAATGCCTTGGCCAGGTGATTAAAAAAGCTTAAGTTTGTCGTATAAATAACCTTTAAACCTTAATTTCACCATATGAATACGTAGATTAAGTCTATTTTCTTATATTTCTCTGCAGTTCAACAACACAACAATATCAACATCCACGGAAAACGGAGAAATTCGGCGTCGAAGCGAGGTAAAATAAGACCTATCGGACATCGCTTGAAATTCGCCATAAAAAAAGATGGCGGCGTTTTGATTAGAATAGATTTTTTTCTGAATTTGGCTCGTTTCCGATAGATGCGATGAAAAATGCTTCATGTATTACGTCAATCTGGTTTGAAATGACGAGCTTTTGACTAACTTTGTGTCGGCAACGTATATAGTTTTTTTGTTGTTGAAAATATGAGATTTTCGGCAAAAGAGCTTGTTGATATGTCCACGTCCGTTATATCTTTCCGTTGGCAAAAAAAAATATCCCGTTGTTGACAAAAAAGTACGACGGCTTGCCAAGAACAAAACTCGTCAAAAGGAAGATAATTTTCAGTGAATTGATGTAAAATGACAAACATTTTGAATTGTTTTTTTTTAACTGAACTGAATTCGGAACGAAAATGTTTTTTTAACATTAATATCACCTCCGTTATCTTTTTCATTATGGCGAATTGAGCCTCGTTGGAGCTTCGCTGTGATAAAAACGTGAGAAAATACAAGTTAAACGGCAAAATACATACAAGGCATTAGAAATTTTAGATACGTTAATTTACGATGGCGTCGATTTCTTCCCCAGACGGAAATCCAAACACGAAGCCAAAACGCCGTCCTTCAAAGCGAAAACCGACAACCCCGACTTCCTCGTCCGCTGCCAACGCTCCTCTTCCGCAAAACAGCACCGTGAATAAAAAAAAGAGCTCGATGTCACCCAGCAGGGTTGGAAACTTTGGTTTGACTTCGCAGGATGTCATGGTCGTAGGCGAACCTTCGTTGATGGGCGGAGAGCTTTGTGACGAAGATGAGAGGCTTATCACGAGATTAACATCGTAGGTTTGGTTCAATTTTAGAGGGGGGGGGGCGGCTTTAACTGCTGTGTGTTTACATTACGAGAGCACGTGTTTACATTATGAGACGTCTTTGATCTTGAATGACGAGGGTTTCTTCTTTCAGATTAGAGAACACGGGTTATGACACTGCTGTCACCCAAGAGGATGAATTCCGCAACAGTCCTCTCGCGAATAGCAGTCCAGTGATGACACCGTGGTCAGCTGCGGGCGAGGTCAGGAAAGCGTCACAAGAGGATGGCGTGAACGAGTAACTATGGCAACAACATGCTACGACAGACAGACAGAGTTATTTGAAGTGCTTATGTAACGAAATTTCAGACCGCGTTTTTAAACTGTAGACCGTCGCATCATTTCGTTTCAAAGGCCATAGGAACATCGACCTCCATACGAGATTTCCCGCTTGAAACCACTGATCTAAATAATTGACTGGATTGTGCAGAGAGAAAAATTTATAGCCGAAATACCACTTGCGAGATCTGAAAATTTTGAGTATAATAGCCCCCCATTATTTATTCACCGGCTGATTGAGAATAAATTATTCAGTATCAATTTGCTTTCAGTAACAAAGTTATAATCATTATCATGCAAAACGGATGCTCTATTCAGTCTTTCTTTTTAGATCAGTGGCCAAGAGTCCTCGGGTTACATCGACACGCGTCGTTTGCGCGAAGCCTCGGCAACAAAAATCAACATGATTTGCGCGCTTGCGGCATGCGCAAACTAGTCCAGGTAACCCTCGGTCATCGCTTGTACATATTCTCGTGCGCAGTCCTTTCTCGGTGCTATCATACGGTGTTAGAATATTGCATGTTATTGTGGTAAAAGAAAGGGCGAATGGTTTGGGGGGGAAAAAACACTGGAAACTATAGAGTACTGTAAAATACTTCCATGCCAAACTCTCGTCAAAAGCCACTATTTAGAGCGCTGTTTTTCAGACTTAGTATATATATTACGGTAAGACAAATGTACATATTTCAGTCAAGTCCTTGAAAAAATGAAACAAGACTGGTATCACTGTTTTGCGAAGCCTTATATATTTCAATCTTCCTTGGAATAATGCCTGTATTCTGGTATATACAGAACAGGCTCTTTTTTAGAAAATATTTTCTCCTAAATTCTTTTCAAAAAACTATTTCTATCGTTAACAACTCGTGGTCCCTTGTGGCCAGACTCGGTATTTAACTTGCTATCGGTAAATTAAATGTGACTGCAATATTTTTACAGAATTTCATACGTGTAAATGAAACCCAATTTAAGAAGTAATGCTTAAGGTTTGGTACAGTCATAGTGTATTTTCACCGGGAGTTTTGTATCGTTTGGACCTTTCCTTTCCTGATGCTTCACTGGAAGTTCAAAGAGAACTCCTTGCATAAAACACGCTCCATTTGGTTCGCAGTAGTAGATCTTTCCTTCCACCTAAAACGAAAACCATAGCACGCTTATTTCGTAAAGATTTCAAACAAAAACCAAACCTTAAGGTCGCTATACAGAGAGATATTTATGCTTACCGTTATTTGAATATCTTTGTTGCTTGACAAATCTATCAAAATGGTTATGGGTACGTCTGGATTAATCAGCTGACCGCTGTGAACCGTTTGACCTGGATTAAGAATATGGAATGGAAAAACAAGATCAGTTTGGAAACAATTTTACAAGCTTGCTAATTTCCACGATGAAGAAAATTGCTCGCAAATTTTTTCTCACCAATATTTGCGGAATCGTCAAATATCGCGCACTGCCATCGACTTTCAACTCCTTCGGTTAGCTGACAATGTTCAGGCAAGCTGAACGAGAACAATATCTCTAACGATTCTTTGCAAGTTTCAACAGGATTGCAGGTTATGGTGCTCGCGTTCCGTGGTGCAAGCCGACGGTATTTCGAAACAGCCCGAGGACTGCTGTCGGTAATATCAGTGACGCCATCTTTTTCCACTGGTATTTGACTGATAATTGGTAACTGAAAGAGGTGGATGGAAAATATCAGTTTGTGAACAAAGCGACGTCAATGAATGACGAGGTAAGCTTGTTATGAAAAGTTGGAAAGAAAATATTGTTTCCCAGCAATGTTTCCCGTTTAGACTTGCAAATGTCTTCTTTTGGTAAATGTGAACGAGTGAATGAGTTACTGCTGTTTAAATAAGAGCTCTTTTACATCAGTGCATTCGTAACTAATTACTCGTTCACATCTTTCAAAAGAAGTATAAATGAGTCTTTATACAACAATTCACTATACTCACTGTTGAAACAGAATTTGTTTTCAAATCGACCATGCGTATTGCATGACTATTAGTATCAGCGACATACAACGTGCTACCATCTGGACTGACGTCCATGCCTCCGGGCTCGTTAAACTGAACGCGCCCAAGATCTCCGTCTTCACAACCTGGTTCGCCAGTACCAAGGAGCGTGGTACAGGTTTTCTTAATAGGATCAACCACCTTGATCTGAAAACGCACACACGAGAGGTTTCAACTTACCAAATGAAACTTGACGTTTTGAATAGTTGAACTTGTAAAAACTGCTACATTCAATCGGTTTTTCGACACAGGCCTGTCAAAAGTATTGTGTATTAATGTTTACTTATATCAGGATTAACGTATTACTTTATGATTATAGGAATCTGCTACGTAAAGTAATTGGTTTTGATCGTTCCAGGATACCGCTAGAGGATGCTGAAGCTTAGCGTCCACACCGCTACCATCGAGATCACCAAACGCAAAGAGATTCTGAAAAAGACGAAATTTAATAGCAATATTGGTAAGGATTCTCGTATAAACTTTTGATATTTTTCCATTTTACCGAAAGGAGAGTTCACTTGTACGTTGAAATGGGGGTATTACTGGTTAAATGCATCGGTTAATCATTACCATTGGATCCCGGTCAGCGCCAACCAAAGCCTTAGCCCCGCCGGTTGTAATGGCCACTGACCGCACGCTACTGCTTTCGCTGTCTGCAATAAACAAGCTTTCGAGAGGTTTAGCACGAGCAACGGTCAGTCCTGATGGTTGAGCAAAACCAGTTTTATGTGGGTAACTGTTGTTGCGATTTTCTTCAGCGCCACTTCCGGAGTATCTCAGACAAGACCACGCTTTTTCATCACTGAATAAATTTCGACCATTAGTTCATTTCTTTCACTTATTTCTCAAGGAATATCAGCGACAATACAAAGGTCATTACCTTCGTTTTAACCATTTTGTGTCTGTTAAACAAAGACCCCATATCTGATGCGTGCCAGCCATTGCAATATATAAAACACTTTCATCTTCTAATATATTTAGTGAACCTGTGCAGTCAAATGAAGAGATGGCATGATTTGTTATTAAATAAACCTTGAAATCTGCTTGGCGAAGCGTGATACCACACTGTAGCAATTTATGTGAAGGTAATGTACTGTACTTAATATTTTGGTTTTTTAATCTCGAAATGGTAAAATCACACAAGAAAAGTTCTGTTTTGACCTGGGGATGGGCCAATGACAACATCCCATGGGGAGCTGATTTCTTGTTCTTTGCCAATTTTCCCACCAATCTTGTCATTTCCTTGCAAACCTGTTCCAGCAACTGTTGTCACTGTTTTGGACTTTAGATCAATCTAGAGACAGGGCAAATCAAAAGCATTATGTCAGCTGCTATAATCATCACAATTTAATAGGTTAACAAATTAAAACTATTTGTTACCCACCAATCTGATTGCATGGTTTTCAGTGTCAGCAACAAACACCATTGAATCACCTTTCCATGCCAAGCCTTGCGGACAATTAAACTGTGCCTGGTTGAACGCACCATTTGCAAGGCCAGACTCCCCCTTGCCAACAACAGTCTCGACCACACCCGTCATGTCGACAATCAGTATTCGGTGGTGACCTGTGTCGGCAACAGCCATTTTATCACCTGACTTCTTTAAGGAAATCTTTCCAGGAAAGGATAGGCTTGTTTGAGGTAGGCTGTCTCTTGCAAGCGAGATTTTGATTGAATGATTACTTATTTTACCTGAATATGTGGAAAATTGGTTAAAAAATACACTAAATACTCAAAATACTTATGGTTACAAGAGATGGTTACAGATACATGTGGCTTAATTTAACCGATTAACTGGCAGAATATAACAGAAGTATGGTTGTAGGGTACATATAGATCTGAGTGTATATCACCAGATAATGGGCTAAGAAATAAATTCCCTTAGTACATTGTTGAATTTCAACATCAAAACCAACATTCCCTACCAGAGTTCTGAAACCATATTATTGCTGCATCAACAAACTCCATCAAAGTTTCACGATGACCTTCTCCAACCAAAGATAACAAATGCTGACCATTCGGTCCGACAACGACCAATGTCGGCCAACATGCTATCTCCATGGCGTTCCACAGAAATGCAGTGGTATCATTCACAACTGGATGGGTGATATCATATCTTAAAATAGCATTGAGTATGTTCTTTGAAACCTTCTCGTTTTCAAACTTGGCAGAATGAACACCGACGACAACCAGCCCGTCTTCCACGCTGTGTTTCGCTTCAAGAGCGTGTAGATCTGGCAGGATATGCATACAGTTTATACAACAGTACGTGAAGAAGTCTAAAACACAAATCTTTCCGCGTAGATTTCCATTTATAGACAACGAACTGTCATCTTTCAAATTCATCCACTCGCATCCTTCAGGAAAGTCGGACACTTTTTTTATTTTCCCGCCTGAATCCTCGCCAAATGTTCGGAGATATTGTTGAATTAAAGCATCCCTTTCTTTTTTATCCACAGAGCTTTCTAGTTTTAACAAAAACAGTTGATCTTTGCTGCTCATTTTGATAAATTTTTCATGTCCGACCTTTGCCACTCATCTGTCCATTCACGCGTAAATATTGAAAACACGCGAGATATTTAAATCCCCTGTCGCTGAGGACAAGTCACCCCCCGGGAATTTCGTTCTCTTATAATATATTTTGTTACTGAACCTTGTGAGCGACGGGGGGAGCAAACGCCACGAATGTGCGGTGAAATAAATTAGTTATTGAATATGGCTTCTCTTTCGTCGAAAAAGAAGAAAAAAGACGAAGTTATTCAAGAAGATAGCGACGAAGATTCTTCAAGCGAGGCCGAAAGCGAGAATTCTGAGTCAGATCTCGATCCAGATCTGGTAAGGAACGCAATGAAACATGCACAAACTGTACTAAAAAAAGGGGATATTTTTGGTTTATTTTATGCATGTTTTCCACGTGGTCGTTTACTAGTACTGTACGCACACTTGTTACTGTAAACTACAACTTTTAGGAAATTCAAGTTGAATTTGAAGCAAGAACTCCAGAAGCCTCGGATTTTGCAGGAATAAAAAGATTATTGCAGCAGGTTGGTTATCAGAACTGCAAAATGACTGAAAGCACCAAGATTGTATAGAATATTACGAATAAAAATGACCAGCAAGTGTTCTTAACAGGAGCTGATCTTGACCAATTTACTGGTTTAATATCTTTTTAGCTTCTGCCAAAAACCAGCATAAATCTCTCTGAAATTACAGATCTTATTTTGAATCAGTCGAAAGTTGGTAGTGTTTTAAAGGTATGGTATTTGATTTATCCAAAAATCCTGCAAACGTTGGGACTTTATAATCTGAAAAATCTCTGAACCTTAGTGTATTGCAGATGACAATGATGATGATGATAATGAGGATGATACTTATGGCATTACAACAGTTTTGAACCTTAACCATCATAAGGTAATTGACTCAACAGATTACGTAACTGCAAATCATTGCAAATGCTGATTCTTTCAAAAGCAGGGCTCAACTAGCATTTTAAATAATGCATTGAATCTATTTCTCTTGTTCAGGAGGTAGCTGCAGTCAGAGACTTCCTCAATCTTGTTACAAAAGGTTCTCAAGATGAAAATTTTTTAAAAATCCTTCAAGATCCGCAGCACACAATCGGTTGGTTAATAAGTGAGCGATTCATCAATATTCCAGCTCATATTGCTCCTCCACTATATGCAAGCCTTTGGTAAGTACAAATTAGTATTATTTATGTCGCATACCAAATGTACGTAGCATGCAACTGTATTTCATAGTGGCAGACTCTATATAGATATGCTTTCAAAACAGTTGTAATTGTCTTTTAGGGCTGAGATTAATAAGGCAAGAAAAAAGGTACAGTATGAACATCTTATATGGCATGGGGCTTTTTGGATGATCTTTTTTATATTAAGGAGATACTTAATGAGTATAGGTATATTCATGCAATGGTGAGTTAATTTAGGGATAGTAATTATTTACTTTTCAGGGCAAGCCATTTGAGTTTGACTATCTCTTATACGTGTGTAAATCTTACAAAATGGATGTCTCAACCATCAAGAAGAAAAAGAAAAATCAGACAGTAGAGGGACAAGACCTGATGTTTATAAATGCTGAAGATGAACTGTTATGTCAGGTGAGTGAAATCAAATGTTTTGTTTTATTCAAAGCCTAAATGAGTTGTTGATAGCTCAGGTAATTTACAAGATAATGCCATTAATGGGCTGACAAGGAGACTGAGGAAGACTGTTGAAATATTGGGGTGTATTTGGGTGAGAGGGAATTGAGAGAATGGCGGCGTAAAATATAGAATATTGTCCATTTTTCCGCTGTGCGCTAATTTTTGCAAAGGCAATCTGATTTCATTAAGTAATAATTTGTGCTGAAGGATAGATAGATGACCTTTTTAAATAAGTGAGAAAAATATATTAAAAATGATAACAAGTACATGACTAAGTACATGACTAAGAATGAACAAGTTGTTTCTAGTTGGTAAAAACATGCAGGAATTAATGAACAATGTTTGGCTGCACCTTATGATATATTATACAGCAACTTATATAAATAAACACTAGTAATTAAATTAGCTTGTAGGTGCACCATGGACATAAATAGGCCCAGGTCACCATGCAAACATACAAGAATATTATTAAACACTATAGTATGGGAAATATATTTACTGAAACAATATGTATAAATGAATGTTATGCAACGTTTATGTCAAATAACTTGGGTTTATTTTTAACTCGTGTGATATCCATTGCTAATTCAGAAGCTCTGGAATGGCCCTGTTAAAAAATGAAGGGATACCCTTTTAGTTAGTTAAAGTATAAGGTGATCGAATTATACATCACAAAGTTTTCTAATTCTGATAATAACGTGATCAAAAGGTGTAAAAAATAGGCATAAATTGTTGAATACTTGAAAAATTTAATGGCTTTTTTTCGTCTCGGGAAACATTCAGACTCTTGGGAAAACAAAACTCACCATTTCTCTTGGGAGCATAATATTTTATATAATTATATGAGATGGCAACTATACACATGTATGCCTTATACACTATTTACCTCCTAATGGATGCTGCTTTTACTTCAACCTCTTCGATGTTCTGAATCTCAACCACCAGTCCCTCAGTTTCAATTCCGATATTCAAGAGTTGCCTCAGCAAGCGTTCTCTCGTTCTTCCAGATTGAAAATCTTCTAAAACCTCGAGATATTTTCTTTCTGTTAAACAAAGCAGTATGACACGAAAACTTCCTTCTGTGGGGTTGACAATTTTGTGATCATCGCCTTTGCCACCAAGGCCTCTTTTAACAGCCTCTCTGAATTTTCTTTTTTGTTCCGATGATGTACTTTTGAACCGCAGATATGAATCATATAGCGTGATTCCTGATACAGCCCCAACTATTGCACTAGTGATAACTGCCGTGTTAGCTTTCAAGATGAAACGGATAGTAAGGTCCGTGGCCGCACTTGCCATTGCAATACCTTTCCTAGTTGATAAAAGCAAAATTTAAAATTAAAGACAGCTATATTCAAGGTATACACTGAATCTGGTTAGTCTTGAAATATATGTATTTCGAACAAAGGGCTGTAGATATAAAGGCTTCAAAGTATGAAAAAGTACTAAAGCATTCGTATAAGAATCCTAGAATTACTTTGTAGTTCATAGGTGTATGGTTGATGTCTGAACTGCCAAGAGTGCATAAAAATACCTGCCGAAGTATTTTTATTTGTTATTTGTTTCGCCGCATGTATATTTTTTAGGCTTTCGTAAGTACCCCTCGCACGCGAATTGCTTATATATTGTTAGAACATAAGGTATTATATAGCCTACCTTTTCACATTCCTCAATTTTAGCGAAATGTGTGCACCTAAATTCGCAAGTGAACTATATCCAGCTGGTACCAGTGAAATAACCTAAATCTATTCCTAGTAATACAGACTAAACGAAAATGAAAGTACTGAAAGAAAGCGTTGTTTTGTTGTTTTTGTTGTTTTCATACGAAGCTGTATGTACAAAAACAGGACTCTCTCTTACCCAACTACCAGTAATTTTAAGTGTCAACGTTTGTTTTTAACGACAGGGAAATTAATTTAGTTGTGTACTTTGACGGTTTATAAAGATCACACTATTCAAGTTACAGTCAAGGATAAAATATTAAGTATACTTGACTAAATTATCTCGTTCGACTAGTGGTGTAAATTGTTCAATGAACGCAAAATGAAATGCATGGACATGCACGCGTCTTCAAAATTTAGAATCTAAAGGCTTCCTGCCACCCTGTCTGTGAAACGTTCCACAATATGTTTTTCAGCATGGAACATTCATATGGAACATTTTTTGTTAAAGGTATATATCTTGTTTCGACATTATTTCAGCCAGGCATGCTTCTAATTTCTACAGTCTTTTGTTGCGTTATTTAAACATTTAAAAAGTTGTCAATCTTGGTCTACCAAGATTAGAGGCTGATTCCGCGATAAAAAACCTTTCCTTGGTTATATGACTAAGTATCACAGTAAAAGTTGCATGTAAAACCACTGACACAATGGTACTCCGTCAATTCTCCAACAATTTCCTGCAAGGGTCCTTTTTTCCCGCCCATCCCCAATAATTTTATGTCGTCAAAAATATGTGATTATGCCATAAATGAAGTGAATCATGCATGGAAAATATTTGGACATAAGAGTCAATTTATGAAACACTTCGAGCACTGCTTGGTTCGAAAGTGTAAGGTATATCTAAAACGGATTTTATAAAATCCACTGTATGCTGTAAAAAGAATGAACGAACAAGATTTCATGCACTCCAATTGTCCTTCCTTTATGCATGTGGGTTTCCTTCCCAATTTTAGAGATTACGCTTTCAATTCAAATCTCGCACGCTAAGAATTATCTATTGTTTTTATGATATAAAGTAATTTTAACCTACCTTTGTATAATTTGTCTGCAGAGAAATTTTAACGATACGTCTACACCTAAATTCGCAAGCGAACTCACGAACTGGTACCAGTGAGGTATCCAAATCGATTCCTAGTAAAGCCGGGTAAACCACAACGAAAACACTGAACGAGTTGTTTTCTTGTTTTCTTCCGTCTGGCCATCTAGCTCTGCTTGCTATTGCTACTATTAAATGAATTCATCTTATCCTCACACAACCATTATATATACAGAAAAAAGTTGCTTTCCCCGATATAGCTGTATATAGAGAAGCTAATTGTACAAAACGTGTTTATATTAAGATCGCTTTCCTTGATTTTTCAATAACAATCCAGTGTTCAAACTAAGTTAGAGGTATGTCTATATTGTGGGATGAAAATTTACAACTCTACTTTATGTATATAAACCTTCTTAGTTCAGAGCTTTTCTATTTTTATACCACAGAAAAGCACTGCTTTATTGTTTTACAATTGATACAAAATCACCTAACCATTGATTTCACATGAGAGAAACTAGAATTTAATACCTGGCAAATACCATTTCGTGTAAAATGAGTCTCGAAAGAGGACATGCAGTCCAGTTATAAAAATAATACATTTCATACAACGAACCTCGGTCTTATGTGGTTAACTGCAAAGGGACCCAACACGAATCAATGCACAAAAGTTGAACATTTTTTTATCATTTTATTATTCATTGCCGCTATGCAGTTCTAAGTGAGGTTACATAAATGTTTCTGTGAAATTGCTATATCACAAAAGAATTCCTCGATTTTTCTTGCAATTACAATCGTAAATTGAAAAAAAATAAAAACCTTAAAATAAGATAAAATATTCTAAAACTACACCGGATTTAATTGTTCACTAAAAAAGTTCTAAAAATACGTATAATGTTGATACGTAAATAATAAAAAATACGTATATATGAAGTTCTTATCAGTTTTATTCCACGCAGTCATTATAATATCGCTACATACTTGGTTCTTCTCACTCTGTTCTCGCACCGGTTATCTAGTTATCTAAAGTTTCCATATCTTCAGCTTCCACAACGTTTGTGGCCCTATCATGGTCAGTCTTGTCTCCCACAACAATGCGGACTTTTTTCCTCTGCCTCTCGGCACTAAGGAACATTTCCCGTACATCTTTATCAGACGTTATTCCAACCTGTATACGAGCTTCTTCCTCGTTTGGTTTGTCTTGTATCAAAATCTGAGCATCAGCCCCAATCCCTACATGACAATGTTCTTGTATTGCAGCTTGCAAATTTTTCAATGTAATATCAGGTGTGGTACATCGATAGTAAAGTTCCTCACCGTGTTTCTTTACTAAAAATTTCCTTTCGTTAAGGTTCGTGCTCCCGCCTTCTATGTATGTTAATGCCATATCTGCAGTCGGTCGTTCGTTTGGGTTCTGCTTCATTAAGCGGTCGATCAAGTTGAGTAATACTTCGTCCTGATGCAACAAATATTTAGGACCACGATTCCCGTTTCTAAGTTCCTTGATTTCATCTGACCATTGACTTTTGTCTGGAAGATAGCGGCTGAGAATATACAGAACGATTCCTGCGCTGTAAAGATCCACTTTATAATCATAATATCCAGTCGCCAGTTCAGGGGCCCTAAACAGTTCTTTCCCAACATCAGAAGAAACATGAGGGGCTTCGATTATAGACTCGATCTCCTTGGCTAGACCAAAGTCAGCGATCTTGACCGAAATTTCCTGGACATGTCGTGGCTCTGGATATGCTATGAGAATATTACCGGGGTGAATGTTTCGATGAACCATGCCCATTTGGTGTATAGCTTGTAAACCATTCAAAATCTGGGGGAAAACCTGCGCCCAGAGTGGCTTTGGACTTGAAACTTGGACAATTTGAGGACCAGCAGCTATCGTGTTGTCGTAGACGAAATCCAACAAGTTTTTGATACAGAGTTCTGTTTGAACAAACAGAAATTGTTCCGTTAGTTCGTTATCTACATTGTTGTGCCAAGAATGGTAATATCTGATAATATTATGCTTCCAAAGATCTTCTTTATACTTTTCTAGAAGCTCCAGTTCTCGTTTCTGGTATTTTGCGTTTTTATCGTTGTCGTCATTCGCACAAGGAAGAACCTTTATGGCGTATTTCTGTTTGTCAACAATGTTCTCAACCTGAACAACAAAACCATAGCTGCCCTCACCAAGAATTTTTTCTGACTCAAAATCCCGCCGGCGTAAAATTGTTGTCGCTCTCTCTGCAAGCATTTTCTTTTCTTTTTTGTCGAGTAATTCATTTCGTCTAATGTCCTTGCTCTCGTCTTGAATGTATTTCAAAGCCTCGTCCGCAGTCGGTCGTTTGTTTGGGTCCTGCTTCATTAAGCGGTCGATTAGGTCGAATAATAATTTGTCCTGATGAGACAAATGTTGTTGATCACGATTCCCATTTCTAAGTTCCTTGATTTCATCTGTCCATTGACTTTTGTCTTTGAGATAGCGGCTGAGAAAATATAGAACGATTCCTGCGCTGAAGAGATCCACTTTATAATCGTAATATTTGGTTGCTAGTTCAGGAGCCTGAAACAGTTTATTACCAACATTAAGAGAAAGCTCTGGCAATTCTGGGGCGTCAGTGAGTGGAAGAGAGGCTTCGATTATCGACCTGATTTCCCTGGCAAGACCAAAGTCGGCGATCTTGACAGAAACTTCCAGGATTTGTTGTGGTTCTGGGCATGCTATGAGAATATTACTGGGGTGAAGATCGCGATGAACCATGCCCATTTTGTGTATAGCTTGTAAACCATTCAAAATCTGGGGGAAAACGTGCGCCCAAAGTGGTTTCGGACTAGAAATTCGAACAATCTGAGGACCGGCAGCTATCGTGTTGTCGTAGACGAAATCTAACAAGTTTTTGAAACAGAGTTCTGTTTGAACAAAAAGAAATGGTCCTGTTGGTTCTGTTGGTTCTGTTGGTTCTGTTGGTTCTGTTGGTTCCGTTGGTTCCGTTGGTTCGTTATCGATATCTTTGTGCCAAGACTTGTAATATCTGATAATATTTTGCTTCCAAAGTTCTTCTTTACACTTTTCTAGAAGCTCCAGTTCTCGTTTCTGGTATTTTGTGTTTTTATCGGTGTCGTTGTTCGCACTGCGAAGAATCTTTATGGCGTATTTCTGTTTGTCCTTTATGTTCTCAACCTGAACAACAAAACCATAGCTGCCGACAGCAAGTATTTTCTCTGACTCAAATTCCCGTCTGCGTAAAACAGGTTTTACTTTTTCGAAAAACTTTTCTCGGCCTACGTTTTTTACTATTTCGTCCATCTTCTGAATGTTCTTGTAGCAATGCAGACGGAACAACTGTTAAAGACGCGAAAACTTTCAATACTTATACTTAACAATAATAAATTAGAAATGCAAATTACACATCACAATGTTTGCTTTAATTCATAACAATTTCAGCATGATTAACTTACGATTTCTCATCCAGTGTGCTACATATTACGTTAATTCGCTACCAACATTACATGATTATTCAATATATAATGAAAGATGTAAGTGTTAGGTGGAGTGGTTAATGTACACTTTGCTTTTTTGTCTTTTCATTTTGTTGGCAAGTTAACTCAAGCTACCCAGGAGATTATTCATAGTTTATTGCTGTAAACGTTTTTCAGAATATATTATCTATTTTTGTCTGCAATTAAAACTGATACTTGCCAACAATTCAAGGTCAAGGAGACTGAAACAATCTATATTGATAGTACGCTTCAATAACGCTCCACACCTTTGTAGTGGTTTTAACCTTGGCACTGCAGGCATGCAATTAATCTTTCTCTCGCCATGACACCAGTCTTTAAATTTCTAATATTATTTACAATATATTTCGAGTATTTGACTTTGAAAATTTACCTTGGCTAACTTGGCGTGAAATCTCAAGCAGCAGTTTTTACATTTTTACTTTTAAAATGGGATAGAAAACGAATTGTTTGTTTCTAGTTCATGAAATTACAAATGAACAGTGTCGTTCATGCAGAGCTTATTCGAATATTACGGGGAAAAGTTTTTATGTCGATAGTTGGCCCCCTTCTCTTATGATGCGACGTACGAATGTATTGCTGTATTCTGGTATAACATTATGATGTTGATAATGCAATACACCTTCCATCTTTTAATTTTGGGGATTAAAAAGTTAAGGCATGTACCTTAGTCCTAGAAACCCCGCACAAGTCTGACTTGATTATATTAAATGCAACTCAGATAAGTTATTAGACAATATAAAAGAAAATCTGTGACAAAATCTCAACTTGACATAAATTACCTTATCATGGTGCAAACGATGCAATGATTGTAGCATGCATGGAGATATAGAGCAGGCGTCCTTAATATTTAGAAAAATAAAGGTTTCCTACTGTCTCGTTTATGGCACAACTTTTTGTGATTTTTTAATAACTTTACGACAAGAAAAGTGATCGATGGCACAGACAACAAGACTAAAAGTCCCAGATCAAAAATATATTTACGTTGTTAAAACAAAGAAATGCATACGATATACTTTGAAATAGACTGGGAACATGCAGTTATTAAAATAGTTTATATCTTGTGGTTTACACTCGAAAGAAATCATAAAGTTTTGACATACATAAATGCAACAACATTACTCATGCAGCACAGACAGAACAAGCATGAAGCATCATAAGCATACAACGTGCCTCATGCAGTAAGGTTCGTGCTCTCGCCTTGAATGTATTTCAAAGCCACATCTGCAGTCGGTCGCTCGTTTGGGTCCTTTTTCATTAAGCGGTCGATCAAGTTGAATAATACTTCGTCCTGATGCGACAAATATTTAGGACGACGATTCCCGCTTCTAAGTTCCCTGATCTCATCTGGCCATTGACTTTTGTCTGGGAGATAGCGGCTGAGAAAATACAGAACGATTCCTGCGCTGTAGAGATCAACTTTATAATCGTAATTTCTAGTTGCCAGTTCAGACCCTCTGAAGAGTTTATTTCCAACATCGGGGGATAACGATAAAAGTTCTGGAGACTCAGTGGGTAGAGACGATTCAATTACAGACCTGATTTCCCTAGCGAGACCAAAGCCAGCGATTTTAACAACAATTTCCAGGATTTGTCGTGGCTCTGGATATGCTATGAGAATATTACCGGGGTGAATATTTCGATGAACCCATCCGATTTTGTGTATAGCTTGTAAACCATTCAAAATCTGGGGGAAAACGTGCGCCCAAAGTGGTTTCGGACTAGAAATTCGAACAATCTGAGGACCGGCAGCTATCGTGTTGTCGTAGACGAAATTCAACAAGTTTTTAAAACAGAGTTCTGTTTGAATAAACAGAAATGGTGTGCTGTCGATGTCGTACAACCAAGAATGAAAATATTTGAGAATATTTTGTTTCCCAAGATCTTTATAGACTTCCAGAAGCTCCAGTTCCCGTTTCTGGTATTTTGTGTTACCATCGCCCTCGTCATTCGCACTGCGAAGAATCTTTATGGCGTATTTCTGTTTGTCAACTATGTTCTCAACCTGAACAACCAAACCAAAGCTGCCCTCACCAAGCATTTTTTCTAACTCAAATTCCCGTCGGAGTAAAATAGGTTTTATCTTTTCGAAAAGCGTAGCTTTGTTTATTACTACTTCGTCCATCTTTTGAATGTTCTTGTGACAATGCAGACAGAACAACTGTTGAAGACGCGAAAACTTTCAATACTTATACTTAACAATAATAAATTAGAAATGCAAATTACACATCACAATGTTTGCTTTAATTCACAACAGTTTCAGCGGGAATAAATTACAATTTCTCTTATTTTAAATATTTTTTTAAACATTTCGTAATTCTTAATCTTAATTATATAAATCCTGTATAAACGCTGAAACATGTAATGGTATATCAACTTTATCGATAGGGGGCGATTCAGTAACGCTGTGTTTTTGTGTTTTTACACATTTGCGCTCGTTTTAACATTGGCATTTGGCACTGCAGGCGATCAATATTTCTTCAGCCATGACACCAGTCTTTGAATTCACCATTTTTGTGGGAAAATATTTCATTTTGATGATTTGCCTAAAACTTCAAGCAGCAGGCTTTCTTTTTATTCTTGTTTGTACATCTTGGTCGGATGTTACTCGTTTCGTTATCAAAAATAACTTTTCTGGTTCGAGTAAATGACTGTTCACGCCCTCCTCAAGTGGCTATAGTGTTTATTGTTCCTATAATTGTATTGCACATTTTAGATATGAGGACATAATAATATTAAAGCGTATATACTATATAATATCACAATATATACGTAACCAAATTACTCTACAAGTCAGAAGTTTTATTTTCGCATTCATCGCGGGTATAGGTAGGGCATGCCAGGCCAAGAAGACTAGTGCTATTAATAGTATATTATATGATTCTATATATTTACATTACTATATTACGCCTGCGATTATTGTCTAAAATTGATTAAAAATCACTCGTCCATTGATTTTGCAGGGGCGGATCTAGGAATTTCATACGTGGCAACACGAGTAAAATACCAAAAGGTTCAGTCTCTTTTATATCCTGTAGATTTTACAGTCCCTTGAACCTTTGAAGTCAAACTTTACTCTTTACGAAGGTCTGTGTTCAGCAGATATATAGTGACGCTATTTCTGCTTTTTGAGAGCACAGGCATTCATTTCTTTCTCTCGCCATAATTTTTTAGTGGCAAAATGTTTCATTTTGGTGATACACCTTCTCTTTCTAGTACTCAAATTCTAAGAAGGAAGCTTTCTTGCCACGCGGGTTGAGTAGAAACTCTTAAACCGCACCAATTAATTCATATATATATATATATATATATATATATATATATATATATATATATATATATATATATATATATATATATATATAATATATATATATATCTATAATATATATCTATATCTATAATATATATATATATCTATAATATATATCTATAATATATATATATATATATATATATATATATATATATATATATATTTATATATATATTATTCCTGGTAAAACCCACCGATCTGATTTTAAACCCTTTTGTCACTGCATCAATACAAGACACATTATCAGAAATTGATTTATTGATTTGATAATAACAAGTGCATTTTACAAATTTTCTCTAGTGGAATGGTAATAGACAAATACTGGAGGAAAAATATCAGTAAACTCAATCTTAGCATTAAGCATTACTTCGCTAAATCATCTCATCGTTGTGCAAATAGTGTGTTGAATTAGAAATAGGTGCGTGAATCCTTTAATATTTCTAGTCAGAGCTCGAGGTTTTCTACTGTTCCATCTTTGACAACAATGTATACTTTAACCCTTTGCCTTTCAGCATTATGAAACATTTTTCGTACATCTTGGTCAGATGTTATCTCAACCTGTTTTTCTTTGTTATCAACGATTTTCTCTTGTATAAGTATCTGAGCGTTGGCTTCAATCCCAATGTGGCTGTGTTCTTGTATTGCAAATTTTAAACTTCCCAAGCTTTTATCGGTGATTGTGCATCGGTAGTAAATGTCAGCAGCTTCTTTCTTTACTAAAAACTCCCTTTCGTTAATGTTCGTGCTCTCGCCTTTTATGTATTTCAAAGCCATATCTGCAGTTGGTCGTTCATTTGGGTCCTTCATTAAGCGGTCGATTAGGTCGAATAATAATTCGTCTTGATGCGACAAATCTTGAGGACCACGTTTCCCGTTTCTAAGTTCCCTGATCTCATCTGGCCATTGACTTTTCGTTGGAAGATAACGGCTGAGAAAATACAGAACGATTCCTGCGCTGAAGAGATCAACTTTATAATCGTAATTTTTGGTTGCTAGTTCAGGAGCCCTAAACTGTTCATGTCCAACATCAAGAGAAAGCTCTGGCATTTCTGGAGTATCGGTTAGCTCAAGAGCTGATTCGATTACAGAGCCAATTTCCCTTGCAAGACCAAAATCAGCGATCTTAACAATAATTTCGTGGACTTTTTGTGGCTTTGGATTTGCTATAAGAATATTACCGGGATGAATATCGCGATGAACCCAGCCGATTTTGTGTATAGCGCGTAAACCTTTCAAAATCTGAGGGAAAACGTGCGCCCAAAGTGGCTTCCGTTCTTCTTTTGGTCGGATAATTTGAGGACCAGCCATAACGTAGATGAAGTCGGTCAAGTTTGTCAGACACAGTTCCATTTGAATAAACAGATACGGCGTATTGTCGATGTCGTTTGTCCAAGAATGGAAATATCTGACAATATTTTGTTCCCAGAGATCATCCTTGTATTGCGTCAGTAGTTCCAGTTCTCGTCTCTGGTATTTTGCGCTTTTATCGTTGGCGTTGTTCGCACTGCGAAGAATCTTTATGGCGTATTTCTTCTTGTCAACAATGTTCTCGACTTGCAAAACAAGCAAGGCAGAACTGCCAGCCCCAATTTTCCCTTCTATTTTAAAATCCCTGCTGCTTAAAAAAGGTTGTAATCGATTCTCGTCCATGTTAACGTTAAATTTTTATATATAGCAATAGCGACTGAACCACCTTTGATAGTATACGATGGGTTGCAATACTTCGTTTGTTAGTTTATAAGAGTATTATAAATGCAAATTACACAATGACTGTGTTTTTCTTTTTGAGCTTTGCTTGTGTTTTTTCCCGTTCATGACAGGAAACCTACTCAGCGGTTTGTCTAAAATTGATTAAAAATCACTCGTCCATTGATTTTGCAGGGGCGATGCAGTTTCGTTTTGTATATAATGGTATTTTAGACCAAATCGGTCTGTAAAAATAAAGGTCTGAAATAAATTCAGTGAACTCTACTATTTTATCGAAATAGTTACCGCCAGTCAAAGTAATGCAAGAAATATAATTTAAAACCTTGACCTTGTGGTTAAATAACAAATTAGAGCATATGGCGTGATATGATATGCAAATAGTTTTGATAATACGCTTGGATAGAACTTCCTATTTCTTTGTATCACTTGGGGCCGTTTTTAATCTTGGCATGTATATAAGCAATTAGTCGTTAATTCTGACCTTATAATATCCGTCTTTGAATCCACTATTTTCAGGTGGCAAAATGACAAAATGATTTAGCCTACTTTACAAGGTCAAAGCTTACTTAAAAACAACAAACTGCTGATATTGGTTTTCATTGTAAATATTGAATCTTTAAAAAATCCCTTTCTGGTCAGTACACTATCCTATAGAAAACTTTAAATTTAAACATTTTATATATTTTTGCTTGTAGCTATAATATATATTATACACCTGTATATGTTGCAAATGGTAATTAAATAATATTTCAACCAGAGATCGTTTCAGATATCCATTACTTTCAATCTTGTTGGAGGTAAAACTTGTGAAACCTTGGCCGAAAATTTTGTAATTCCACTGATCATAATATATAATTATACGAACGATGCCAAATCAATTTCCCCTTCGTAAATGAACATTTCCCAGATAAGATTTGCTCCTATACAACATGCGGTATTGAAAACTCACACGCTGTTCCTTGTGTGCATGTAAGATCTACTATAGTATTACACGTAGCTTATTATAGCGAGCCTTTTTTTCTTTACTTGTGCTCTTGTCGCGATTTTATCCCCTTATATTCACTTTTGTTCTAGCTATAGACTTAACTAAGTCACTAAAAATGTTTCCAAAGAGGCCTGTTCATCTAATGTTCAACATTGTTTACATCTCTATTTGAGTTACTCGTACTAATGGGTTGTGAAAAGAAGTGAGATTAAAGTAACCTATATTTCTTGTAAAAATTAAACCACACACAGTCATCAAAGAGAGAAAAGTCATTTTATAGCCCCTTGTTATATCTAAAGGTTTAGAGCTACCTCTTCGCCTGTGTCAACAACTTGACTTCTCCTGTCTGTGACAACAATACGCACTTTCCTTCCCAGCTTCTCGGTACTATGAAACATATCCCGTACATCTCTGTCAGACGTTATTCCAACAAATATATCCACTTTTTCTACAGGTTTCTCTTGATTTTCTCTTGTATTCTTCATTTTCTCTTGTATTATTATCTGAGCGTTAGCTTCAATACCAATATTGCTGTGTTCTTGTATTGCAGCTTGCAAACTTTTCAAGCTATCATCAGGTGTGATGCATCGGTAGTAAATTTCATCACCCTGTTTCTTTACAAAAAATTTCCTTTCGGTAAGACCTGTGCTCTCGCCTTGAATATATTGCAAAGCCATGTCTACAGTTGGTCGTTCGTTTGGGTTTTGCTTCATTAAGCCAGTGAGTAAATGGAATAACTTGTCGTTTTGATGAGACAACTCGTCAGGACCACGATTTCCGTTTCTAAGTTCCTTGATCTCATCTGGCCACTGGCTTTTGTCTGGAAGATAGCGGCTGAGAAAATACAGAACGATTCCTGCGCTGTAGAGATCCACTTTATAATCATAAGATCCAGTCTCAAGTTCAGGAGCTCTAAATAGTTTATTCCCACGGTCGGAAGAAAGCGGTGGCAGTAATGGAGCAACTGTGAGTGGAAGAGAGGCTTCGATTATAGACCCGATTTCCCTGGCATAACCAAAATCAGCGATCTTGACGACAATTTCCGTGATTTGTTGTGGCGGTGGATTTGCTACAAGAATATTACCGGGGTGAATATCGCGATGAACCCAGCCGATTTGGCGTAAAGCTTGTAAACCATTCAAAATCTGAGGGAAAACCTGCGCCCAAAGTGGTCTCGGACTTGAAACTTGAACAATTTCAGAACCAGCGGCTATCGTGTTGTCGTAGATGAAGTCCAACAAGCTTTTAAAACAGGGCTCGGTTTGAATAAACAGATATGGTATGTTATCGATGTCGTTTAGCCAAGAATGGTAATATTTGAGAATATTTTGATTCCAAAGATCATTTTTATAGTTTTCTAGAAGCTTCAGTTCTCGTTTCTGGTATTTTGCGTTGTCATCATTCTGGTCATTCGTACTACGAAGAATCTTTATGGCGAACTTTTCGTCATGTTTGTTCTCAACTTGAACAACCAAACCAAAGCTGCCCTTACCAAGTATTCCTTTTAACGTAAAATCCCGCCTTTTCAAAATGGGTTCTGCTCTCTCTAATAGTGATTCTGTGTCCATTGTTGTATGCCAATGCAGAATGAATTGCTGTTAAATACGCCAACAACTTTCAAAATCCTGAATACTACATAACGGTATAGTTAAATTATAATTGCAAATGACACAGCCATGTTTACGCTGTTTAAAATGCTATTTATGCTTCTTGAGAGACAGACAATTAATTTCTTTCTCTCGCCAAGGACCAGTCCTTGAATACACCATTTTCTGGTAGCAAAATGTATCATTTTGGGCCAGTTAAAGCTAGGTTAGCGCTAACCCTGGGTTAAATTTTAATCCAGTGTTTTAGTTTATGTGCTTATTACCATAGACTATCGAAGGGAATAGTGCTTATTACCATAGACTATCCCTTCGATAGTCTATGTTATTACACAATGACTGTGTTTTTCTTTTTGAGCTTTGCTTGGGGTTTTTCCCGTGCATGACAGGAAACCTACTCAGCGGTTTATTGTCTAAAATTGATTAAAAATCATTCGTCCATTGATTTTGCAGGGGCGGATCTAGGAATTTCATACGTGGCAACACGAGTAAAATGCCAAAAGATTCAGTCTCTTTTATATATGCTAGGATTTTACAGTCCCTTCAAGCTTTGAAGTCGAACTTTACTCTTTACGAAGGTCTGTGTTCAGGCTAGGTTACTCTTTACCATTTCACCGAACATACAAAGAATTTTGATGGCCTACAGTGCGTGTAAACTGCAACTAACCACAACAATATCAAGTTACAAATGGTCATTTATTTATTCTAATATAACCAGGGAGCAGCGTGTCTTCAAGCAACTTCATATCACTTGTGGCGTATAACAACTGTCAAAATACACAAAACTCTTCTCATCCAAAGGCTCTCGTCGAGAAGGTCTATTTTTGGAAGTTGTTACACAAAATTTCTTGCTGTCAGTGATTTATTCATGTAAACATTTTTCCTGTTAAGAAATTCAAGAAACATTTCCCTTAATTTTCTTAATTGCAATTTTTTTCGACTGACGTAAACGTGAAGCAGAAATTCGCCACTTTACGATTTTTGAGTAGCTACATCATTCGCAAAATTATTTGTTGACCTATTATTTGACTCTATCGTGCACTAAAAAGTACACTGTTCCTCATTTTAAACTATTATCAGAGTAAAACATCAGCTTTATTTTTGTTTATATTTCAACAGAAAGCATCAGCGAAGTTTGACAAAGACGTCACAGAGCAAAGCGATGTTCTGGTGTCAGGCAAATGGCGGGAAAACGACAGTCAGATGAGATCCTTCAGGACTTTCATGTTAATACCTTGGAAAGAAATGGAAAAAATAACGACAGAAATGCAACAATTTGCAGCGTGAGAGACTAACTCGGGTAACTATTAGCGTGTTTTCATTCAATAATTTAGTACCAAAATTTGGGAACTGGCGCGAAATATCTTGCGACGGAAATATTTATCTTTTAATATCATACTGCATTTGTACTTTAACTGTGTGGTATTATAACATTATGGAAATAAAAAAATTTAATTTTGACTTGATTTTAAAGGTTGAAAGAAATGCTATACCAGGATACATCATAATGAAATAAAATATAGGAATAAACATTCCTAAAAACATTACGAAAACTCGTAAATCGAGCTTTCATAAAAAACAAGACAACGATTTTTCAAACAGCAAAATTGTTGTCTAGCTCTGTGTTTCATGCTAGAGAGAGAAAAAATATCAGCTAGTATCAGCAAACCTTCTCGTTTTCAAACTTGGCAGAATGAACACCAACCGCAACTAGCCTGTCTTCCACGCTGTGTTTCGCCTCAAGAGCGTGTAGATCTGGCAGGATATGCATACAGTTTATACAACAGTACGTGAAGAAGTCTAAAACACAAATCTTGCCGCGTAGATTCCCATTTATAGACAACGAACTGTCATCTTTCAAATTCATCCACTCGCATCCTTCAGGAAAGTCGGGCACTTTTTTGATTTTCCCGCCTGAATCCTCGCCAAATGTTTTGAGATATTGTTGAATTAAAGCATCCCTTTCTTTTTTATCCACAGAGCTTTCTAGTTTTAACAAAAACAGTTGATCTTTGCTGCTCATTTTGATAAATTTTTCATGTCCGATCTTTGCCACTCATTTGTCCATTCACGCGTAAATATTGAAAACACGCGAGATATTTAAATCCCCTTGTCGCTGAGGATGTCTCCCCCCGGGAATTTCGTCCTCTTTAGTATATGTTGTTAATGAGCCTTTTGAGCGACGGGGGGAGCAAACGCCACGAATGTGCGGTGAAATAAATTAGTTATTGAATATGGCTTCTCTCGTCGAAAAACAAGAAAAAAGACGAAGTTGTTCAAGAAGATAGCGACGAAGATTCTTCAAGAGAGGCCGAAAGTGAGACTTCTGAGTCAGATCTAGTAAGGAACACAATAAAACATGCACAAACTGTAGTAAGAAAGGAGATATTTTTGGTTTATTTTATTCATGTTTTGCACGTGGTCGTTCACTAGTACTGTACGCACACTTGCTACTGTAAACTACAACTTTTAAGAAATTCAAGTAGAATTTGAAGCAAGAACTCCTGAAGCCTCGGATTTTCCAGGAATAAAAAGATTAATGCAGCACGTTGGTTATCAGAACTGCAAAATGACTGAAAGCATCCAATATTGAGTATTGACAACATTGTATAGAATATTAGGAATAAAAATGACCAGCAAGTGTTTTTAAGGAAACAGGAGCTGATCTTGACCAATTTACTGCTGTAATATCTTTTTAGCTTCTGCCAAAAACCAGCATAAATCTCTCTGAAATTACAGATCTTATTTTGAATGAGTCGAAAGTTGGCAGTGTTTTGAAGGTATGGTATTTGATTCATCCAAGAATCCTGCAAACAAGATAGCAATTATTGCATCGGTCATTGTCATGTTACAATCTGAAAAATTTCTTAACCTTTTAGTGCATCGCAGACGACAATGACGATGATGACAACAACAAGGAGGATACTTATGGAATTACTACAGTCTTGAACATTAACCATCATAAGGTAACTTTACCAATTGAAATGATGCAACAGCTACTGATGCTTTCAAAAGCAAGGCTAGGGTAGCTTTTTAATGAAGTTTGAATCTATTTCTCTTGTTCAGGAGGTAGCTGCAGTCAGAGACTTCCTTAATCTTGTTACAACAAGTTCTCAAGATGACAAATTTTTAAAAATCCTTCAAGATCCACAGCACACTATGGGTTGGTTAATAAATGAGCGATTTATCAATATTCCAGCTCATATTGCTCCACCACTCTATGCAAGCCTTTGGTAAGTACAAACTGACATTGTGATCAATTATATGCTACAAACAGGAAACATGCATAGATCTATTAGAATTTGTAATGATAAATTAGTTCAAGAAAGTTTCAACTTTATTTCAGGTCAGAGATTGAGAAGGCAAGAAAAAAGGTATTAACCAACTTTTTCTTGGTTGGAAGGCTTATTAGTCCTAATTTTGGAGAGGGGCTCAAAATTAAGTTACATGCTTTGAAACATTAGGCTTTTTGCCTGGGGGAGGCAACTAAATTAAGAAAAATCTTCATATTTGGTTGATGGATGGTTAGAAGCCTCTTATTTGTGGGAGATTAGTATTTAAGAAAGGCTTTTTGAGGGGCTTCGGTATAACAACTGCTGCATGAAAATAGACAAGACCCAAGGGCCCACACCAGGTAGTATATGACAGTTATGTGTCATCATACTAAATTCCACGACAGTTAAAAGGTCAAGAAGTGTATTTGTCTATTTTAGGCTGTTGTTATACAGCATTTGATGCAATCTTTTTTGAAGACTATCTCTTGTGAGGGGCTGTTGTCTTAATGAGGCTCTTATTTCAGTGAGGCTTATTTGAAGAACGTAGGTCTTATTTCAGAAAGCTGTGCAACAAAGACACCCTCTTTTTCTAGGAAGGCAACTATTTTAGAAAGGTTGCATGCCATTCATAGGGGGCTGATATATATTGCAAACCTCATTCATGTGCTTTACTATGTTTTCTTACATTTCAGGGGAAGCCTTTTAAATTTGACTATCTTCTCTACATATGTAAATCCTACAAATTTGATGTATCAAGCAACAAGAAAAAAAAGAAAAATCAAGTGAAGGAAGGGCAAGACCTGATGTTTATAAATTCTGAGGATGAACTATTATGTCAGGTTAGTGGAAGTCCAGTTGTAGTTTGAAGTAACAATATTCTGAAATTTACAAACAGTATACAACAGTATACAAGTATACAATAAGTGTTCAATACACATTATGTATTGCATACTGCAAGGTGTCTCGAAAAAATGCAATCGATATTAACAGACCTTTACGAAGGATATGTTGAATTTATTTATTCAATTTATTGCCCAATAGAATACTACAGGTATATAATACCTGTAAGCCATGTATGCAAAATAGTACAATAGTCGTTATTGACAGTTCTGATAAGTCTACCTCAAATTACATATAATTACAAAATTGTTGTTGTGTATGGTGAATCACAACAAGTACGATCGTACTATAGTGGATCAGGAACTGCGTAACCGAGTTTAATTTCTGAACTGCATTGTATTTATAACAATGGAGAGGAAAATGTATTTCTAATCGTTTCCGTTTACTTATATATAGGCTGAATATTAATGATATGTACATATTATTTGCTGCAAATATATCAAGAATTGCTTGTAACTTGCTTCAAAGGTCAAAAATAAAAATTCGAACTTCGTCAATCGATGCGGAATATTGCTTAGAATAATTGTGCCAAGTTTCATTCCGATCAAACAAGTAATGCTAAATCCTTAGGGTTTTTTTAAAGAGCGTCACCCCTAACAACAACAACAACAACAAGATTAGCAGCGGCTAGGGACCTGTTCCTGGTCCAAAAATGTGATGTTCTAGCTATATTCAATGCAAATTTGCAACGAACTTATAATTGACTGCCAGTAGTTGATTACAGTTTTGAATATGGAATCAGTTTTTTCACTTTACTCTGCACGTTTACATACTATATAAATAAAATATCCTTTTTGTGCTAAAATTGGGATTTTTACGACTCTCGACCTTTTAATCTCGACTCTCCACAATCACCTGAACTGTTACCGGAATTGCGTCAATTCGACGCATGAGTGCACTTGGACTTCACTGCAATTTTATGGAGCGAGTGAATTAGTTACTGATATGTGAGCGAGTTGATAGATGTGAACGAGTAAATTAGTTACTGATATTCAAATAAGAGCTTTTGTAGTTACATCAGAGCATTCGTAACTAGTGACTCGTTCACATCTATACCAAAAGAAGGAAATCGCACATTTCAAGTGTAATCGGGCCTTTACAGGAAGTAAAAAGCGATGAATTGAATTGCTGATAATGTTAAAATTTTGTATTCGTATAACCTTTAAATTATCGCATTAAGGTAGCTAGTTCATTCAGGAACAGTAAATATAATTCAAAGGTTTGATATAAAATGATTCATCGAGCGCTTTTTTGCCGAATACGACTAATAGAATAAATTATTTATACATGAGTGCTCCCGATTCAAAATAAACCGAGTTTGCTTTCGCAACGGCATTGCGCTGTACTCCTGTAAGGGTATAAAGGGTCGAGAACTATATCGTGGTGGATATCCGTAATTATACACTCGCAATATTATTCGTTACAATTACATTACAATTTCAAGTTTAGAAATTAGTCTTCAAATGACGCCAAATGGAAAACTCCTTTTAAAGGTGATTAACTGCTTCCTCTATGTCACACTCACCGCTGCGAGTGACAACTATACTTACTTTTTCGGCTTCTTCCCTAGCACTAAGAAACATTTGTCGGACATCTTGGTCGGACTTTAAATCGACCAGTGTGCATGTAGCATCGTTACCAATAAGTTCACGTTGCAGCTTCTGAAAATCAGCTTTAATCCCGATATTGCTATGTTTTTCTATTGCAGTTTTTAAGCTTTTCAAAGTATTCTCGGTCATAGTACAACGGTAGTAAGTTTCATCACCCTGTTTCTTCACCAAAAATTTCTTTTCGGTAAGGCTTCCGACTGCAATGAATTTCAAAGCCATATCTGCAGTTGGCCGTTCGTCTGGATTTGGCTTCATTAAGTCATCGATCAAGTGTAATAATATGTCGTCTTGATGCGACAAAAATTCAGGACCACGATTCCCGTTTCTAAGTTCCTTGATCTCATCTGGCCATTGGCTTTTCGTTGGAAGATAACGGCTGAGGAAATATAGAACGATTCCTGCGCTGTAGAGATCAATTTTATAATCGTAAGATCCAGTATCAAGTTCAGGCGCGCTGAAGAATGTATTTCCAACTTGGGGAGATAGCGGTGGCAGTAATGAAGCAACAGTGAGTTGAAGAGAGCCTTCGATTATAGAACTGATTTCCCTGGCATGACCAAAATCAGCGATCTTTACGACAATTTCGGTGATTTGTTGTGGCTGTGGATTTGCTACAAGAATATTACCGGGGTGAATATCGCGGTGAACCCAGCCGATTTGGTGTATAGCCTTTAAACCATTCAAAATTTGAGGGAAAACGTGCGCCCAAAGTGGTTTTGGACTTGCGACTTTAATAACTTGAGAACCAACTATATCGTAGATATAATCATCTAAGTTTGCCAGACAGAGTTCCATTTGAATAAACAGAAATGGTGTGTTTTCGATATGGTTTTGCCAAGAACCGTAATATCTGACAATATTCTTCCTCCAAAGTTCGTCTTTGTATTGTGTCAGTATCTCCAATTCTCGTTTCTGGTATTTTGTGTTTCTCCTGTTGTAATCTGTCGTCTGAACAACCTTTATCGCATATGGGCGATCGTCATGGATGCATCTAACTTTAAATATTACACCATAAGCACCTCTTCCAAGCAGCGCTTCTGTATAATAATCCCGCCTAAGTAAGCTAGGTTGTACTTTTTCTAAAAGACTGTCTTGTTCTTCGTTCATGCTACGATTTTCTTGTCACAAAGAAGATTTACTCCAGTACCAAACGATGCAGTATATAGAACCTTTAGGCCCATTTACACTATGCGATTTGTCGTATACGATTCGTACCCTGGCGTATGTGAACGTATGAACACACGCACAAACGTGACACTTTAAATTTCAACCTGAACAAAATTGAATGAAGATTGTGCATAGACCCTCTTTTACATTCGTCAGAATAATAATTGCATACAACTTATCGTGTAGTCTAAATAGCCCTTTTCATAAAAAATTGTATTTTAAGTCAGGAAGTTGAAAAATGATAATATATACTTTTGAGCCAATCAGTGATGTACGATGTGATCATGTACATCGGTGATTGGCTCAAAGGTATATATATTGTTACAAGAAAATTGTAGAAATTACAGCATTTGCATGTCATTTAAAGAAATGAGAAGAAGATTAAAATGATCGGTATTTCAATACCGCTGAAAGAACTACAATAGCGCTAATTTTAGTAGTGCGAAAGTTCAACAACAACGCCTTATTATATATTCCGTAAAGTGAAAATCAATAGAACGAAACGCAGAACAATTGCGTTAACTTTTTGATCATTAACATTTTCGGAACAACAATAACAATAAATCAAACGCAATAAATCAAACGACATTTTGCGTAAAGAAATACTCATTTACACAAAGTTCTCTCATCTGCGTTCTAATATGTATACATAAATTACAAAGAAAAGATAGCTATAAAGGCACAGATGAGAATTGAGAATACGTTGTTCACTTCAAAACGCCTAACCATTGCGAAATGTACACAGCATGGGGCAGACTTATGAATGCAGACCTACTTGAAAGAGAACACATCCAGGGATAAAACATACTGCACATATATTGCTGTTGTGTGAACAGACAAATATGATAGAATGGGAATTCTAATATTTACTTTGTACACCTTTACATTATGAGTATTTCTTTATGCTAAATGTCGTTTGATTTATTGCTATTATTGTCCCGAAAATGTTAATGATGAATAAGTTAACGCAATTGTTCTGCGTTTCGTTCTATTGATTTTCACTTTACGGAATATATAATAAGGCGTTGTTGTTGAACTTTCGCACCAATAAAATTGATGTTAAATCAGCGCTATTGTAGTTCTTTTAGCCCTATTGAAATACCAATCATTTTAATGTTCTTCTCTTTTCTTGAAATGACATGCAAATGCTGTAGTACCCTCGCCCAGTGCCCTTGCCGGCGCTTCGCGCGGTCTGGGGACGATAAAACTGTTTTAAAATACTAAGTAAGTGTCTGTTGTTTTATATTTAATTTTTTTGCTCTGCCTGCTATGGATAACGTTTCAGCGCTTAAAATATTTTGTATAAACTTCCCCTCCCCACAATCGTTTTTATGCTTTCATTCAAATACTGTATTCAATTCACGTGCCAACTGCCAAGTTTTATTAATATATTATAGTAAGGAAACTGTGATTAATATATCTATAACAAAAATTAAGAAATGCCAAAAAAAGTCAAAATCTCATGCAATTTGTTCAATATTCTAAGAATGAAGTGCAATAAACGGCACATAGCGTTGAGAACATGTCAAAATTAAAAAAATGTTTCAGTTTGTTTTTATTTGGGTTCATTGACTGTGACCACAATGCTAACTTTTTCCCCATCTCTTTCGGCAGAAGCGAATATATCCCGTGCGTCTTTGTCGGACGTTATTCCAACGTTTACGTTCCTGTTACGATTGGTGGTCTCGTGTTCGAGTGTCTGAGCGTCAGCCTGAATGGCAATATGGCTGTGTTCTTGTATTGCAGTTTTCAAACTTTCCAGGCTAGCATCGGGTGTTGTGCATCGGTAGTATGTTTCATGGCCTTTTTTTCTTACTAAAAACTCCTTTTCGGTAAGGTTCTTGCTCTCGCCTTGAATGTACTTCAAAGCCATATCTGCAGTTGGTCGTTTGTCTGGTTTTTCCTTCATTAAGCGGTCGATCAAGTTGGCTAATACTTCGTCTTTATGCGACAAATGTTGAGGACCACGATTCCCATTTCTAAGTTCCTTGATCTCATCTGGCCATTGGCTTTTCGTTGGAAGATAGCGGCTGAGAAAATACAGAACGATTCCTGCGCTGAAGAGATCCACTTTGTAATCGTAATTTTTAGTTGCTAGTTCAGGGGCCCTGAACAGTTTATGTCCAACATTAGGCGTAAGCTCTGGCATTTCTGGATCAACAGTGAGTACGAGAGATGCTTTAAATATAGACCCAATTTCTCTGGAAAGACCAAAATCAGCGATCTTGACGACAATTTCGGTGATTTGTTGTGGCTGTGGATTTGCTACAAGAATATTACCGGGGTGAATATCGCGATGAACCCAGCCGATTTGGTGTATAGCATTTAAACCATTCAAAATTTGAGGGAAAACGTGCGCCCAAAGTTGTTTCGGAGTTGAGACTTTAATAACATCAGAACCAACTATATCGTAGATATAATGTTCTAAGTTTGCCAGACAGAGTTCCATTTGAATACACAGAAATGGTGTGTTTTCGATATGGCTTTGCCAAGAACCGTAATATCTGACAATATTTTCAGTCCAAAGTTCGTTTTTTGGTCTTTTCAGTATCTCTAATTCTCGTTTCGGGTATTTTGCATTTCGATCATTTTCGTCATTTGGAAAGGGAAGAATCTTTATGGCGCATTCCTGTCCGTTAGCGTTGTTCTCGGCCTTAAATACAAAACCATAGCCGCCTTCACCAATTTGTTCTCTTAAACTATAACCATGCATGTTGAAAATGCTAGAAATTTGCTGTTTTTGTTCATCGGCCATGTCGCTAAGAACTTGTAGCCGAGAAGAATTTATTGCTAATAATAAATATGAAGAATGTAAAAGGTTTTTCCAAAAAAATTATAAATTTAAATTACTCATCACAATGTTATTGTTAATGACAAAGTCAGCATGAAAAAACTTTGCATAAGCTGTGCCAATTGTGAATTTTTGTCGGTTAACTAACGACAACAAAAGATATTTCTTTCTGTGTATGGGTTTGCCAATGTATAAACTCCTGTTTTTTGTCGCTTTTGCCTTTTTCGTAGGCTGTTGGTAAGCTACCTAGGATCGAGATTATCTATTGCTGTCTTCAAAACCACTCATCCATTTTACTGTAGGCGGATCTAGGAATTTGAAACGTTGTCAATTATTTTTCTCTTTCGGTTTCGCTTTAATGCAAGGTAATCATTTATTTTACCGTCAGCGACCCCATACCATCTATTATACCAAACGCTGTCGAGTAAGGGGCAAAAGTTTGAGTCCAGTCGTTGTAGAATTCCAGTATTAAATCCTGGCAGCGTATTCGAGTTAAGACATGCGTACTAGTGTTTCAGTACTGCAAACCATATTAATTGCACACTGTTTTGGTCCTAATGATCTAAATTACAACAAAATAAAGTTCTTATTCCTTTATACTGCTCAAGATGGGTGGGAAAAGAGCAAAGTGATGGTGCACAAGGACAAATAGTTGCATTAAGTATTGAAAGATTCTTTTCTCATAAGATCGCAGAAAAAGTGAGAATTTCTAAAGGTGGTATGCAACTAAACTTGGAGAGGTTCGAAGAAACTAAATCCCACTCAAGCAAACTTTTAGCTGCTTCGGTCATGCTGGCTTTGGCAATTTTGAAAGATATAATAGTATCCTAATTAAAGAAAATATCATCCAATTCTTCAAGGACATGGAATTTCATCTGGTACAAAGATGATCGCATGTCTAACTACATGATAATCACCCTAAGCACATGCACATTTTCTTCTATGTGCTAGAAATCTTTTAGAAGCAAACTCGTTCTGGTGATCTCGTTCTCATAGCTTTCCTCCTCAAATTCCAGATCTAAAACTTATGGAACACTTGCAGGACCGTTTTATTGACATGCATTGACATGTAATGCATGTTTGCACATTGACATACGTTAAATGAGTATCATAACATCTCGTAGTTGTTGTGCAGCATGTATTTTTCAGTTTACTTATTTACTTTTTTCTAGTTCACTTATCTGTAAGGTTTTCTGTAGAAAATTAATATCTGCAGCTAAAACAATGAAATACAGTCACTGGACTCCTGGCCTCCTACTGTATATATATTGATATATATGATATACTTCCTTTTTTGTATATTTGTATCAATCCCAATATATATTGCTGAGTTCTTTAATTGCAACTTGCAAACTTTTCAAGTTATCATCAGGTTTGATGCATCGGTAATAAATTTCATCAGCGTGTATCTTTACAAAAAAATTCCTTGGCCTTTGGGTTGTGCATGCTTTATTTATTTAAGGCAGTGAGTAAATGAAATAACTTATTTTCTTGATGGGACAAATCTTCAAGATCACGATTTCCCTAATTGTCGTAAATGAAATCCAACAAGTTTTTGAGACAGAGTTCTGTTTGATGAAACGGAAATAGTTCGTTATAATATCTGATAATTTTTGCTCCCAAAGGTCTTCCTTACACTTTTCTATTTCTCGATCGTCTCTGGTATTTTGCGTTTCTATCGCTGCCGTCGTTCGCACTGCGAAGAATCTTTATGGCGTATTTCTGTTTGTCAACAATGTTCTTGACTTGCAAAACTAGCAAGCAGAACTGCCAGACACCTATATTTTTATGTTGGTAGCCATTACGCATTTGTTAACCTATATTACATGACTCAATCATGCACTAAAAAGTAAAATTGATCCTGCCATTGGAGGGAGGAATATATATTAAGTAAATTGCCTCTCTTCTCATTTTAAACTATAATAGAAGTAATACATCAGCTTTATTTTGTTTTTTCTCAACAGAAAGCATCAGCGAAGTTTGACAAAGACGTCACGGAGCAAAGCGATGTTCTGGTGTCTGGCAAATGGCGGGAAAACGACAGTCAGATGAGATCCTTCAGAACTTTCATGTTAATACCTTGGAAAGAAATGAAAAATAGCGACAGAAATGGAACAATGCAGCGTGAGAGGACTTGGGTAACTATTAGCGTGTTTTCATTCTATAATTTAGTACCAAAATTTGTGAGCTGGCGCGAAATATCTTGTGACGGAAATATGCGATTTTGTTACAAAAGGTACCGTCGAACTTGTGACGCCTAGCAACGATACCCGGTCAACTTCGTTCAATTTGCAAGGGTTAATCTTCGATATGAGAAGAGTACAGTCCAAAAAACAACGTCTGTAAACTAAAAATATAAACTTTCGTCGATAGAGCTAGAAAACAATTTTGTTGTTTGAAAAATCGTTGTCTTGTTTTTTATGAAAGCTCGATTTACGAGTTTTTATAATGTTTTTAGGAATGTTTATTCCTATATTTTATTTCATTATGATGTATCCTGGTAGAGCATTTTTCAACCTTTAAAATCAAGTCAAAATTAAAATTCCAAAGCTTTTTTATTTCCATAATGTTATAATACCACACAATTAAAGTACAAACGCAGTATGATATTACAAGATAAATATCTATATGCATATATATTAAAATATAACGTTATTTAAAAAACTCTCTCTGTATTTTAAAATCATAAATAGCTTATTTCTGGCACTGCGTAAGGCTGCTTCTCTTGCTGAGGTGGCTGAATGGACAATAAATATGAAATAACCTCCTGAAAATATCGAGAAAGTATATTTAATATTAATTTTAAACCAAATTGGCACCGCAGATTTTCTGCAGCTCATCAAAAGATGGCTCAGAGGGGGAGGGGAGGGGGTATTTATCGCAGAAGCCAAAAATAAGGTTTTTGTGACTGTAAACAAACTTACGTGGCGGCCAAAAGACTGAGCAAAATCCAAAGCTGTGTTTCCATGCTAGAGAGAGGAAAAATGTCAGCAAGTGGACCTGGATTGTGAATCACATTCCTTTATATATAGGTCAGCGACTATATCTAGATCAATCCAGGTTTATAGCCCAGTTGTATTGACTACGTACCATATTCTGTTCTTCCGTATTAGCGCCATATTCCACCAGAAGAGAAACAAGGTCTAAACGGCCTGATAACGCGGCAGCCTGTATTAAAAAGATTGAATGAAGCTTTGAATTACTATCCTTGGTTCCAAGCCTTTTTGAGGTTATAGAAAAAAAGAAAATGTCGCGTTCAGTTATAGACATAGCGGTCAGTGGATACGAAATTTTTATCCACTGATCCCTATATCCAACAAACTGAACGCGAAGAGTGAGCTCGAGAAGCTGAAGAGAGCAACATCGCGGGCTCTCTCCTTTTAGCCACTGATCTCTATATTGATAGCTGGATGTATTTATTTACCATTAACACGCTACGTCCTTGCTTATCATGAGTGTTAACGTTCGCCCCCCCGTCTAACAAAACCTTCGCGACGTCGGCTTTGCCATCTAACGTGGCTAAACAAGAAATTGAAAATACCATTAGTTTATCATCATTTTGACAAAAAACTGACCTTTATTCTAAGGATGGGACAAATATTTTGCAAATCAATGGCTTGACATACCCAAGCGCATCAACGGTGTCCATTCAGCGACGTCCAATTCATCAACCTGTGGGCGAATGAGTTTCATTTTTATTTCAATTTAACTGCAAAGATTTGCAGATATCTTGAATAAAATTTTTGCAGAAATAAAAGGGAGTTGAGTGTATTTTTAATTCCATCCAACCTTCGCTCCGCAGTCCAATAACCACTCCACAACACTCGCTCTTCCGCCGTCAACCGCCCAGTGAAGGGCATTAGAACCTAAAGATTTTCAACATTTAGCTATGTTAGTATTAGAAGATACAAATCAAATATTAACGCAACAAGATTTCAGTATAGTTAACTCTGACTGCGAAATTATACTAAAAGAGGTGTTCTAAATTTCATGGGGTATGCCACGCCCATAATGTACGCCAATATCCTTTACGTACCCCCTTGATCCTTTACTTCGATTGAAGCGCCATGTTCTTTCAACGTCATAGCCACGTTAACGTGTCCCGTGAAACACGCCATCATCATGCTAGACACGAGGCAAAGTAATTGACAGCAATCAGTTTAACTTAATCTATAAACTCTTGTATATTTTTCCACATATTGTTCAGCAAAATCCGAGCATTCAGAGACAATCAGACGAAGTTAAATATTTGATTATTATTTCCATATACCTGTCCTTGCCACTTGAATTGGAGAACGTCACGTCCGCGCCAAGTGTTAGTAAAACATCCACAATACTAAACACACAGAGTCAAATTAGACTAAAATATATTGATTTTTCTATACCTTGGATTCACAACTCAAAATAAAATAATAATCAATCATTCTTGGTCATACAAGAAAACGTTGTACAGGGACACACTAGGTAGCGTTTTTAAAGACTGTTCAGTGTTTTATTCGTCAATTTACGGGACAGAATAATGGTGGAGATGACAGCTAAGTTTTTGTCACATCAAGTAATTGTATGGTCAGAACAAACATGGACCAGCTAGTTCAGTGTGATACATGCTTAGTTCAAGCAAACAACCAGCCAGAGTGTTAATGGTGGACCAGCCACTTGGCATGGTTATGGCGAATCAAGTGATATAAATGGCCAGGAAATGATGGACCAACTATACTGTTTGGGCAGATCAAGCAATTGACTTTTGCTGTAACTGTTTGACTGTAACAGTTGACAGTATGTTAACAAGAAAAGTCTGATCTGCTTGGGAACCAAACTTCAAGGATTCCACTTCAAGTATGGACATATACTGGTTTTTCTAAATTATGTGATCATATTCTCAGCACCTTGTGTAACCCTTCTGTGCGGCGACCATGAGTGGAGAGCATCCCATCTTGTCAGGAACATCAACCAATGACTCACTATGGGATTATTAAGCAAGATGTCACTTAGGAAAGCTTGGAATGTGAAGGTAAATACTTATGATATCTTTACTTACTAGTTGTTTAGAATTTTTTTCACTTTATCAACATCCCAGTTTAAAACTGCTCGGTGAAGCTCTGCCCCAGAGCACGGGAAATCTAAATTAGTGTCGTGTATAGTGAGTTAGGCATTTAAGTAGATCCTGGGGAGAAGGCTTCACCCTAGGATCTAGTTACATGAAGATCAATGGCTGTTAGCAATGAGGTATTTCATACTCATTGTCGTGACTTCTATCGCAGAACTCCAGGGACTAGACATGGTTGAAAGGTTGATTTGAACTCTGTAGCAATGTCGAGTGTTCTCTTTTAGACCATCTAGTATGCATGTCTTTGCATAACCACTGAAAAAATGATTTCATAAATCAGGCTTTGAGTCAGGCTTCAAGTAGCCCTGAGTTTGCAGCAGTGAACCCAAGTAAGACTTATTTGAGTTCACTGGTTTGCAGTCATTTTGTGAGAGGAAATTCTAACATCTAACCTATACACATTGCGATATTGTCCTGAAATGCCTGCCTCCTGAACGCAATATTTTGTCCTTTCGCATTCATCGGGCTTCTTCTCTTGATCCCAAAATAGTTCAATGCTGCAGTGAGTGACCCTGCCAATCCTTGGAGGGTCTGGTTTATCTGAAATTAATATGTGAGCCCGGTGCGTTAAATGACAGGGACAGCGTGACCACTTGATTTACAAGAGAGGAGGAGATCTGCTCACAAATATTGCAAATTCTTTTTAGCTAACAAGAAGGGCTAATATTTGACAAATAGCCAGATGTCATAGAGCTGTTTTCTATAGATAAGTTCGTATAAGAAAATTAACAATCTTGCAATATGGAGGCCTTGTTTGTTTGGAAAAAAGTAACTTTTTTGGGCATGTTTATGCATTTGAAACAAGCTGTGCGATTTCTGGGCACAACGTAAAGAACAACGTACCCATAGCGATAATAATTCAGCTGTGATCACTGGTTACATAACTGTAATTTGATCTGAAAAGTTCATACAACAAATATATATGTAAGAAGCGATCTCGTAGCGAAAGCAGGAAGACTAAAGAGGGAAGGCCATAAAAAGGAAATCGTGTCTGTTATTTTGACACGAAGCAATATAAATGGTTCTATTTAAAACTGAGAATTATTGAATGCAAATACACGATTCACAAAGCATAGAAATTGATAATCCCTAATGTAAACACAATCTGTAAACCATCAACAAAGCGCTTGAAAACAGCCTTAATTCCACTGTTTGTTTGCTAGAAAAATAATGATTTATAAGCATACCATTTCCCTTCTGCTTTCTGCGAAATTGCTGCACAATTTCAACTTAAATTTCTTAGAAATCCCACCACAATTTCCGATAATAAATCATATAGATACGGTTGCCGTGAAATTTATTTCTCGAAGTTACACAAAGTATTCCATTCGAAAGTCGCAGGCTTGCTGACCCAACTTGTTCGCGGATGCGTGTAGAAACTTGGAAATTATATTTGGGAAATTCGCGCAATGCTGATAGCCTGATGACATTTTTCACACTATTTCCAGACATCAGTACCGTAGAGAGCCCAGGCTCAGCAAGCAATCGATTGATTCGTACAACTGAATCATATTAAATTCTGGGCTTTCTCGACAAAGGAGCGCGACCTAAAATCTTGCCCTTCGTCTTTTCTGTGCACATTCTGAAAATCTTTCATTACTAATTTTTCTGTCAATAACGGTGGATCGAAGTAATGAACAACAATTATTTTAGGCAACTTAAGGAGGAATCGTAAACAGAGCAAGAGGGACTAGCATCATGCAGTTATAGTGAAAAATCATTTTAAAGCTTTTCTCCAAAATCTACACACTCATACAGTACCTCAGAACTTTTGTTGAAAATATTTTGAAGATTGTTGCTTCATTGCCTTGGTAACACTGGATGAACAGCTGTAACTGATAAATTCATGATTTATTTATTAGCAATTAAGATAAATAGCGATTTTGGTTACGATGCCAACAGCAAATTTGAGATTATAGTCTGTTTCTTGGACATTTTGTGGCCTCTCTCTGCAGTAACAGCCTATAGCCTCGATCATCGATACTCTATTTTTATATTTAACCTGCGAAGTTATACATAAACTTGTGACTGAGGCCCGTATTTCAGTGCGTGTTTAAAAAGGGGAGGGCGTTGTTGTTTTCTGCGAATTTCGAGCCCCTGCTGACAACAAGACGCTATACTGAAGGTGGCCGTTAGAGGAGTTCCATACAAGAAACTCGGTGATTCGATACGGTAAGCTATACTAAAGTGTGTATTATTTATCGGCGAGTAATCACAATGTAGAAAGAATAAATTATATTACAGTATTCACAATGAAGAATGAAAATAAATGCTTCTACAATTTGCACAAACTTTTAACTTCCGACCAACTTCAAATCAGCAAATGCTAACAAACAGTGAACACATATGATGATCTATCGAACATTAAAACGAGGTCATGAAAACTAAACTTTTGTATATAAGATGCCAGGATTGGGAGTGTTAGTAGTTTTTGTGTCGAAAGGTGACAGGCCTCTATGCGCTTTTATTTCATTTATACGCCTACGCATTTCAACAGGAAGATCAACTTTCCTCTTGAAGAACAGTTGGTGAGCAGCCGTCTGATTTTCTCGATACTCGGACAGAAGATCTTTATTCGACTCCATTTGATTGCCACGAGGTACGAATTTTACTGATATAAATGTCTAAATTTTTACAAAACAAACTCATTTTTTACACACAGCAGAAACCATAATTTTGAATCGACCAGTTTAAAACAAGTTTGCATTAAACTAAATTGTCTGGCTAACTACGCTGCAATTCAGTGCAAGCAGACGAAGACTGTACTATATATACTAGAGGAATAATAGAGCCAAAACATGTTTTAAATAATTTACCTCATTAATATCACTTTGTTAAATTAAATTGCTTATACCATGGTTGCAGATTTTGAATATATCAAAAGTTTACGGTATTTTAAAAAACTTTGCAATACATTTTTGGTTATTGAAAAAGTTTGTCTTGATGGTAGCCTTTAAAGTTACTGGACATGATGACGTCAAATCGGGAATTTCGTGCAACTAAAACTGATTTGCAATTCCCAATTTGACGTCATGTCCGGTAACTTTAAGTCTAATAAATCCATCAAGGCAAAATTTTTCAGAGATGGAATGTTTATGGGATACAATTATATAAAACTATTTATATAATAACGTTAAGAATTGGTCGAGAGCCATGATCTATAAGAGAACAGACGCACGTTATGACGTCACAGAAAATTTTAACGAATTTAATCAGTCATTGCTTGCTTATTTTCGCAGCCAATCACATTTTGGCACGTGTCTTAATTAAGCTAGCCAATAGCATTTCTTCAATCCTATAAATCATGTATGCGTGAAAAATTTCTACTTTGACAATTCCACATTGGGGAAACTTAATGATAATAATAATAATTTTGGAATTTTTTCAATTTAATTATATATGGCGGCTCGTGACCACTTTGTTTTGTTTTTATCACAAATGACTTCATACTGCGTATCTGTAAACTGATGAGACAACGGTTCAATGTTATCTATTTGTTAAATAGAATATAGTTTCGACGTTGATGGCTACAGCAATAACAAAGAAAAGTGGCTTCAGTCAGGAACATCGCGGGGATTTTGATGCTAGTGACGATTTTAATGAACCCGTAGAATATAGACTAAAGTATATTTTTAAAGGACTTTGGTTTTCTAAGATGCTTGTTGATTATGAGCGGAACGGTGAAAAGAAACATCATGAGGTTGAAGGCAGTGAAAGCTCGATTTTTATTCCTAACAATGCTACCAATATCAAAGTTAGATTTCAGGTCGTGCGCTGGCCTGGTATTTGGTGTGATGTAAAAAAGTACGACCGTTTCAAAAAATGTTGGGTCAAACCAACAGAGCCTCATATATTTAGCTACAACAAACCAGTAAATCGTGTGTACACTCTGGCTGGGAACTTGTGTTATGAAGCTGTAATGAAGATCACCGGAGAGTATTTTGATGATGTGAATGAAATATGAAAGAACGCACCGTAATTTCTGCAGAGATAAATCAGTTAATTAATTTTATAATTAGATGAAAAATAAAGGAAAATATTAGAGCAACGATTAGCAAATTTCAGACCAATAAATTAACCTTGAATAATATAATTAGTTTACCTAGTAGTTAGGATTAGTTTATCTATCTATAAAAATATATTTTACGGAGATTGAATATTTCTTTTTCATTATCAAAAGCGCAAAGGGTTTAGGGAAAGTCAAGTGTCATATTGATATTGCAAACGACTTAATTTGACAATTAGATTTTGATCCGCATGAGATTTTTATACACAAAAGAAAACATTATAAAATGCAAAGTTTTGACTATTTATAGGAGAAAATCGCAATAAGAGAGCCGTCGGTTAGCTAAAACGCAATATACAAGGTAATAGATAACGAATAGCGTAGGCAATCAGCATGATGCAGTAGCACAACGGCGTGACACGTCTGGGCTGTTATGCTTTACTTCAGTACAATCATGTATTTTGTTTTAATATCTAGATCAACTTTGCTCAGGAAGGAACACGTATATAGAAATAAACGAGCAGACTTCTGATATCTGGGAAACATATATAAAACTTTTCATTTGATTCAATTATTCATCATGGCTGAGGTATGTATTGATCAAAACAAAAATGTCACGAGCATCTATACATTTTACACGATGAGTTGCAAGCATAACTCCAGTAACAAGAAGAATAAAAGAATAAACAGTATATAGCGTAATCGATTTCTATAAAGAAATGAATAGTTTTAACAACTTTGTGTATAGGAATATTATGTAACTTGAGAATCATTCCTAGGGAAATAATTCTAAGATGATTTTGGTCGCCAACCAGTCAGCTCTTCCAGTAACCCTGTTCCTGCACAAAAGTTGGAATAAAAGGCAGTTTTTATCGATCTCTAAAACTGTGAAACCAGGTGGAACCTATTTTCATTCAAAAGAAGAAGCTTTTCGATTCGAACTCGGAGCTCGTTCTGACGGCAAAAAAATGGAGACAATTTTCCCTTTAAAAACATGCGAAGAAGATATGGTGCTTCAAATCTATGGCGACGTTAGTTTGGGTGTGAATGAAAGAAAATTGGAGCTCAAAGATAAACAAATTTGTTTACGGCGACAAAACATGGAAGAAGAAGTTTCAGCGTCAGGAAACAAGAACCTGTACGAAATCCTCGGCCTGAATATGAAAGATGTCCGCAAGAAGCCCATCGAAGAACAGAACGAGATGATAAAGAAGGCTTATCATTCTCAACTTCTGCGTTGGCATCCTGACAAGAATCCTGAGAATGGCGATAAAATAATTTGTCAAGATATCATTCTCGCGTTCGAGATTCTCAAAGATCCCGAAGCCCGAGCCACGTATAATAACGTCGCAGATTATGACAAAGGTTGGTGCTCGAAAGCGCGTGGAAAGGCTATATTGAATCCCGACTGTTACAGCCCAGAACAGATAAAACAATATCAAAAGAGAATGGGATTATTGTTTCTCTCAAGTCTACTGGCAGTGGCAGGAGTTGGTGTGACCTTTCTAACAGCAGGGATGACTGCACCCGCTGTACTTGGGATTGTGACTGCATCAGGGGCCCTCGTTGGTGGTGGCATAACAAGTGGATTACGGACAATGACCCGCGACTCAATACAGAACGGCTGCGCCTTTAAAAAATACTTTAAAAGTTTACTGATCGGTGCTGTTGGTGAAGTGGCATTGCGAACAGGGGCCGCTGGGATTGCTGCGTTTTTCGGTGGGGCAACAAAGATTGCAATCAAAGCTTTTCAAGTTTCTCTGGAACGGCAAATTACTCTAAGGATGGTCGACAGTGCTTTTCGATGTTTTGTCACTTCCGTTACAAGAACTTTAGACGCAGTTCTCGCAGGTGAAGAGAAATTAACGGGAGAAAAAAGTATTTTTCTTGTTTTAACTGATGCTATTCTTGGAGGGCTTGCTGGTGCTTCGGGCGGGATAACAGAAAAAATGATCGATGGGACAGTGTCCTTGATAGAGGCAGAGATAACTTTTGTTAAATTTTCCTCAATCTCAGGCGATCGTGTTGAAAATCTGACAAAAGTAATAGTGGACAATTTTACCGACACTGTCTCTGTTCGTTTCAATGATGATGACGAAAAGGAAACTCTATTGGATCACATAAAGATTGGGGTAAAGCGAGTTGCAGCGGTTCCTGGGTACTATTGTTTCCAATGTGGTGGTAAAGTTATCAGAAGTAGCGACTCCAGTGAATCTGAAAACACAGTCCATATAAATCATCAAATACCCGATTGCAAATGTTTGATACGCAATAAGAGTAAACTG